GACTGTAGACAATAATAATAGCGAGGATACTACTGCTTAGTAGGCAACTCTTAGTAAGTTACTCTTTTATTATTAATTATAATATACTAATTTAATAGCTTAGGATAATACTCCGCTACTCCTAGATAATAAGCAGGACAATAATAAGTAGGATAAAGATAAGTAGGAGCAAGATAAGTAAGATCAAGATGTCCGAGATTAAGATATCTAAGGTCGAGACTTTCAAGCTAGTTATAATTAAGAAGAGCTAGATAATAATTCTAGCGATAATAAGCAAACTCTTAAGCAGAGGCTAGAAGCCTATACTAATAAGCTAGTAGCGGTAGCTTACGCGCTTACTATTACGAAAGAGCGTTTAGAAGATAGCTTACGCCTTACTTAGGAAACTCTCGAGGGAGGCGTAAAGAAAATTGCGCGTCAGTTTTATCGTTAGTAGCGGCTGAATTTCGACGATTAACTTTACGCTTATTAAAAGATACAAGACGCTAAGGTAGAGGCCTTAAAGCAGTAAGCAAAGGAATAAGCTACTCTAGATACTCAGCTACTTACTAAGAACTAAGGTAGTTTCTATCCTTAGTATATAGTAGCTTATAACTATAATCAATTAGTTAGAGCTTTCCTTATTATTCTAGTAATCCCTTTTTGATTAGTATATATAGTCGGTATATATAGTCGGCAGCTGCAATAAACATAGAATATATTCCTATTAAATTCTACGCTCTAGGAATTAGGTAGTAGGTATATATCCCTTATTAATATTTCTTTCTACTATTTTGTAGGTATTCAACTCGTATTATGTAATACCTATTGCAATACCTATTAGGTATACCTACTAGGTTTTTACCGTTAGGTTGTACCCCGCTTATAAGCTAGGTACCTAGCTTATTTGTAGGGTTGGGTATTTAAGTTAGGTTATACCTAACCTATACCTAACCTAACCTATAACGAGGCCTATTCGTACCTTAGGCTACTAGAATCTCCTTAATACGAGTTCGATAGTCCGTTAGAACCCGAAGTAGCCCGCTATTAGGTTATCGTAGTATTCTCGGAGTATCAAGTGCCCTATAGGAAGACTTAACTATAGACTTCGTTACGGACCTCCCTCTATCTACCTTTATAGGCTATACCTACGACTGTATCTACGTAGTAATAGACAGATACTCTAAGATAGCCTATTATACCCTATATCGGAAGGATATAACTGCCGAAGACCTAGCCGACCTCTTCCTATAGGATGTATTTCGTTTATATAGTATCCCGGTATCGATAGTAACGGATCGAAGAACGCTATTTACCTCTAAATTCTAGAGTATATTCTACTACTACTTAGGCGTTCGGAGGGGCTTAAGCACCGTATTCTATCCGTAGACAGATAGATAGACAGAACGACAAAATTAGACTATAGAATAGTACCTCCGCGCCTACTACAACTACGAGCAGGACAATTAGGCAAGGCTGCTTAACATTACGGAGTTCGCCTATAACGATAGCTAATACGCTTCTACCGGCGTAACCCCGTTCTAGATCTATAACGTTAGAGACCTAGTCCGAGTAAGATAGCCCGATATAGTCCAAAACGGAGGGAATGCCCCGAGGGCGGAGGACTTGGCCGACAAAATAATCAGCCTCTAGAAAACCCTATAGGAGAGGCTTGTTAAAGCTAAATAGACTTAAGCTAAGTACTACAACGAGGGGCGTAAGGCAAAGAAATACATTATCGGGAACAAGGTATACCTATCTACGAAGAACTTGTCTATAGTAAGGGACTCTAAGAAGCTTGACTATAAGTATATCGGACTATTCGAAGTTACCTACGTAGTTAACGACGTAGTATATACCTTAGAGCTGCCCGACGATATAAAAATCTATCCGACCTTCTACGTTAGTATACTAGAGGATTATATCGAGGCAGAATATACTAAGAGGGACTAGAATAGCCCGAAATCGTTTAAAATAGACGACCCCGAAGTCTACGAAGTAGACAAGATTAAGGGATAGAAGGTAGATAGGTAGGGACGATAGGTATACCTAGTTTTATAGAAAGGGTATAGAGAAGAAGACGACTCCTAGGAGCTAGCGAGCAATATTAGCCCTATAGCAATAAAGGTATACTAAAACCGTATAAATCGGGAAGTAAAGGGCTAGGGAACGCCCGAGATAATATATATTAAGGCGACAAAGCGGAAATCCTATAGGAAGGGGGCGCCTTAGGGCAGAAATATATAGGGACAGTTATATAGTATATATAAGGGAACATATTAATAATTTACTAGAGAGAAAGAAGCATTGTTACGAGGAACTATACAAACAGAGGGGGTATTATCTATAAATACCCGAAATACCCTAGAAACGGCCTAGAATAGCCTAGAATACCCTAGTAACCCTAATTAGCCTAAGGGGACTTATTATTATCTCTATTATTATCCTCTCCCGTAGGGGAATTATTGCCTTTAGAATTATTAGCCTTCAAACCGGTCCGTTTTATCGCCCGAGAGACTTTTGGTAGCCGCAACTTGCGGAGGTCGTAGCGAAGGGGGGTTTTAGCGGGGTATTTGCCCTATAGTAGGTTAGAATAGCCCGGAATAAGCTAGATAGAGGGGATATATACTAAAACTCGATTTACCCGGTTAATATACTTATATAAACTACGGATAGTAGTATTTGCCCGCTTAAGCCGGGACCGAGGGGCTACCTAGTCGGGCTATATATAGACAGAGGTAACCTTTTTCTTCTTTAGAGTATCCTCTGTATTAAGTGCCTCCCTCTCTAGCTCGGCCCGGTACCGGGCGACTATAGAGTCGACCTAAGGTCCGGACTTATCTATCTAGGGACCGCTAAGATAGATATAAAGATTGTTAACCTCCTAGAACGTAGGAAATTTGCTAGACTTAGTTAGTAACGCCCTAAAACGGCCCGGAATAGGGCAATTAGAAGATATATACCCCTTAAGGGTCTTGTAGAATACGTCGGCAAGGGTCCTAGCCTTTACCGCGTTAGCCTAGCGCTTAGTAGGCGTAGTATCGTCTAGATCGTTCGTACGACGGAGGCTATCGATAAATTCGATAGTACCTCGGTATACCGCAGGTACCTATAAGACGGTTAGGACCGGTCTAAGCTAAGACGCCCTAGAATAGACTAGAACGATACCTAGAAGTAGTAGCCGGACCGGGTAGTATACTTCTAGCAAGATACGGGGCTAGTATCTTAAAGATAGCGGAGGGTAGTATTAAGGTCCGTCTAACCGGTCCCTATAAAAGGGCGGAGGAACAGATATAGGTACCGAAGGGTATCGACAACCTCGGCATCCGAGGCTAAGCTAAGGACGCTAATACAATTTACGTATAGATTGCTATTAGGGAGAGAGGCGGTAGCTATAGCGGGACGAGTCGGAGGGGTATACTACTATCTAAATTAGCTAAGAATGCCCTAGAATAGGCCGGAGAGCCCCGGTTACCCTAGAAGGAACTATTAAGACAGGGGATAGGAAAAGTAGTTTACTTACAAATTTTAGGAAAGGTAGTAATATTAGTATAAATAAAGAGGAAATTGTTAGGAAAAGACGCTCTTTTCTACGCTAAAAGAAGGCATTCGCCGGAAGAGGCTCTATTAGATTCTAGGGCGGACGAATACGATCTATTACTTTCTATAGGTTTATTTACTTAATACCTTATTGTTCCGGGAACAAAGAGATAAAATAGGGGCCTATATAGTCGAGGACAACTATAGAAAGGGGGGGGCAATATTAGGATCTAGACTAGATAGCGATATAGATATCTTAGGACAGACCCGGAATAGCCCGGAAGTACCTAAGATAGGCTAGAACGGGCTATTACGATTTAAGAGGGTTCAGGCTAGACCTTTACCGCTAATACTAAGTTAAGATAGTTTATAGAGAGTTAGAATAGGAGATCTTAGATCGAGATATTCTAAATTAGACCCGAGAGGCTAGAACCTCTAGGTACCCCGAAGTTACACTTATATATAGAGGGAGAAGACGCATTCCTACTCTTCTCCTAAGCGATTCGAGTAGTACATTTCTATTAGATACTTTAGCCTATACATTATATCCTTTTATAGGTCTCTAGGCAATTAAGAGATAGAGATAGAGATATCTACCTAAGTAATTAAGAAATAGGCTTAGAGATAGAAATACCTAGGTAATTAAGAGATAGAGATAGAGATAGAGATAGGAATAGAAATAGAAATAGAGATAGAGATAGAGATAGAGACAGAGATACCTACTAACTAGTTAGGCAATTAAGAAATAGAAACGGCGATAGATACGGCGTAACGGATACGACGCGATAGATACGGCGCGATAGATATACGGCGTAATAGATATATAGCGTAATAGATATATAGTATAATAGATATATAGTATAATAGATATATAGTACAATAGATATATAGCGCGATAGATATATAGCGCGATAGACATATAGCGCAATAGATATATAGCGCAATAGATATATAGCGTAATAGATATATAGCGCGATAGATATATAGCGCGATAGATATATAGCGTAATAGACACAGCGTAATATAGGCTATTAGAGCTATATAGATAGCTTATATATATATAATATATCCTCTACTTACTATATATCCCTCCTAAACTACTTATTTCTTATAAATATATAGGTACGTATAGCCAAAATTAGTAAAATCATTGTTACTATTTTACTTTTACTTTTACTAATTACTAATCCTCGAAGGTTATAAGTAAAAGTAAAAGTAAAAGTAAAAGTAACCAAGGGATTAGTAAAAAGTAATTACTTATTAGTAATTACTTTTACTATTTTACTAAGGTTTGGACATCACTGCTTCACTGCTAAGTTCAGATTGTTGGTCTGCCTGTGTTCTGCTTCTGCTACCTCCTAGGTGCGGACTGAAGCCGTGATAGGGCCGTCGGATTGACGTTGCATAAACCTTATTCAGCGCGCCTTGACATCCTTCGGGAAGCTCTCGCCTCCAAACACCCATGCACGCTTGACACGCCCACGCACACGTCCACCACCACCACCAGAGAGCGCCAGTGACCTCGCCATCGAAACACATCACTCCCATCTGGCAACCATACAGTACCACACCTCCCATCCACCGGACACCCCATCGCCCCTCTCCTCGAGCCTCGCAGGCCACCAGCGCAACCATGGCGCTCGACAAGTTCTTCCACAACAAGATCGAGAGCATGAAGCTGGAGATCATCCAGGGCCAAGCAGTATTGCGACGTCTTGAAGCGCAGCGCAACGAATACAACAGTAGAGTCCGACTGCTGCGTGAAGAACTGGGCTTGCTACAACAGCCGGGCAGCTATGTCGGTGAGGTGGTCAAGGTCATGGGCACGAAGAAGGTGTTGGTCAAGGTGCATCCGGAAGGCAAATACGGTGAGATCAACATCGCGAAGAAATGGATGCTAGTGCCATACTGACGCAGCGCAAGTGGTCGACGTGGCGGATTCCATCGACATCTCCAAACTCACCGCCGGCAAGCGCGTCACCCTGCTCTCCGATTCCTACAAACTCTCATCACTCCTCCCATCCTCCGTGGATCCGCTAGTATCGTTGATGATGGTGGAGAAGGTGCCCGACAGCACCTACGACATGATTGGTGGTCTGGACGAGCAGATCAAGCAGATCAAGGAGGTCATTGAGCTGGGGTTGAGACATCCCGAACTGTTCGAATCACTGGGTATTGCGCAGCCCAAGGGAGTGCTGCTATATGGGCCTCCAGGGACAGGAAAGACGTTGCTTGCAAGAGCAGTGGCACATCACACCGACTGCAAATTTATTCGCGTGTCAGGTTCGGAGTTGGTACAAAAGTATATTGGTGAGGGTTCCCGCATGGTGCGAGAGCTGTTCGTCATGGCTCGGGAACATGCTCCCTCAATCATCTTCATGGACGAGATCGATTCCATCGGATCATCGCGTGTGGAAGGCTCGTCTGGTGGTGACTCCGAAGTCCAGCGGACGATGCTGGAATTGCTCAACCAACTGGACGGCTTCGAGCCGACGAAGAACATCAAGGTCATCATGGCCACAAATCGTCTCGACATTCTCGATCCTGCTCTCCTCCGACCGGGTCGTATTGACCGAAAAATCGAATTTCCACCACCAACTGCCGAAGCCAGAGCAGACATTTTACGCATCCACTCGCGTAGCATGAACTTGACGAGAGGCATTAATCTAATGAAGATTGCAGAGAAGATGAACGGGTGCTCGGGAGCTGAGCTGAAGGGTGTGTGCACAGAAGCAGGAATGTACGCGCTCCGAGAGCGACGAGTGCACGTGACGCAGGAGGACTTTGATCTTGCAACGGCGAAAGTGCTCAACAAGCACGACGACAAGGAGACGAGTTTGGCGAAGCTGTGGAAATAGATGCAACGATCGACCAGGTGGGACTGAGCGCGAAGTTGGCAGAGGCCTGTATCATAACTTTCATGCATCATGTGGACGGGGCATCAGTAAGTCCGCACTCATAGTAGAGAATGTACTCAAGATGTGTAGATCCGCCTCGTTTCCCCGCAAGTCACCAAGGTAGTACGCGCGACCAACCAGACTCTATCAGGCTGAAGACTGCAGCCCGTCTCCCTTGACCTTCCACGATACAAGAAATGGAAAGAAAGACAGTCGTGAGAGATGGAGTTGCCCGAAGGTGATTACCCTGTTTCTGCAATATACATATCTACGACCACCGAGCCGTTATTACATCTTTACGTCGAGAACGCACCCAAATGGCAAAAGGCAAGGATCTCAAGGGACACTTCATATGGCCTATATTTTGGCTGCCAGTATATATATATATATTCGGCGAGTGAGAAATATCCAACTGAGAACGGACTCTGCAAATGCGAATTTGGTGGTTGGTCAGTACTAACTAACTACATAATGTATTCTCGCCACTGGTTTTGCTCGCCCGGACTATCTTACGACAGACAGACAGACAGATATTACCTACCTACCTACCTACCTACCTACTAACCCCCTAACAAAACGTGTTCTGTGATTGCGAAATGATTCATCTACAAAGGGGCATTCTGAGGAGCTCGTTCGCCTACACTTTCGAAAGTTTGATAATGGATGGTGATACCTGTAGATCTTTTTCATTCCTGGTAGGCTGGAAAGGAGCTAGCAAGAGGAATTCTTCAAAAAAGAAGAGTAAAAAGGAAAAGTGGTCTCTTTGACGGATATGGATGGCACCGCCCGTGAAAGAGTTGGATGCTTCGCAAACCGATGGCTGCTCAGCGTGGAAGTACCTAACTACATGTATTTACTTCCCTGCCTTCCTGCCTAGGTAGGTAGGTAGGTAGGTAGGTAGTGAGTCCCAAAAAGCGCGGTGCGGTGTGGTGCAATACGTTGCGTTTACTACCATCCATTCAACCTCCCTTTTAACCATCCTCCCGTCACAGACACACCAGAACCCACGAAAAGAAACTAGATAGAGATAAGCCACAAAAAGAAAATGGCTACATATATGGACCGCGAATTCTAGCTTCTACGGGAAGAAATACATGTAGAGATAGAGATAGCGCAATCCCCATCTACCTAGGTGCCTGAGGTATGTACCTAGTGATTTGAGAACTTGCCTACCTACCTACCTACCTACCTACCTAGGTACCTTAACACAGGCAAAGATGGAAATAAAATGACTTCTGCAATAACTTGTCCTTGTCCTTGTGGGTAGAAGCTATCTATCCTAGATATCTATTGCCAGTCCCGACTATGTAGATAAGGTACTTTTCGTTATTCATCTCTGGCTGTGTGGGCAGGACGAATGAATGAATGAATGAATGAACTGATTGATTGATTGACTAAGGTAGATACCTATATAAGTAGGCCGGACGAAGTAAGTCGTAAGTCGTTTAAACGAGTTGGAGGAAAGAAGATTAAGCCGTGTCGGTATAAAGAATTAGTAGACGTTTTTGCTAAATGCTTACTTACTTGCTGAATTCTTATTACTGACTGTCGATGACATCTTCCCGTCTTTTGGGAGGGAGAGAGAGAGGGGGAGAGGAAGAGTATAAGGAGATTTGTTTTCTACCTTCTTCTAGTAGATCCGACAGATCTCAAGATATAGACAGCGGTAGCATTCGCTCGTATAGAGTAAGAGAGAGTTTGTAAGGCTTGCTTCGATTTAAAGGAATACAGCTTGTATTTATTACAAAAAAGGTAGGTAAGGTAAGGCAAGATGATTGTTGTCGAAAGAGGGGGGGCGGAGGTAATATTTGCTATCTCTGTTGTTATAGACTCTCTCTCTCTCTCTCTCTCTCTCTCTCTCTATAGCGATAGTATAGGTAATTCGATAGTACCTTACCTAGGTACATTAGGTACACAGAAGGCTGTCGTAGTTTTTGTTGCATAGAGGTAGGCATATAGGCATAAGCAGCTGAGCGGCATAGTTAAAAGATAGAAAGATCAAAGGAAGGTGAAGTAGGTACTTAAAGGTATCACTTAGTAAACTCACAGTTCCGAATTCGTACGATCTAGTCCCCAATGCGAATGAAGACCTAGGAGGTAGTTCTATAGGTAGATAGCTTCTACAGCTCGAGCACTATCTAGATTACCGCTTCGACAGATCTGATTAGAGCGACGAATGGGCAAAGCCTCTAGACTGTTCGCTGCTTAAGTTGTTTCCTTTCTGTGCCGAATAGCAACATCATTCACTATATACGATATTGCAGAGGTTTTGGACTTAGGCTGTCGTACTCTGAAAGTCGATAGACTTTAAAGAAAGATACGTGTAACAACAGAACAGAGAAGTGAATTACAGCTTCGAAGGACTGGGGCGTTTAGGTACTGGATACTGTGTAGTGATATATAGACGTTGGTGGATGGTACATGGCCAGGCGCGACGTGTGTCCACTATGGAGTGGCTGGTCAGGCTTCCCATGTGCTGTAGTTCCCAAACTCGTAGACGACTAGACGTTGTCACGCTTCGTATTGGTCTTCAAGATCGATCAAGGATTACTCCGTTCACGAAACCATCTTACGAGCAGACTCGGAATTCTTCCGTGCTGCTCTGTTTGGACGACAACAGAGGGTCTGGTGAAGGACGCTCCCGCACAATAGAAGTAAGTGCCCGAAGCTGATCTCGCAGTTGTCGCAGACTGGCCATAGGTACTTCTTTCCGCACGATCGCTTCGAAACCATGGACCCCACCGGATATGCCCATGGACGATGGAGAGGATTGTAGTACCAACTGCTGGTGCGAATGTATGCGTTGGGGCAGAAACAGTGCAATTAGATTCCTCCTTCTGTGATGATGGCCTGACAGGAAGAATGGTGCTGCGGACGGATGAAGTGGACGAAGACAGAACGCGGAAGCTTCCCAGTCACTTGTGCTGCTACCATGATTCATGATCTTGTACAACCACAACAACCACAATCACCCTGCTCTTGGTTGTCTTGGCGGGACATTGGTCGTTGACATGTACCATGGGTTTGCGCTGGATGCCCGGATACGACTGCGCTCCCACATCCCGAGTGCGTAGCCGACCTGGTACATGCTTCCATGTCAAACAGGGCAGCGGGTCCGCCGCACACGCACTCGCACCCGCGAACGAGCCTGGGCGGCGACTGTGGCACAAGCAAGAAGCGTCCTCGGGAATTCTTGCATCTTGCCAGGCTCCATGGCAGCAGTGCAACTTCCTGAATAGATACCACGTCCGAAGATCTGGTGTTTCAGCATGACATCCAGCATGGTAGGGGCAGTCGCCATCCGCGCAGGAGCAGGAGCATGGGCATGGGTGGCGGTATGGGTACCTGGAGTGGACTGTGGATGGTGCATATCGGAGCGTTTCCGCCGAGTCGGTACCCAGACAACGGTCCGCCGTCGTATATGAGTTCAATGCTCGCGGCATTCCGATAGGAGCAGAGTGCCATCGTCACGCGCATCATTGGGCAGCAATACCGTAGCCGACACGTGGCGGCGACATCATTTCCAACGTCCCCAAAGAGACGCTGCGCAATATGTCCTTGTGCAACTCCGGCACCCGGCTGTCAATGCCCTAATGCTGCCGTACCACAGCCCTAGCGCCACCAACGTGTTTGATGTTGAGCCCGGTGGAACTTCGCAACACAAGGAGCCAAATGACGATCGAAGAAAACCCCCCATCTGGATGCTTCGAGATCAATCTTGCGCAAGCCCAAAATCGATCGTCGGTAGTACAAGACATGCTGGAGGTATCTACTACATGCGTGTGGTGACAGTGGCGTTGTCACGCACAAGCTCGTGGAAGCGCGATCCTAGATGCAGCCACTACCACATTTCCCTCATCGCTTCCTCATCATCTGCGAAATCGTCTTGTCCTTGCCGCGATGCAGCGACCGGGTCCGGCTGCTTCGAGGTCTGCGCTGCCATCAAAGCGTCCAGTTCATCGTCGTCGTCCGACTCCTCCTCGAATGGTAGTAGCGGTTTCCGCTTAGGAGGCTCAATCACTTGGGAATTCGCCATCAATGCATCGAGTTCATCCTCATCTGGCCCATCATTACCTTCTGAAGGTTCCGTCCTTCTGTGTGCCGTGCTCAAGTTCGCTGGTGCATTCCCGTCCCCACCTTGTGCCAAGAGAGCATCGAGTTCATCGTCTGCTGGGGCTGTGGCATCCAGATCAGCTTGAGAGACATTGGCATTGGGCGCCGAATCTCCCGTATAACCGGACTTGGCGTCCTCTGTGTCAATACCAAGATCAGGCGGTGGCGTGAGATCTCTGCGATTGGGCTTGGTTTCGTCCAGCCATGCTCTCCGTGTCACCTGCATTCGCTTGCTGTGACCAACTTTCTCGACCATGGTCACTGCATCTCTGAACTTGGCTCGTGGGTATAGATCGTCGAGCCAGAGCTGGTACGTGTTTAATAAATTCGATATATCGGTGTATTCATGACCCTTGCCACGAAATTTCAGTCGCGACTTCGTAATCTTGCGTAGCTTCGGGATTCCAGCTTGGGACAGTAGTCTGGTGTAGTGCAATCAGTCAGTAGACACTCGTCAGAACAGCCGCCGTCCCTCTGTACTTACCGATTCTCGTCCAACTTGGGAATAGGGACGCGTTTCTTCTTGATCTGCACTTCTTGATCCTCATCTCTGCCTTGCTCGTTCTGTGCCGTTCTGCTGCTCTGGACCTCTCTCGGCAAGTCGTTGAAGAAGTCTTCTATAGCCTGGTCGTCCTCCAGAAGCCGATCCAGTTCATCTGGTTGCGCAGACCCTGCTCGCCGATTTGGCGACACTGCTGATGGCATCGTGAATTTTTGTAGGTCAGGTCTGCTGCGTGGTGATGGAGATGTTGATGTTATTCGTGTGTGTGAACTTCCTCAAGTGCAAACGACGCGACTGTAAGACGCGACCTTGACGCGCTTGTCCTGAAGCAGTCAAGCCTAAACCTTATTCAAGCCCTGCTGGAGCACCTCCCTCAGCCGAAACAACGACTTGGACCAGACCACCCGGACATCAGTTTGGACACGCACTGAAGACTCCATCCTCATCATCCTCATCCCTCATCATCGCCGACACCATCACGTTGCCGACAGTACCAAAAGGTCGCACTTCACCGCGACAGGGAGGCGCAGTTGTCTGGAAGTCCTCTACAGTCGCCGCCGGCACAGTCTATTGCCACATACAGGAATGCGGACTTGAAGTACTGTGATCAAGGAAGCGCATCGCAGCGCACTCGGCCTCTGAGACGATGGCAGTGTCTTCAGCAGCTGAGCTGGAACCAGTGACAATTATCACAAACAACCTCAAGGTACTGCTGGATCGAGCAAGACAGGAGAAGCCTGAGACCAGCGTGGAACCGGCATTATCAACCTCGAGCTTCAGCAAAGACGTGGCATCTCTTCACGAAGGCATTGACGAGCGCTATGATCAGAACTATAGATTCGCAGCTGCGGAGGCCGCTATTCGCGAGATCTTCTACGCCTTCATACATTCTACGGATATCAATGACCCTGCTTTCGCGGACGTGTGGAATCTCCTCGACATTGTCCTCATGTGCGGTGACCAAGGAAAATGCACACCTGAGCTTGTCTGCTGGCTTTTAGAAGAATTGTTGGACAGCCAGACCACGCTTGGCTGTCGAGTTGTCTTTGATTACCTTGACTCTCGGCGGGAACGCCTGGCACAGAAAGATTTTCACAAGAAGAATCTCGTTTTTCTGAGGTCGTGTAACGAGCTGCTCAGACGACTGAGTAGGGCAGAGGACGCCATCTTCTGTGGGCGCGTGTTCTTCTTCCTTTTCCAGACATTTCCATTGGGCGACAAAAGCTCAGTCAACCTACGAGGCGAATTCCATGTGGAGAATACGACGAAATTCGACGTTGAGGGTGGTGCCACCGAGGGGATCGAACCGGACGCAGAACCTGCTGCAGTTCCCAGCACACCTAAAGAGAGCACGCCTCCACCAGCGCCTACCGGTAAGCCAGGAAGTAAAGCTGTACCTATCAAAGCGCCCAAGAAGGCTGCGGAGGAAGTTCCACTTTCGGCCAGCGAGCTGTACCCCATCTTCTGGAGATTGCAACATGACTTTTCAGACCCAACCAAGCTGTTTCAGCCGCAAAACTTCGAGGCATTCAAGAAAGGCTTGGCCTGCACACTGACCAAGTTCAAGAAGACTCCCACTGTCGTGCAGACCAAGGCTGGAGAGGAAGATAAGCGCGGGACCAAACGAAAGCTTGGTGAGGCAGCTGGCAGTGAGAGCAGCAATCTCCTCGACAATTACAATCCCAAGTACCTCACAAGTCGCGATCTGTTCGACCTTGAGCTCAGTGATCTTGCTTTCCAGCGACACATACTGGTTCAGGCGATGATCCTCATTGACTTCCTGCTGTCATTGACGGAGAGGGCAAAGAAGCGGCTGAGCTCGTTGACTGGTACCAACAAATCTTTGCTGTACTCGTTCACGCTGAGTGAAGAGGACACGCATTGGGCGACCTCAACACGTGCTGTAATTCGTGAGGGACTAGAGTCCCGGGAAGATGGCAGGCAATACTGCAGAATGGTGGAGACTGTGCTGACTCGTGACAAGAACTGGGTTCGTTGGAAAGTTGAGAGCTGTCCGTCAATCGTGCGCGGACCCGTGACCACGGAAGAGGAGTTGCTGGCCAGGAAAGGTGTCGCCAATTTCACGCGACCCCGTCGCCTTGCGGAGAAACCGCAAGGCATGATGGATCTGGGCTTTCTGGAGGAGGCCGACAGTGGTGGCCTCGAGCCTTTGAAGAATCCCGCACGCTATACGACACCCTCGATCCCACAGCTGGTAGATCAGATCAAGATGGATGAACTCGATGCGGAAATGGCGATGACAGACGAGGAGAAAAGCAATATCGATACGGCGATGACGAACGCGAAGTGGAGAGCTCTTCGCATTGCTCGCGCTGCCGATCTGGCGTTACTCGATAAGGTCGATAGCACCAAAGATTTGGAAGGCATTCTCAGCTCACCAGGCATTTCCGCCGAGGCTGAGACGGCCGAGCAGAACGGTGAAGATGCAGCAGCAGGTCCCACAAGTACAGCTGTGAACGAAGATACGACCGCAGTCGAGTCTGAGCAATTCCCGGTTAAGGTGGAGGACAAAGTTATGGAGGATGCAGAAACGATTTGATGATCAGCAGCACGACATCTTTATCTGGATCTTCCTTCTGACGCGTGGGTCTTTTTTTAAAGAAGAAACGTGCCTCTTGCAGCGCGGGCCGTTCGCGGTGTACCAAACTCTTCATGTGGGGACGCCTCATCTGTACCGCGAGTTTGGGCGTCTTTAGCTTCCGTCAATATTCTATTCTCAATTGCGGGTAATGAATCGATAACCTAGGGCCCGCAATGCAACTTCACAAACCGGACAAGACGACCCTCAGCCACGCACGATCATGTTGGCGAGATTGCATCGTGGCTGCGCAAAGGTCCAGTGAAGTGTTATTTGACCCTCGATAGTAGACGAATCAGGCTGGGAACTGCACAGCCATGTGGCGGCGGCATCGATATACAAACGTGAAGGTTTTCCAATATCAGCGCCCAGCTTATATATATATGATCCAAAAATGCACCCAGTCGAACACCCGTACCTTTTTCAGACATCGGGACCGAAAAGTGTGACGTTTTCGTATCTCGTATCTCTCGCATCTCTCTTCTCATCTCTTCTCTTAACTAGGTACCAGGTAGGTGGGTATACAAATAGGAAAAGAGGTCCCCCCGGTCGGAGATTGAGTTACCCTATCTAGTAAATCCAAAAGTCCTTCCAGGTTCTCTTGGAGGACATGTAAGGTAGGTATCTAACGCTCCTCTTCTCTTCTCGGAACGGAAGAGAGTAAGGTACCGACGGTTTGTCGGGTATTTGAATATCCTATATCCTATATCCTATTTACCTGTATACCTGTACCTAGGTAGGTAAGCAAGCTGATTTCGTTGAGATCTAAATGCCGCGTACCTTGTTTATACCAGGTATGATAATATTATGCTGTATGAATAGATAGATGTATCTATGTCTCTATATATATGTATTGCTTGATTGCATTGCTTGATTATATTGATCGATTGCATTGATCGATTGCTCAATTAACTAACTGATCAATTGTATCCGTCCCTACCTTACCTACTATATTGTTGTAGTCCGTTGGAACTGTACTGTATTTCGTATTCGTACTCGTAACTCCCCTTTTCTAGCTCGCGAGCCTGCTTCGCTTAGGTACATGTACAGGTAGTAGGAAGGGTAAGGGACCTACCTATAAGCTTGATCCTTTCTTCTTCATCAAAAAGGTACAGGTAGGTATAGGGCTGTACCTAGGCAGCGGTTCGTTCTATCCTTGAGGTTTGGGGGCTTTAGGCTTATATGTAGCTGTTATTGTTTTGTGTTTCCCTTTTTCGTGTTTTCTTTTTTTTTCCTTTTTCGTTGATATCTGGACTTTCTATCGATCCGGATCGGGTATTTCTAGGTACCAAGCTTGTAATAAAGGTGTTCTTAGGTAGCTATACATGTATTGTAGGTACATATTTTAGGTACCTACCTGGGTAGTATATGACCTACTACATGTAGGCAAAGTGTAACCCAAGCAGGAAGTACATGTACCTGCCTATCTTATCTATCTACCTACCTAGGTACCAGGTAGTAATAACCTTGCCCTTTCGACATCTCGCGGACGTTGGTCATCACATCGCTTCCCATCTCAACCTGCTGGCTGGTACGGTGCCCCCGCCATCCAGTCAGCATTGGCATCGCTCTATTGGTAATGTGTCGTCGTCTATCTACATGTCTGCAGAAAGAAGAACCCGGAGAACAAGACGCTCCCTACCATCTACATACCTTAGGTGATCTTCACATCTTACATCTCACTGTTCTTGTGATGATGATACATGAACCTGGTAACTGTATAGATCTTGGCACACACACGCCCCAACAGATCCGGTCGCTTCCCGATCATCACCGAATCACTACATCACCACATCACACTATATCATATTATGCCTGATCCAGGCATAATCACGACCAAGGGGATCGATCGCTGCAAAGCATCACATTTCTTCACGTCCGTATTGCCCACGGGACCACATTGCCGCGCTCCCAGGATCAAGCAATTGAAACCGATCTCACCCTCCCTACATGTACTGACGACGGGGGGCCGGCCGCCGGGGAGGAGGGGAAGAAGAGACAAACCCCGTCTCTCTCTCTCCACCGGTCTGATCTCTCGGTCTTTCCAATGGAGGAGGTTGATGAGGTGAGGTGTTTATGCTTTTTTACTTTGCTCACACGTTATACCCAGGTGAGAAATAAACTGGGCACACCGGCAAGTGAAAAAACTTCGAGTCCCGAAATCCCGATCGCGGGCAAGAGCACCTACCTCTTAGGCACTGGCAGACACGCAGGCAGGTTGGCAGGCTCACTACCGTACCTAGGTAGGTACTATTTTAGTCGTACATGATAAGCGCTGCGCCGGTTGTTGGACGGCCCGCTCGTGGACGGACGGCACGGCGGCAGAGTTAGTAGAACTAATAGTAGGTAGAACTAGGTAGGTAGGTAGGCTGTACCGCTGTAGGGGGTTAACCGTTAGTCGTTGTCGTTGTCGTTGTTGGTGTTTTCGTGCAGGGGGACATGGTCGAGCTCGCTTGCAGAGGAATTGGAAGCACCTGATAGATTTTCGCGGAAAGTAGAACTCAGGTGAGGTATACATATGTGGGTACAAGGTGGTGCATACATGTCGTTGCCGGTGGAACAAAGCACACGCGTGAGAATGAGAATGACATGGAAGATGGAAGGCATTGGCCGACAGTGCACAGAAGCCACATCGAATCGTTCTAGTCCTACAGTCTACTGTAGCATGGCATACTTCAGGTTCCCTGGGCTTGTAAGCCTGTCGTGACTGACGTCTGTCGTGACAATAATGCGCCATCTTGCCGCTCCGGCGGCGATATCCCCGTTGGCATCCTGGTAGAATGCTGTATACAGTCGAACTAGCTCTTCGCCCGGACGACGCCCAACAAGCTTTTTTCGTCGAACTAGGAGGGAGCAACAAGGTTCTTCTCGTGGACGCGGGAAGTCTGTGATGGTGCGCAATCGAGGTACTGTACCTACGGCGGGAGGGAGTGTGTGTTCACGGAGGGCGGTCCACGGGAACTCTGTCTCTGTTGACGCCATCCACTTCCTCTCGTCTCGCACTATTCGCCAGAACCACGACCACCACCTTCACAGCAGCAGCAGCAGTAGAGGGGCTTCGGCGGCGGGATACCGATGGTGTTCAGGTTCACGGGAAAGGATCACGTTGTGGTTGCTGTTGTTGTCGTTGTTGTTGTCCCTGTTGTTGTTGTTGTCGTCGCCAACACCCGACCAGATAGACGCGTTTCAACCCTTCTGCGGAGCGAGACGACTTCCCTGAGCACATCAAACTCACGCTGGACGGTGGTTCCTCATGCCCACCTCCTACACCCACACCCAATCTCCGTATGAGCGGCATGCCACACGAGATTGCAGTTGATCAGAAAAGTCCGCTGCATGGCGCACACGATGCTTGGGTAACCAATCGAGGAGGCGTTGACTCCCACGGGAACAAAGGTGCTCGGCTGGCTCACAAGCGAGCAGTCGTCAAACAGTCGAGGTTTGACGTCTTGTCCACTAGGTTCGACTGTGTCACCAACACGCAGGCGGGCTTCGGTGGGCTTCGGTGTGAAGAGCGCTTCGCTGCGCGCGCGCGTGACATCCATGTGCCCGCCGCGCCGATGCTGCTGCTGCTGGCCTGCTGCTCTCCGGCCCGGCATACCAGGCTAGTTCGACTGTTCGAGCAGCGGTGCCTTGTTGACTTTTTTTCCCCCTGGGAGAGTGCTGGGACCTCTCTCTATACCTACCGACCTACCTAGACCCTACCAGTAGGTGTAGGATACTCAGGTACCTACCTGACCTAGTGCTATTCTAGTTCCTGGGCGTGGTTGTTGGACATCGTGATCTCACGCTCCGATGATTCACTCCAACAACAGATCTAGGAATCGAGAGACACATGTATGATCACTATAATGTACCTCACCTAGCAGAAAAGCGCCTCCCCCATCCATAGCCGTACGTCCACGACTACGACTCTCTCACGTTTGCTGCCTGAATGTAGTAACTGCAGCTTGCCGGCCTTGGCTCTGCTCCTGACCGTTGATTGACGCCTGAGCCTCTGCCGCCGCCGCCGCCGCCAGAGTTGTCGCCCGCCCCCCGGCTTGGGCACAGTGTACCTGATTGTAGCAGCCCGGTGCGCACGCCCAAATATATCCATGGATTGTACGTGTCCAGCCAGCGATATGAGAGCGGCACGGCTCGTCCTGCTGAGTCCCCGATCTGGAGCTGGAAGATCTGAGAAACAAAACCCTCCGAAACATGGATCACGACGACTTGAGTGGACAGACGACAGCCGTGCGAACGCCCGCGACGGGGGTGTGATATGCGGCACTATCCATACTGATCTACCCGCAAAGACAACTGACGACACTTTTTCGCCTCGTTGGCGTCCTCGACTAACCCTCCAGCTCCAGGCACCGGCACACGCACACACACACATGCACACACACAGACACAGACACATACTCCATGTGATCATGCCCATGGACGGGCTTCCTCTGTTGCCATGTTCCATTGCCCACTGCGGGCCGGAAACGGCATAGCGGGCCACATCGATGACAGCACTCCAGCTCGTTTACTGCCACTGCTGCAGTGGGTGGGCTCCCGTCACGGCGGCAAAGTGTGTGTGTGGTCAGGCAGGTTATCGAGTCCATCATCGGACGGTGGATGGCCTCGTATCCCTCTCCCTCTGCCTCTCTCCCTCTGCCTCTCCCTCTCCCTCTCCCTCACCAACGCAGCAGCAGCCCAGCAGCCCCGGGCCAGCAGCCAGCGCCTCTGCAGGATCGATGCCGCTGCCACTGGTGCACAGAGAGCACCAGGCAGAGGCAGAGGCGGTCCACGGCGAGTAGTCCCCGCAGAGCCCGCAGAGCCCGCAGCCCGCAGCGCCAGCCCATGCCACGCCCACAGGTCGTCCCATCCCTACTAGCACAACCGGGCTGCACGCCTGCAACGGCCATCTCGCAGCCAATCCTACGAGCTGCCTCAGGTGAGCGTGCGATGTGACAGGGTACGAGGCAGTGGAGTGGATCCCCACCGCACCGCACCGCACCCAGGCAGGCAGGCAGGCCCCATCAGCAGAGTCAAGCTACTACTGTACTGTGCTAGCCTTGTCGGAGGGGTTAGACCCGCCTGCTCCATCGGTCGTCTCCTCCTCCTACTGTCCCTAGTCCGTATGTACACTGCTCACGATGTGGATGGATGGGATGGCGACTACCACTGCCCCCCCAGGGCCTCCAGGGTCTGCTCGGCAGCAAGACGGACGTTTCTTCGTTTGTGGTCGACGATCCCCGTCCGTTGCTGAACCGCTCCCTCGGTGCATCCCGCCAACACTAAAGAACCGACCTCGCCTGCCATCACCCCCAGCAGCTGTTGTTTGAGAACTGAGATGCTTGCATACACCACCTCACCGTCTCTGGCTGGCAAGATTAAGGAACGTACCACAAGCTCACTATACCCGCTGACTCCTCGCGCCTAATCAGACTGCAATCAATCGATCATCTATCTGCTTCAGCAGCATCCGACTGACCGGCACTGCTCGTGGGCCTCCGGTAGACGTTGCTCACTGCTCACCACTTGCCAGTGCTGGGAAACACACCTAATCGTCGTGAGCGCACTACCATTAGTTCAGACAAGAACCCTGTCCAGCCTCCTCGAGCCTCGAACGCCTTTCAGCAGGGTCCGGCTTGGTGCAAGTCCCTCCCAGCTCTGGTGGTTGTTGTTGAAGTACCTGGCAGCCTGGCAGCCTGGTTGTCAGCCACAGTTCTTTGCTTGGCCTCTACTAACCTTCCCTCGCAAAAAAGTCCACCTGCCTACACCCAGTCACATCGGTCCGTCCAATCCGCGGAACCCTTCCTTACGGGCTGTACACTACTGGCTAGGCATCTCTTGTGCAAGTGCCCGGCATTCTTTAACCGCCCATCCTGGACAACTGGATCTAAGTGCAACAACGCCGAAGCAGAAACCCTTTCAGTGCAGCGCTCTCCATTGGCATTGATCGGTCTTTACGTTCAGAAGGGGCGTCGGAGTCCAGTCATTGTCGTGGATGACCGGTGGCTATCTATCATTGTCGCGAGATTGTGCTCCGAGCCGACAGCATCAGATTGACGGCAAGCAAGCGCGTTCTAGACGAGCCAAGTACGTGGGAACACAAAGGGGGGAGAGACGTGGTGTTGACATGTAGTGCTGACTGACCACATTCCAGGGCGTAAAGTCGATCTCGCAAATGCTTCAAGAACGATATCGGGTGCCTTTATCGCCGCCAACTTCTCCGCGTATGTCGGACGCAGCAACGAAGCCTAGCGATCAAACTTACCAGCAGGTGCCGCAACGGCCCTACGAACGGCTCAGTAATGTGCAGGAGCTCGATCACTCCTACGCTTACGGTCAGGCACCGTCTTCGCTGCCGCCGCCGCGAGCGCAAGATCCTCATGACAGTGGCTCGATCCCATCACAGAACTTCTCGCAGCAACGACCGATTGGACCAGATCAGCAGCATGGGCCTCCCAACGTCGGTCATGTCTCTTACCGCGGATCCGCTCCAACGAGCCCAGGCGACCGATTGACTCCTCGATCTCCCGCGTCTAATACGCGAGATCAGATCGAGGACGATGATGACTTGGTCGAGTACGGCGGAGACGATCACGAAGAAGACGACGATAGTGAGAAGCCACCGATGACTGCTGCAGAATTGCGTGCACACAAGCGGAAGATGAAGCGATTTCGGTGGGTAGATGCATTCTCAACCATGACCCATAGAGCAAGCACCGGGCTGACCTATCTCAAGACTTACTCATAACCAGACGAGATTCCTGATGAGTGAATTTGCGCGTCAGGCGCATCCAGATGCAGTGCACCGTGAACGTCTGTCGAGAGAGATTCCTGGTCTCAGCGCCAGGCAAGTACAGGTCTGGTTCCAGAACCGGTAAGCCTGCAATACTGTCCGCAGGGCACGACAGTATGGACTGACGCGGTGGTGTGGTGTAGTCGAGCAAAGCTCAAAAGGCTCACGAATGACGATCGAGACCGGATGCTGCGATCAAGAGCGCTGCCAGCAGACTTCGATACCACGCAAGCACTGCACTCTCCTTTCGGAGCGCAACCTCCATCGATGGGAACCTCCATGTCCGCAGTGGGGACATACGGGTACGGCGACAACGGCGGGATCCGACCGCTGACTCTCGACACCATGCGACGCGTGCCCGAGTACGAACAGTACACTCAGCAGTATGGCAGCCCAACAGGCGTCAGTCCCGCTTTGAACACTTTCGGCTTCACTCCGCCCCACTCCGCTTCTGAACACATATCGCCGGGTTCCGTGGCGAGCAGCATGTCTCCTTACGTGTTACAGCACTCGGGACCGTACGATAGCTCGAGGCGGCCACCTGTCGGTCTTCCCACGGTCAGCAACACATCGTACCCATTGCAATCGCAAGCCAATCACCGTATGCCCATGCACGAGCGTCTGGGACGCACCATGGGTGAGTCCATGGGCTCTCCTCTCCGCTCGAGTGTCTCCTACGCAAGCCTGTCAGGGGCAAGCGCGCAGCCTCGTCATATTCCCGAACGAGCATCATCCTTCTCAGACCAAACCTACAATCAACAGCGGCCTCCCCTACAGAACACGAGTAGCCCTAGTGCCGGTGATACAGGGCCGTATGGCCTAGGCTTCTCATGTGAGTCTGACAACGCTCGTGTGCCTCTGCAGTAGACAGACGCTGACCATTCCCAGACTCTCAAGTGCCCTCTTACCAACAGAACGAGCAACAGCCTCAGCAGCCCATAGCAAGCCTTCCTCAACCGACAGAATCTCAGCAGTATCAGAGACAGACTCCTTCGATGTACGCACAATACCCCCCTTCGAGCCTTCCAGGACAACACTCGCAGTACCCGGGCTATGGTTCGCAGTATCCCGATTATCAGAACACATACACACAGCACGGGCAAGTCACGGAGCCAGTATCTCAGGCAACGCCCCGACAACACAGCTACCAAGCTGTCGCGGGCGCGCCGCAGCCATACATGCAAGTCGGTGGTGCGAACGGCCATCGAGTCACCGACAGCGAGATGCCTCCATCTTATTGAGTGAGAGAGAGACGCACAGCGTACATCACGAGCGGGTAGGAGCTTTTATCTGTCGAAAGATTTCTGCACGGGAGGCAGCTGCTTCTTCTAATGTCGAACGCGACACGACACGACATGACACTTCGACAAGTCCAGGCGATCAGAAACTCGTTCCACACGGTCACAATGAATGAAAAAAGTGTAAACTCCAGATAGCGACAAACCGATTCTCCCCCTATACGCGCGCGCCCTCGAGAACCAGTTCAACCCTTCAAAGGCAGGCCTTTTTTTGTTACTTCTCTGGCCACACATATTTCAACCTCCAAGAGAACTCAGCATCGATACAGAGAGAGAGAGCGCGCGCGAGAGACCGAGCGAGAGAGCGAGAGCGAGAGAGAGAGAAAGCCAGCCCCATTGTTTATTTCTATGCTGAGCCGTGCTGTGCATATGTGTGTGTGTGTGTACCTGGGCAGCCCGCACTTTTTCTTCATTTTGAGAAAAAAAATCCAAAGTTTTTTGGTTGGTTGGTTGCTTGCGCATACCCCCCCGTCTTTTCTCTTCCTCCTTGCCACACATATATACATGATACAAAAAATGTATATATTGGGAAAACAAGGGCTTCAGTTTTTATTTTTCAACTATCTACCCAGGGTTGGTAGGGTAGGGTAGGATAGGATAGGGTTGGGCTGCGGTCGAGGGGGGAATTATAAGTTACCTATCTATATAGCATAGCTTAACTAACTTTTTATGTTGACTATTGAGAAAAAAAAAAGAGAAAGAAAGAAAATTGAAATCTTCTGCAGTTTCTCCTCCTCCTCCTATTTCTTCTAGTGTCCAATCTCCTACCCCCTTGCGTAGAATACAATACTACAACTCCCCCTCTCTACTCTCTACACTACCCCCTCTCGTACTCTATCGTCATAGTCAATTCAAAGTCAAATCCAGTCGGTCAATTCAATCAAGTCAAATCAACAAAATAGAAAACTGTCTCGGAGAGTCCCAGGGGTGCTTCGGAATTTCGGAGAGAAAGGGCGAGAGAGCCAGAAACCACAAACAACCACAATCTAAACCGCGATCTCGAACCCTTTCGATCTCGAACTTCAATCGTAAAGCCCGGACCACCAAAAGAAGAAGAAGAAGAACAAAAGAGTCTATAGAATAGGCAGTAGCGAAGTCAAGCCGTGAGAGACAAAAAACAAGAACCGAAAAAAAGGGGTGGAAGGGAAGGATGCTGCACGGGCCGAAAAGAAAATAAGCGGCAGTGGCGGCGGCGGCGGCGACGGCACGAGGACTAGGTAAGGTAGCGGCGGGCGGGTAACTCACTAGAAGGAAGGAAGTACATAAGCACGGTACATAGTTTCTAGTGTGTGTTGCTATCTTGCATGACACTTTTGACAGACTAAGAATCCAAGTAGGAAGGAGGTTAGGGTTCTGTGTACAGTAGTGATGATATACCTAGTATGGAGGTTGGTAAGATCCGAAGTCCGTTGTGCGTGGTACAAGGGAAGGGAAGGGAAGGCAAGGGAAGCGTAGGTGTTGGTGTTGGTGTCGCACTTGTCGCGCGCTAATCAGATCTGAACTAACAAACAGTGAATAATAATAGGAGGCGGGTACCTAGGGTACATAGCTGGGTTCTAGCGATGCGGGGCTCGCTCCGAGACCAAGCTATTCGTCCGATGGGAGGGCCCACGAGACAAACAGGTAGGACTGTATTTAGTTAGTAGCGAGGAGAGAGGGGCTTTCATGTGTCAATCATGTCAAGTGGGGTTGGGTAACCACCCTCAGAGAGAGGAGAGGATGAGGATGGGATGGAGTCTTGCGCGAAAAGACCATTGCTTCCGCTACAACCAGGGGGGGAACATGATCCCCGAGAACTAGTCAAAAGCCCAGACATGGGTTTTCTGACCATGGAGAGGAAAACATGAAAATCGTTTTCATCCAGCTTGGAGCGGCGATGGGAAGCTTCCAACCAATGTAGCTTGTGCTAAGCGAAGGTCAAGTCCACATGAGCAATGCGGCACACTGCGAAGCTCATACCCCAACAAATGACTGTAGTTTCCCTGTACAGAAATCAGCTTTCGAGAGCGGAGTTGAGTCTGTAAGCACGCCTGTGAGCTTCAGAAGCAGGCTAATAGCAATATGTTTGACTCCAGACCCTGCGTAAGTACTAGTGCATAGGAAGCGATCTTTTTGACTCTTGAGACATCGCTCACGTGAGACTTTCCAGGACCAAAAAGGGGATTCGGTCTGAATCCCACAGCTTTGCACAAAAGGTCTGAAGATGCCACCGAAGGCGTCAACCATCTCTGACTTGGACTGGGCAAAAATGTGTTCACTAGATGCGGCCACCTAGTCATTAAAACGGAAGTCTGATGAGCACGAGCACCGATGGCAGTATCCTTCCCTGTTCGACGATCGTTCCAAGCAGCGCCCGACGCTACTGTAGGCGGTATGCGGTTTCCGTCCACGCTCCGGGCCTGATCAAGCTGGGTGCACAGTATCTTCGCACCTCGGAGTTGGATTGCTAGATTCCAGCGGGCACTAAAGCCCCTGTGATCCTTCTGTATGGGAAACGCTGGTGGACATGACCCTGGACTCGGTCTGGAGCCAACTACGGGGAAGATTCTGTGTCGAAGCCGTCGGTACACCAGCCGTAGCGGGTGAGCATGGTGAGACTGAGTCTGGAGAACTATTAATTCCCATGCTTCTGGGAATTAGCCAGAACTGTGGCTTTTTTACGGCGGCCAAGGGCGAAGGAAGAAGCATCGCTAGTAGTGATGCTCCAGACGTTGCAGAGAAGCTGCGAAAAATGCCGCGGGTTGCAGGCATCAGCAAAGGTTACCTCCGAAATTGTAATCGGCAATTACTACAAGAGTTGTCAGCGACGCTTATGAGACATCGTGAGAGACGCATCGCCAATACGCGCTCTCCTCGTCCGGTCCAGAAGAGCGCAAAGCCGGAGTTTAGAGTCTCAACCAGTCCAGAATGAAGACTTGAAAGAATCATGTTGGTACGGGACGGCTGTTTGTTACCAACAAGGGCCCCATACCTGTTTCACGCTAAGATAACAGCGTAGCACCCGCCTTAGGCATATAGGGAGGCCGCGGCGAGGCCTACCGACCGTCGTACTGAGCGGAGGACTGTGTCGTTCGTGTCCAGATGCACGTGCCCTTGGCCAGGGACGGAGGTACCAGGTAGTTTCAGTCACCGTTCCATGATATTAACCCCAAATCCAATGCTCGAGAAAATGGCACGTTCTTTGCCCAAGCTTGCAAGGCCAGAAAGCGAGCCCGTCAGAAGGGAAAGGCGTTACCGCTTGCGGAGGTGTGTAATCCACACGGATACAATGTGGTGATACTATGCAGCAGTTAGTATCGAGAATTGGGGGTGAACATGCGGATTCGAATTGATATAGTTGGACAGTATCTGCCGCACGGCGATCAGACGATCGGACGCTGAGCCATGCAGCTCACAATGAGCGCTTTCCTTCCTCGCCTGATTGCAGCTGTGAGTGTACCAGCGTGCTTGTCGTTCAGCATGATCGGAGCACAAGGGACCGGCCATCCTGTGCACCCTTCTTTTGACTATTGATGTCAGCTGCACGCGAGAACTTTGGTAGAAACAAGCTCATTCTAGTGCGGCTCGTGGAAGCTTTTGCCGTCGATCTGAAGCCACATGGCGGGCATATCCCGGGCGGCAGGTTTTGCATGGCGGCGATAGTGTTCAGGATCAGGTGTTGGTCAGGTGTGCGTACATGCATGCGACAGGACACATGAAGAGCTTGAAATTGTCGCGCCGTCAGCAACAAGTGGATGAGGATGAGGATGAAGAGGAGGAGGAGGAGGAGGATGAAGACACGAGAGCGGAAGGCTCGGCAGCGTGAGCTGAACGACTTCCTTTCTGGGCGTCCGATTTGGTCGAAAAAGGAAGTTTGGAAGGGCCGGAAAAGCCCACGCGTGCCGAGAGCCAAGCAAGGATCGTGAGGTGGGAGGTGCGGTGCTGCCGTGTCCACTGTCGCACTGTAGCCGTTTGGACTGCCAGTTCAGTGACCAACTGCAGCGGGCTGTGTGGTCAGAAAGTCGTTTGCGCGTCCACGGGTACCTCCTACCTCCTACGCTGTTGTCGGCTGCCATTCCATCTGGCATCTGGCATCTGGCATCTGGCATCTGCTGCCTGCGACTCCGCTCAGCGCTGAGAACATGTGGCGGATAGTGGCGCGGCGTAGATGCTCGTTGCCGGCCAATAGCTCCACGGCGACATGCACTTGGCCTGCATGAAGCTGCAGTATCTCATCATCTCTCATCATGCGTCACAAACCTTGGAGAGCTCGTCAGGAACGAGCGGATGGCGGCGGCGTGAGAAGCAGCAGGTGAAGTCAGTCGGCCTTCCGCCATCAGCAGCGCGCAGTGCTCCCTCACCAGGAGATCCATGGCGCGAGGCATTCGTGTTGCGGAGAGGCGGAGGAGGCGGAAGCGGCGGAGGCGGCGGAGATGGAGGTGGGGGTGGAAGACCAAACAAACAAGAGGCGGTCGGGACGGGAGGGGAGGTGTAGAAGTCCCGTCGTTGCGATTGTTGTCGACCCACAAAGAGTGACGCGAACAGCGAACGCGTCGCTAGACTCTACCTAGGTAGACTCTACCTCCTACTGTAGGAGGTAGAGAGCCTGGGAGGTGGGCAGGTCCCTACCTGTACTATAGTACACTGTGCGACAAGCCCTGGTGCGTCGTCCATACACGTAGGAGATAATCCCGTCACAGTAGGAGGTAAGGAAACCGTCACGGGCAGGTAAGGGGAGACTGACAGCACACATTGTGTTCCTGTGGCTTGGCATACACATGCAGGATGAGGATGGGAGTGGGAGGATTACATAGGAGATGTAGGAGGTACCTAGCATACCTACCTGTGTAAGGTATAGGACGATATAGCATAGGTACCGTGGTCGGGACTCGGGAGCTGCCTCCAACCTTCCCTTCGTACCTCATAGGCTCACACCGGCAGCGAACGAGATTAGAAGTTTGAACCTGAAGTGGCAGTGTGGCAGAGTGTGCTGTGCCCGCCAAGACTTTTCTGAGCAGCAGAGTGTGGCCCCTTGTCGCCTTTTCGGCCCTAGAAAGATTTTCTCGATCGCTTCCGCCCTCTCTCCATCACCAATACACACCATCGTGTACTTGTTGTGCGTATCGTCCTCGATACCGCCATCCCTTCGCCGACCCCACGCAGTTTCTCGCATCCTCCGCAGAAACTTGCGTTCGACGACCTCTCCTCCGGTCGTCGTCACCACCACGTGCATCCGCACTCGCGGACACGACTCTCGCGGACAGACACCACTCTCTCGCTGCTGTCCGATCTGCTATTTGCGCCGACTGTCGCCCAACTTTCGCCACTACCCACGACAGCTACTGCGACGCACAACGGAGAGCAGGTCTTTCTACCGCCTCTGCCTTGTCCAGCCATCATCACCACCTTCCCTCCACTCCTCCTCTTCCTCCTCCCTTCCCTCCCGATCCGACAACCCCGAAGCTCTTTCGCCGCTCGCAGCCCGGCGACCGCATCGTGAACGAACCCATCCATCTCATGACAAGCGCGATATCTAGGGACTCACCAGTCTCCATCACCGCCAACACGCCTTCCGCCACCGCCAGTACGACTCCTTCGCTGCCGCAAGCTGTGTCTTCACAGCCCGCAGTGAAGTCGTACGCCAACGCTACCAAAACGGCGACTCCACCTACCTTGGCTGGAGCCTCCGCGCCTGCGCACAATGCTGCGAAGCCGACAGACGCTCAACTGAACGGTTCGATGGCGCAAGGAGGCTCTCAGCAAGCACATAGCGGGCCCTCGAACGGCACTCCCGCCACGATGGACCACAGCAGGAAACCATCCGTCGTTATCAACGCCTCTGGCGCCTCTGGGAGCTATCCCAATGGAGGTCCTGTGGGCCAAAATGGCAACCGTCCAGCAATCAACTTTGGCTCGATGCACGCGCAAGGCGGCGAACACGGCAGCGCATCATTCCCAGCGCAAAATGCTTCCTTGCAACAACCGCGTCAAGACCCACGCGCCACCACTCCCGCACACTCGCCATCCCCAATTCCTCAGCCAGCAGCAAGCGGCGGTCGTCCCCCGTCAAATCTGCCAAATCAGCACAATGGCGGACTTGCCTTTGGAAGTCTACTAGCTGACTCGGAAACTGTAAGTGATAACCTTGCCTGAGATCCATCACATGATTGGAGCGCGGAATTGACCATGAACTTTCCAGATGCGCGGCCACAGCCACGTTGCGCCAAGCAACGCACCTGCACACGAGCGACGACCGTCTTCGCAGTCGATGCAGAGCGAACTGAGCAACCAAGGCATGCGTGCTGGCTTTCCACCACAAGGCCGCGGCAGTGGCCGAGGGCAGTTCACACCCGGCCAGCAGTTCATGGGCTCGCCTGGCGCTCAGTACCGCAGCCTCCCTGGCCAACCGCCCCGAAACCAGTTCAACAACGGACAGCAATTTGGTCCACAGGCACCTGGATCACCATACAACCGACAAGCAGCACGCGCGAGCCCCGTCCCGATGAACGCGCAACCGCAAATGTCCAACATGGGCGCTGGTCAACAAATGCATTACCAGCAGCAGCATGGCTACCCGATGCCACAACACCCGGTAAATACAATCTACTAATGAACGCTCCAACGACACTCTAACACGATTTCAGCAGCAACAGATGTATGGCATGCAACAGTTTGATCCAAGCCAGGGCTACTATGCCCCATACCAATACCCTTCGTATTACCAACAGCCACCTCCGCAGAGTCCTCGCCCAGGATATCCGAGCCCGTTCTCGGGTGCTGGTGGTCCAGGCATGCAGCCGCCTTTTCACCCACAGCACACGGCGCCGGGCATGGCGCGTACGCCTTCACAGGCCTCCGAGCGACCCGCTTCGAGCCTCAGTCATCCACAAACGCCTGCACAATCCGCACCAATTCCGTCAGGCACGCCCGTTCCGAACCCTGCGACACCCTCTAGCAGCTTTGTGCGTCCCGTCAAAAAGAGCAATGCCATCAAAATCACCGATGCAAATGGCAATGCCGTCAACTTCACCAAACCCTCCACTCCCGCTCAGACTCCGTCACAAGGACCTGTCATCGTGTCCACTCCGAATGCGCCTACGCCGCCGCCACGAGCCACCAGCGACAATCACAACCGTGCCGAGAGTAAGAGCGCTCCATCTGGAGATTACTTAAAGACTGCTTTCGCCGAGCAAGTCAGGAAGAAGCTGGAAGAAGACAAGCGACTGGAACAGGAGGCCGATTCGGCCAAGTCAAAGGACGTTTCCGACAAGGCTGCAGAGAGCGCAAAGGCTGAAGAGGCCGCTGCTAGCCAAGCCAAGGAGGCCGCTGCGGAAGCGGAGAGGGTTGCTGCGAAAGCTGCAGCTGACAAGAAGGCCGCAGAGGATGCACACGCTTCGAAGAAGGCTGCCGAGGATGACGAGGCTGAACAGGCTCGCAAGAAGCAGGAAGAGGAAGACCGTATCGAGCGTGAGATCGCTGAGATGGAAGCCAAGTACGCCGCCGAAGAGAAAGAGGAGGAGGAGCGCGAGCGCGCGTACAAGGAGAAGAAAGCTAAGGAGAAGGCGGAGAAGGAAGCGAAAGCGAAGGCACAACTGGAAGCTGATCTCAAGCGTCAAGAGCGTGAAGCTGAAGAGCGCGAGGAGGCTCGCGAGCGCGAACGCAAAGAGGCGGGCAATAAGTCCGCTGAACCTGACGATGAGGCCAAGGCGATGTTCGCGTCCCTGACCAAAACAACTCTGGGTCCTCAAGGCGCTGCTGCCACAGCTGCTAGCGGCACTGAGACTCCCACGTCAGAAAAGGAAGCCGACGAACCTGTTGAGGCAGCGCCTTCGTCCGCCCCACCTCGTGCCGGTGCACAAAAGCCGAAGCCGGCCCACCTCAAGCTGGAAACCAACAAACCCGTCGAGCGCGCCGAGCCAACTCCCGGCATGCAAGCACTCAAGTCCTCGCGCTTCCTAGAGATCAAAGAGGAGGCCAAGTACCCAGATGGCTTCAAGTCTCCTAATCCTGCGCTCAATCCCGCTGGCGGCCGCAAGGGTCATGCCTACAACAAGGAGTTCTTGCTGCAATTCCAGAACGTCTTCAAGGAGAAGCCGTCGGTTGATTGGGACCAAAAGGTCAAGGACACTCTCGGACCTGGCGATGACTCTGCTCGCACACCCGCTCGCACACCTAGTAACATGGGTTCGCGACAAGGCTCGCGAGGAGGACAGCCATTCGGCGGACCCATGGGTGGTGCCATGGGCAGCTTTTCTGGACCAATGGGCACTGGTAACGCCCGGGGTACTACCTCCGAGCAAAGATTCCAGGCTGCTCAGATGGGTGGTATGGCAGGTCGTCCAGGTATGCCCGCAGGCCGCATCCCGAGTCAGCTTGGCGTTGGTATGGGCCAGTCAGGTGTCGGCATGAGTCGAACCAACAGCTCCTTGCAGATGGGTAACATGAACTCGCCACGACAGCAGAGTTCTCGCGGTGGTCGCGGTGGCAGTAGGAATGATCGCCAGCACAGCAAACGCCAGGACCAAGCGGACGCGAGCAAGATGCCGCTCACCGCTCACATGGAAATCAAGCCCATTGAAACTACCCAGAGTGGTTGGAAACCAATGAGTCTCACTGGTGGCCAACAAGCTGCTTCTGGTCCAGACCCATCTGGTTTGATGGCTCCAGACATGGTACAGCGCAAGGTCAAGGCTGCGCTCAACAAGATGACCCCTGAAAAGTTCGACAAAATCTCCGACCAGATTCTTGAAATTGCTGCACAATCCAAGCACGAAGTCGACGGTCGAACACTCCGCCAAGTCATCCAGCTCACATTCGAGAAGGCTTGCGATGAAGCCCACTGGGCTGGCATGTATGCCAAGTTCTGCCAGAAGATGCTTACCAGCATGAGCTCAGACATCCGCGACGAGACCATCAAGGACAAGAATGGCAACCCTGTCGTGGGTGGTGCTCTGTTCCGGAAGTACCTTCTCAACCGCTGTCAGGAAGAGTTCGAACGTGGATGGCAAGCGAACCTTCCCGACAAGCCGGAAGGCGAATCGCAGGAGGCGGCTTTGTTGTCGGATGAGTACTACATCGCCGCCGCCGCCAAGCGTCGTGGTCTTGGTCTCATTCAATTCATCGGTCAACTGTACAAGCTCCGTATGCTGACACTCCGCATCATGCACGAGTGTGTCATGCGTCTCCTTAACTTCGAGGGTGACCCAGATGAGGCTGCGATCGAGAACTTGACGACCCTCCTCAAGTCCGTTGGCTCGACCATGGACGAAGAAGAGCAGGGACAACAGCTGATGAAGACATATTTCGAGCGCATCGACCAGGCCATCATGCAGAACAAGAACTTGCCAAGCAGACCACGCTTCATGGTCCTCGACTTGATCGATCTACGGAAAGCAGGCTGGAAGGGCAAGGACGATTCGAAGGGGCCTAAGACCATTCAGCAAATTCACGATGAAGCTCAAGCTGCCCAGGCCAAGGCCGAGGCAGACCGAGCCAAGGGTCCTCGTGGCGGACCACCAGGTGGCCGCATGCAAGGTGGCCGTGGAGATGCTCGCAACTTCTCCGGCAATATGCCACCACCACAGGACTACAACCGAACCAACGTGGCCATGGATGATCTTCGACGGCTCCAAGCGCGTGGCTCCAACCCGCGTCCTGGTGGATCTCTCGGACCAGGCGGTAGTCTTGGGCCAGCTGGTCTAGGACCTCGTGCAGGCAGCAGACGCGGCGCTGGCGGAAGTCTCGGACCTGGCTCAGCGGGCACGTCCAGAACCAATACTCCTCCCGTGGGAGACAAGAAAGAAGAACCAGCGACTGCGCAGAATGCCTTCAGGTAAGCAAGATGGTCCCCTCTCGCCTCCATCATGACAAACAGCATGCTAACATGTCACAGCGCTCTTGCTGCCCTTGATGACTCCGGCGATCAACACACTGAAGCACAATCCGACGCAGCCTCACCGTCAGCCGCGCGGTCAAAATCACCATCGGCGGCTGGAAAGGATGAGACAACTGCATGATACCCAATTTGCGCTGCTTTGAAGTACGATTGTATCAAATAAGATTCGGTCTGTGTTACCAATACTACGACTACTAATATGCATTTTCGCCGAGTCAAGGGATAGAGAGGAGCACACTGCGGCGTTTCGCATGCGTGCTTGCGCACGCCAATTCTTGCGTGTTGTAAAATTCATCGACAATGCACAGCAACAGAGGGCTTTTCTTTTCGACATGCGCGGCAAGCAAAATGCACTTGGGATTCCGCAAGACGGACGGCGTTCACCACGGGTCTAGAAATTCGACTGGTCGCGATGCGTTATGCTTCTCTTTTGCTTTTTCTTTCTTAAAAAAAAACCGCCCCGTTGCTCTGCGACTTGGAGAGGGTGCACGGCTCTCAGGCGGCTTCGAGGCTGCCCAACAGGCATGCACTGGGACGAGGTTATGATCAGGCGGCTTCGTGCTCTGCGAGGCTACGGTGGTCAGCAGCTAATGTCTAAAACTCTCCGAGACGTCATGAGTATCCGCTTCAGTGACGGAGGATGCGATTGGTGTGCAGTCGAGGTGGATGAGGGAGGAAGCGTTCCGGACACTCGATGCTTTTTGCGAGTGTACATAGTGCCTTCGAATCGACTTTGAGAACATGAGCTTCCTTTTTCCATATGTTGTTTTCTGATGTTTCTCTCATTTCTTGCTCCATTGCAGATACAGCTGGTCTGGTATCTCCTACGTGTCAGGCAAGGTACCTAGGTATGTAGGTAGGTCAGTATGTATGCACCTGGGCACTTCTCCTGCTGATGACAAAGCGCATCTCCTCCACCTCCGCCGAGGATACCCGGGCTCGTCTCACGACACTCTGGAGCGGTCCCACGTCAGTCACATCACACGATGAGTAGCAGCAAGTGTCTGCCGTTTGTGCGGTCCGTCTGGGAGTCCTTCCGCGCCAACTCGGGCCTGGAACCACGGTGAGGCCCTGCTTTGGACCCGTAGCCTTCATGATGGCCTGGGAGGCTGGGACTGACCACATACGCCAGGCTCCTCGACGGGGTACATCTTCCTCTCCCCTTCACACATACGTCGTATCATGACGGCTGCGGTATCACCAGACATTTCGATACATGTACTCACTCCCTGTGTTTTTGACAGCTTCGCGTGACAGCCGCACGCCCGGGCACGGTCAATTTCGAGCTCGAGATACAGCATCAACACACCGTGCGTACACATCATGCGTGCTCATCACAGCAACTTGGACGGCGACGAGATTACTTACTGTGTTTTCACCCGCAGAATCGTCTCAAAATTCTCCATGGCGGCACCATTGCGTCCATGGTGGATCTGGGGGGTAGTCTGGCCGTGGCTTCTCGAGGACTTTTCGCAACGGGCGTCAGCACCGATCTCAATGTTACGTACCTGAACTCGGGAGGGAAAATTGGAGACATCATTCGAGCTGAGGTGACGTGCGACAAGTGTGAGTATTTACATACCTACTACCACTGGTGTCTTCACATCCGCCAAAGACTGGGGTAGCTAATGGATCGGGCAGTTGGCAAGACACTGGCCTATACTTCAATCGTTTTCAAGAACGAGAAGGATGAGCTTGTGGCGAGAGGTAGTCACACCAAGTACGTGAGCATAGCGTGGAAGGATCCTCACAACATTGTCGAGGAGCTGAGTCCTCGACCCGGATCATCTGGTCAGTGAAATGAAGAGAGTGGCATATGCAATAATGAGTGTAGGTAGGATGGTTGTTCACCTCACAGCATCGGGAATGGCGAGAGCACTACAGCTCAGGACCTGACCTGAAAATACCCGCTCAATGCAAGCCACCAGTCATCATCATTGCACATTCACGTTTCTCCGAGTTTGCATTGGTTTTGTTGACGGGAAGAAATGACAAAACGCAGCGTCCGAGAAACTGAGCAGCATCGCTCTCGCCGAAGAGAGAGCGTCATTGCTGCGCCTGCTTGTCAAGCATTGCACCACGTCCCTGTGCAACCCTTCAAACGGATGTGCGGTGAAGACTCCTCTAGTCGGTGCTGTGTATAGACTGCGCTGCGTCCCCGGAAAATGCCTGTGAGAAGTGTCCCCGACGCTGGGAAACATGCAATTAGAACCTGCAAATGGTAGATATGACCATTGGTCGACATCGTCGATGAATGGAGTCCAAACATGTACCCTTTGCTGACTCCGACGAGCATTTGCTCTTGGTGTTCATCTGCAGTAGTGGTGATATGGAACCATCCCGAGAACGCAAATGCCCGAAGAGGTGTGCGGCGCGGCAGATTGCAGAGAGAGCTGGAAGTAGCAGCTCGTGTTAGGGAAAAGAAGGCTGTAATGACTGGTATGGCAGCTTGCAAAGGAGAACACCACAGATGCATGCAAGCTTACGAGAAGAAGGCACAGTTTCCATTGGTGGATGGAGATTCCAAGCGATGCATGTCACCGCATCACTGCATGCACTGGTCCGAATTTCTGGGAGAGTAACATGTTTGAATTATTGGGATGCAACTCAAGAACTGACAGATATAGGACTATAAGGCAATGACAGTCTTCGCTAATTCTCAGACTACCTACATTACAGGATCCAAACCACAAGCTACATTCAAGAAGAATACTTCCTTCTCAAAGCAAAACCTACAATAATCACAATGTCTTACACAAATATCCACCAACCAACCCGATCCTCTTTCACCCAACGATGCTCTCAACTCGCCCATAGAACCACCAGCAGTCACAACAGCAACAAAAACATCTCCTCCCCATCCCCCGCCGCTGATACCGAACCCCCCACCACCACCACCCTCATCACCCAATGGCTCCAACGCCTCCCCGCCCGCCGCTCCGAGTACGAGGATTTCTTCGAAGCCGTCCTCGAGGCCGCTGTGAGCAGACTTGTCCACGGCACGCATGCGGCTGCTGAAGAAGCCGAGTTGGGGTTTGAATATGATCGATTTGAACATGCTAAGCCCGGGACGTGGGTTCGCGTGAGAGCTCGGAGTGTGCGGTTGGGTGGGAAGAGGTGGATTCATGCGGAGGTTCTTGGGGGGAGAGGAGAGGATGAGGATGAGGGAGAGGAGAGAGAGGAGGAGGTTTATGCTTGGGGGAGGTGGGTGGTGGTGAGGTTGAAGAGGTGTTGTTGAATTAGGTAACCGTGTGGAGTTGAGGGAGAGGTAAGATGCGGGATGGGTTTTTAGCTGGTACCTACTGGGAAGTGTGTTGATTTGATGTGATGTACAAGGCAATGCGTGAATAGAAAAGACCTACCTAGGTATGTTATGATGAGACGGAGCGAGGCTTTTTGTGGTCGATCGATTTGAGGATGCTCTAGGAATGGGAGGCTTAATGCCCGCAGATACATGTATGTACCAGGTATGTATGTAGCTCTAGGTAATGAGTGAGAGCTGTGAGGTTATGTAGCGTGAAATGTGGCCCTCAACAAATACATGTATATATCGCTTTTACTCACGAATGGTGGTAGTAAGCATTGTGTGTAGGGCTTAGTCCACCGAAGGACCCTGACTAATATGGACGCCTAAAATAGGGCCGGCAACCGGAATTCGAAGGAGGTGGGAGCTCATCTCCGGCCCGACTGAAAACCAGAGCTTCTCAACAATCTTCAAACCACCATACCACCTTGTTCACCTGCACAACATATCCACCATCACCACCACCACACCACCACATTCCCTCTCTCCCCGACCACCCCGTCGTATCGATCTCGGAACATCCGCGTACCAGGAGACGTCCCCGTCCGTCATTGCCCACCTACCTACTCCGGTTCGTCCTTGAACGATGGTGGCCGCACGACTTCTCCTTCGCCCGGCGGCGCAAATGCTGCGAAGCTCACCCGCTTCGAGATCGAGTTTCCAGAAGAGAGTTCCAGCTGCCCCATCAGTGGCGGCGGCAGCGAGGTCTTTTCATGCGGGACAGAAAGTGCAGGCGCCGAAGGAGATGACGGTGCGAGATGCGCTGAATGAGGCTTTGGTCGAGGAGCTCCAGGCGAACCCGAAGGTGTTTGTGCTGGGTGAGGAGGTTGCACAGTATAACGGCGCGTAAGTCACTCCCTGGTGTGGTGCGCGAGGGTCTGAGTGAGATGAGATGAGAGAAGTGGGAGAGTGCGGGAAAGGTTGCGCAGAGGGTTAGGAAGAGTTGGGACATTGCTCGACTGGAGTGATATCGGATCTTGTCATATGGGCAATAGTGTTGTGCAAGGGAATACCATTGGGATACTGTGGAAATATCGAGATGGACCCTTGCGCAGTGCCGCAACATTGAGCAGCAGGATCTGTCATGGCCATTGGACTCGAGCTGACAATCGCATAGATACAAGGTTACGAAAGGGCTGTTGGACAAATTCGGCGACAAGCGAGTCATCGACTCTCCCATCACCGAGTCTGGTTTCTGTGGTCTAACTGTCGGTGCTGCGCTCGCTGGTCTGCACCCCGTCTGCGAGTTCATGACCTTCAACTTTGCCATGCAAGCCATTGACCAAATCATCAACTCGGCCGCCAAGACACACTACATGTCCGGTGGTATCCAGCCATGCAACATCACATTCCGTGGACCCAACGGCTTCGCCAAGGGTGTGGCCGCTCAGCACTCTCAGGACTACTCGGCGTGGTACGGCTCCATTCCCGGCTTGAAGGTCGTCGCTCCATACTCGGCAGAGGATGCCAAGGGACTGCTCAAGGCCGCCATTCGTGATCCCAACCCAGTCTGTGTACTTGAGAACGAGCTCCTCTACGGTGAATCCTTCCTCGTGAGCGACGAGGTTCAGAAGGATGACTTTGTCATTGAAGTAAGGCAGATGGATATCATGGAGACGAGTAGACGACACTCACTGACCTTCATCACAGCTCGGCAAGGCCAAGATTGAGCGCCCCGGTAAGGATCTCACGATCGTCACTCTGTCCCACTGTGTGGGCATGGCTCTCAAGGCAGCCGAAGATCTCAAGAGCAAGCACGGCATCGAAGCAGAAGTCATCAACCTTCGCAGTGTCAAGCCACTCGATGTCGAGGCGATTATCAAATCAGTAAAGAAGACGGGACACATGATGGCGTTGGAGTCTGGCTTCCCCAGCTTTGGCGTTGGCGCAGAGATTATTGCTCTGACGGCCGAGTACGCCTTCGACTACCTGGAGGCGCCCCCTGTCCGAGTGACTGGAGCTGAAGTCCCCACACCTTATGCTGAAGGACTCGAGAAGTTGAGCTTCCCTACCCCAGAGTTGGTGTCGCAATACGCAGCCAAGCTTCTCCGAGTGTAAGATGCATGCGTATATGTGATTACTGCGACATGAGTGAGCGTACAGATGGCGTCTATGTGCTGGTCGGTTTCTTCCAGTGGAAAGCCTGCAGGTGGAGGAGCTAGTTAGTACGCGCTCAATTTGTGATGGCCCAGCTCGCGTGGAGACGAACAGAGGGTATTGTAATTATATACCACACGACGGCTTCTGGTTTGATCATAGCGATTGGCGAGTTATGATGGAAATGGTCCCTACCTTTTTGACCTTGTATTCATGAAGCCTCTTCTCTCCACTCGTTTTCGTTGTGATGATGTTCATCTCAGAGATTTGATTGATTGATTGATTGAATGATTGAACCTGCCGCCCTTCTCCCAAAAAGGACCCCATGACCGCCCAACTAATCACATGTTTATTTGTTGCATTCCGTTTGTCGCATTGTTGGGGTTTGATATCCTGTGGTGAAAGGATGGATAGATGGATGGATGTCAGGTGTATGTAGAAGGACATGTAGGAGGTAGGTAGGGGTAGGGATGAAACTCTGACTACGATGGGCGACAGAGAATACTCCGAACACGGAGTAAAGTCAGTACGAGAAATGGGAAGTCCGGCTTCAAAAAGTTGAAGCATACATGACCGGATGATGTGATGTCTAGGTTCAGTAGGTTCCAATTGCCTATAGGATCGATGGGAGTGAAAAGTCCGCCCGCCCTGTGAATTCAATGTTTTTACTCCGCTTCACTCTCTCCTTTGGGCAGAGCTGACACCATCATCGCCCTTCTTATGCTGTGCAACTCATCCACGTGTTTGGCCGTGCTGCTCTCGTCAATATTGTAATTTCGCATAGGTGGAAACTTGTGGGTCACGGAGGGCACCTCACTCATTCTTCATCACAGCGTTTCTTCTCACGCAGGATCAACAAGGTGAAGTCTCCGTGATGAGCCTGACCCGCTTCAAAGACTGGGCAGCGGCTTGGACTGCATCTATTGCGAGTCACCATGCTTGGACGAAATCCTCCCTCCTCCCCGTGATTGGCAGTGGAGTGGTGATTTCTCCCCCAGAAAATTTTCCCATCCCATCATCACCCAGGGGAGACAAAAAAAATCTGCTGGCCTTCTCCGCAAACTGCTTTCCCACCGGTACGGACATGCTCGGTCGGTCTCGTTTCCGTCTCGTTTGGTCGCGTAGCGCGGGACTTTGTGTAGTCTGTTCTCTTCCCAGCCTTGGGCGGACTGACGTCTTCGCGCGTCGTATCTGATGCTCGTTTAAAACCAAGACAGATACTAATGTCTGTACTATTGAATAATCTGCCCCTTTGCCCACAGACAGACCAGACCGCCCTTCAACCCAGAGTCTCGGTATCGACTTCCCACAACAGGATGGACAGAGGACACGCATTGTCTAGATTGGGAGTGTGCATTGTGCAGCTCTCGCCGTCTATGGCTGCTGAGCTGCACTCGACTCGACGGGGCGGGGGCTTGGCGCGGTGTCACTTGGCGAATCGATCCATATCGTGGGCGTGGGCGTGGTCGCAGAGATCACATGGAGGTCCTCCCTCCTCCTCCTCTACTATACACTTCTACGGTACAGTCCGTCCGCTGTTCTCTTCTTCTTCTCCTTCTTCTTCCCCTTCTTCCATAGAACACTAGCCCTCCCTGTCCTTCTAGCGTCGATCGCCGGCTCTGCGGACAACATGCCTTGTGCATCGCGCTCAACCAGGCGGGACCAGCATTAAATTATCATCATTCACGGACCGAAGGGCTGTTGTTGGTACGTACCGGGCATCAGCGGTAGCCGGGTGCCCGGAGAGACTCGGCCTCCAGGTTCTGCCACGGGTACATTGACTACATTCCAACCATAACGACCATGGAGCGTCATGCCATGACCCCGAGACCCCCGAAACCAAGCCCATGAAAGCGAAACCAAGCCCATGAAAGCATGCGCATGCTGGTGAGTCGTGACCACGCGGACGCCTGGACAGTGGGCACTCCTGGTGCCCTGGACACCTTCACTCGTGTTAGCCTCCTGGGCCTGCTTGCCTGCTTGCCTGCCTGCCTTGGTGCGAGCAAACACCTCCTCCTGTGCCCTTCGATTCGCTGCATCCATTTGGAGACGACGTGGCTCACCGCTGCAGAGAAATCCCGTTGCGGTGAGTCGTGGACGTGGAGAGAGGTCCTACTTGTTCTCACTTTATCTATGGCTGTCGATAGCGCCACGACTGACCACAGCGCGTTCTGCGACTTGCCCTATTGGTACTACCGGCGGAGTGGCCACCGTTAGTCTCTCTTACACACACATATTCGACTCTACTGTTGGCCTGAACTGCCTCAGCCTGGCGACGATGGAGCGCCGCTGGAACCAACCGGCAGGGTCGCCAATCCCGCGTCGATGCCTGCCGGAATGCAACAGAAGTTCTAGTCCCAGTCCTAGTCCAATGCAAGCAGCCAACTCCAACGACACTCTCGGAAACATCAACCAAGTCAATGATCCTTCGATCCCCATGACTATGGGTTCCCCGTCTTCGCCATACCATTATCCACCAGCGGCCCAGACGCAATGTTGGTCCCGCCTGCGTCCTTATAGTCCACCGCACATCAACAAGCAATCGACTGCCACCACGGGACGTGACCACAGGCCCGCCTATAACCATCGGACCATGCCAAGTGAATGTCACACAAAGTCTGAAGCAACGACTTATCTGGAGACGTCACTACTCTCCAAGGACCCGAATACCACCACGACAGGCACAGCTTCGATCCCACCGGGGGATTCCTCCTGCGACACGCCGAACACGAATACCCGGTATACACTGCTCCTCCGCCTGCCTTGTGAGATCCGCGCTATCATCTACCACCTCGCGTTGCACGACGGCCGCGATATCGACCTGCTGCTCACCTGTCGCCACATCCTCATGGATACCTCCTCCATCATCTACGACCGGCCCATCAGCTTCGCCTCCCAAGCCAAGCTCTTCGCCTGGATCGATCGCAGCAGCGAGCACGATCTCCAACGCGTCCGCCACCTAACCATTCAACTCACCGACGTGGATCTCACACCCCTATGCGACCCCACAGCAATTCGCCACGGTGGTAGTAACGGTAATAACAACAACAACAACAGTAACACCAGTAACACCACCACCGCCCCCACCGCCTGGGACCTCTACCAACGCGAACTCATCCATCTCGACGCAGCTCTAGCAGCTCTCCCCACATTGGAAACTCTGACTATCCGCCCTCCGGATCAACATCGTTCCATGTTTGTCCGAAGCATGTATACGTGCTTTGTGGCTCGCATCCCCCTTCGATGTCCACGGCTGAAACTTTTGACTTTGTATAATAATAACAATAACAATAATAATAATAGTAGTAGTACTGGTAGTAGTAGTAGTAGAAGCAATCCCTTGCAAAATTTGCCCGAGTTGAAGCAGCTTGCGAAGGTTGTTTTTGAGGATTTGCCTCCTGCTTCTTCTTCTGCTGCTACTGGGAATTCTTCTTCGTTATCGAAGGCGGCTGCTGCTGTGGCTGTTGCTGCTCAGAGGGGCCCCGTGAGGGTGAAATTAGAAAGGGAAGAGTGAAGAGTGAGGGTTTGAAGGCGGGGGTTTTGTTGTGATTTTTTTATTCATAAAAAAGGAAAGAAAGATGGTTTTTGGTGATACATGGAAAGAAAACAATTTTCTATTTAGTAGAATGAATATATATATATATATATATACTTTCTTGTTGTACGATTGGAAAATTTGGGATGGATGGGAGGGACAGCTGAAAAATGCTGAAACTTTTTTCTTTTTATTGGGGAGGTTTCTTTTCCTTTTCCTTTTCCTTTTTGGTTGAATGCGAGCGATATTTAGTCGTGGATATGGCGGAATCCTAGCTGGGCCAGATATATCTATATATATATGTCTCTTGTATAGGTACCTCCCTAGGTAGGTAGTAGGTAGTAGGTATGGTACATACGACTTTCCAAATTTTTGGGGAAAAAGGGCATCATTTCATACCAAAAAGAAAAAATGTAGGTAGGTAGGTAGGTAGATAGGTAAAGATTTTGCAGTTACCTTTTTTGGGATTGGGGGGCAAGGTTGAAATTTTACACACTTTCTTTTGCTATTCTTTTCTTTTAATTTATTCAAGAGAAATATAATTCGATTTAGGAAAGGAAAGGGAAAAGGAAAAGGAAAGGGAAAAAAAGGGTTGTTAAGTGTAAGACCATTACTACCACTCACTCACTCCCCCTCTTAACAACCCCATCCCACCACTCCCATCTCTACTTGCCCCTCACACCTTCCTTTCTCCCCCTTCTCCTCCCCCTCCTCCCCCTCCCTCTCCTTTCTTCTCCCCTTTTCCTTCTTCCACCACATCTTCCTCCCCATCTTCAACCTCCCCCCACCGCCTCGCAACCTCATCACAAAACCTCGCCATCTCCAAATCCTTCCCCGAAATCCCCTCGGGCCAATGCGTCGTCCATCTCACACGCGTAAAATTATACACATTGCTCCATTCCGGATGATGGCGAACTTGCGGTTTATTGCATTCGGCAGCGATTTCCGACATGAATGCCTATATGCGCGCGTAAGCGCGCTGTTTTCTTTTGTGGAGGGGGTGGATGGAGGTTTACCCAAGTATTTTTAAAAGTTTTGAAGCGAAAATTTCGTTCAATGCCGGTTTTATTTTTGGTGAGTTTCCATTTTCCGCGTGGGAGGAGGAGGGCTTTGGCTTGCGAGGTGAGGAGTTGGGGGTTTTCGCCTGCGGAGATGGAGAGGTGTTCGGGGTTTAGGGTGGTTTTTTCTCCTGATGATGAGTGAGGGGGAGTGTTAAGGTTGGTTGTGGTCGTAATGGATCTTGAAATGAGAATTGTTGGAGATTGGAAGAGTCGTAGGGTTGGAGTGGTGGTGGTGGTGGTTCTGAGTAGCATTCTGAAGGGTTTCTCTTTTTTTTCCCGCAGGTTACGAGGAACGAGGAACGACGAACGACGAACGACCTCTGCCTGCCTGCCTGCCTGCCTCTTGATGATTATTCTTCGCAAGAAGCTGATTTTGAATAAACGATAAATCACACAAGATAACCTCCTAGGTAGAGACGGAGTAAAGTGAATGCAACTACCTCCTAGCGTGTCTTGGCTACAAGGGCTGGTTGTCGGGTCAGAGGCCTGCAGCGACATTCGTTAGCGGCCGAGAGTCATTACCCAATCATTGCAGACAATTTGACGCATGAGAGAGGTAGGAGGTAATCTGCATACATGACCTCCTAACAATAACCCGGTAGGTATAAAAGAAAAGAGTCGCGAAGATGTTAAATAAGGAATATATATATGTATATATATGATAGGTACACAGTCCTTCCACAGCCGTTCGATAGTCCATCCGCACACCCCTGTCCAGCGTATAGGAGAACGTGTTTTTTGATTCTCACCGGGGTCAAAATCGCGAAACACCTTTATTTCGCCGCTTGCAAGGTGCAATAACTCCACTTTCTTGATCCTCGCTGGGTATTCTGTATCTAAAAGCCGGGAACTTATACCTCTTGGGTAATTTTCAGGGTGCGGATAGACTATCGAACGGAGGTGGAAGGACTGTGTACCTCAGGGTACACATGTACTAAGGTATATAGTCTTCGGTTCCCCTATTATTTCCAAGACGCTTGATGGAGCTGATATCAACGATGTAGACCACGGATGCATCACATTACATCTAGGTATTCACATATTCCAGGCGGCAGCGAGCAGAAATTGTATCGTATAGCCTCAATATCTCGGCCACCTCGACTTTGGTCTAAACTTGCACCATTCGGCCAGCGAATGGTGCGAATGCAAGGCATACATACCAATTTGCAGGAGCAATTCTCAACTGCGCTTCTGCATGCGGAAGCAAGCGATTGGCACATAGCAGCTCCCAGCGTGTGGTGCGACATGCCTGCTGGGAATGGCCAGGCTGGATACTGTAGACAGTCCACAAGCGCATAACATATAGGAACGAGGGACTCGCCACTTGGAGACTGGAAAGTGTCTGCAAAGTGAATCAAGAATTCATAATTTCGTAGCACAGGCATGTTATTCCTCGCACGCCCAATGTGACTGCACCCAATTAGACAAGACATCCGTCAAAGTCTTGCCATCAATCGCGAAGCTTGCATCTGTTGCTTCACGTTTCTCGCCCAAGTACCTCAGCGCAAGTAGAACCCAGCTCTCGATGAATTCGTTGTATACTAAATCAACCTTCTCGGGCTCGCCCTCTGTTGCAGGGAAGCTGACATTTGTCCCAATCACGTTTGGTACGTTGTAGAACCGTATTGGCTGATGTATCGTGTCATCGCCATCAGTACCAGCATCATCTTTCGTCGTGTAGCCAGGCACTTGTGGTGTGTATTTGTCATCGCCGCTGTCCAAGGGAGTCTGGCTCAGAAGGAGATGGAGCCTCTCGGGCGCTTCGTCAGATGAGTGCAGAGACTCTGCGCGTACTGGATGATGCGGTGCCAGTTCTCTCAATTTGTTTTCGTCTTCGCCTGCCATGGCCAGCATGTCGGTCAGCAGGATGGGTCCTTGATTGTTCAGAATATTCAGGACCTTGCTTGCGGCCTTGTACGGTACATTGTTGAGCACTTTGAAACCGCTCGTGAAGGGAGAGACAAGAAACGTGGAGTCGATCGTGAACGGGCCTTTGAAGATATCGAAGCGAATGGCGCCAGTGTTCGTGAGAGCAATGGTGGGCGTCTTCGTGTGATTGAGAGTGTCCGGGAGCACTTGAGTCTCTAGCCAGGTGAGCAAGCTGTCATCTGCAGGGTAAGGTGCACGATTCAGCCAGTAGTCATGCGGTGCACAACCAAAGGTACGATCTAGCTTGAGGTCTTCTCTCGCTTTCGAGATGGATTTCGAGACATTCATGCCTAGTTCAGTTCCGAACGAGGACTTATTCGTCCCAGAGTGGTGGTGTAGCGAGAAGAGGTTGTTGTCAATGTACAATCTGCGATAGTCCAAGGACTTTGCGGCCTGTAGACTGTCGTCTTTCTTGCCAGTGGTCAGACCATCTATCGACAAGAAGCCTAGAGTCTCCATGTAGCGTCCACTCTCTAAGCCCCATGCCTTCTTGTCGAATTTGCGATAGTCGCGTATATGTGTATGTCCTCCAAAGAACACGATGGGTTTGTCCCAGTTCTCGCTACGAATAGCTTTGTAGACTGCCTCGAACTCTGGACTATCCCTCACCGGCACATGTCCTGCCACGAGGAACAAGTCCACCTCTTTGTCAGAAATTGCATCCTTGAACCACTGCTCCTTGATCGTGTCTTCCACGGGCGTAACGACAGTGTTGTTCGCATTGCCCTTGAAGTTGAAGAGATAGCCAAACGCCACGATTCGGATGCCCTGGTTCTTGGTGGTAAACTTGCGATATCTCTTTGCAAGAGGCACTTGTTCCCCTGTCTTGGGATTGAAGATGTCGAGGTTACTCGCAATGTATGCGTCGCTGAAGTCCGGTACAACCTTGTTGAACTCGTTGTCGCTGGTGTTCTGCTTGTAGAGCTCATGGTTTCCGCTAGTGATGACATCGATGGCCTGGTGCTTCACAACATCGAATGTGTACTTGCCCTTGGGATCGCTGGCGTCGTACAACCCATTGCCCTCTACCCTATCGCCGGTGTCAATGAGCAGCAAATCGCTGCCATCGGCATCGGCCTTTCGGTGCAAATGATGGGCGAATGAGATATAGTCGCCCCAGTCGGCCGAGTACTGAGCTTCTTGTAGATGTCCTCCATGCCAGCCATGCGTGTCTGTGGTGTGCAGGAAGTTGAGCTGGCCCCAGGGAAGCTCTCGGAGCGGAGCGGCGATGGGTTCGGGGGCGGTGGGCTGTTCAGCGGTGGCGAGAAGATGGAGGAGGGTCAAAAGCAATGGTATACGCGTGAATACCATGTCGTCTCAGGGTGTTTGTACGTCGATGCTGCTCTTGCTTTGGTGGTTGTACTACGCAGTTGAGGTGATAGCTTCAGACTCCCAGCCATCACGACCTGACTGTAGGACTACGCGCCTGGCGTCATCACGCATCTCATTCGACGCGTTTCACCTTCGCGTCCTAAAGCGCGAAAGTACCTCCTAGATCCCATGAAGCATCGTAGTAGACCAATGTATTTTATTACCTCCTGTATTCATTTGCCTAGGTACTGCACGCCCATCAGAGATGAAGGCCGCATTGAAAAACTAGAACAAAAACAAAAAACATCAACGACGTACGGTATGGTATGGTATGGTATATACACTGCCCAAAGTCAAAAGACAAAACTTCAACCAGACCACATCTCCAAGAAGAAGACAAACTTGCTTCCGCCCGTCTATACCGTACACAAGAATAGAAAAAATCTCCACGCCCGAAAGATGCGCCATGACGCCTCGCTTGGAAAAAGAAAAGCACAAAACCACCATCATCTTCATCTTCATATTCGTCCCATCGCATCGCATCTCAAGCCTCCGTTCGAACCATTTCATAAAACAATAAATAGACTTCTTTCTGCATCCCCAACACCTCACTAGTTTTACTCTCTTTAATCTTGTCGTCGCTGATTCTCCACCAGCGATCACTACTCGCAGCAGCAGTCTTCTTCGCCGTTTTGCGCTGCACTGCACCTCGAAAATTGCGGAAACTACCGGATCGTCGAGGAGAGGTCGTTTCGTCTGCCTTGGAAGTATCGCCAAGATTACTCGTAGACGGTGGTGTGGGGAGTCCAGGTGCGGGAATGGAGTCGAAAGGGACAGAAGCATTGGTAGATTTCCTCTTGTCTGACGAGGGAACGATGGTCGAGAGTGACGAGGAGGACGGCGTGCTCAGGAACTGTGAGTCCGCGCTGCTCACTGTGCTGTCACGGGGAAAGTCCGCTGTGCTGGCACTCAGTCGCGGACTATTGACTGTACTGGGAGCTGGAGAAGCCGCGATACTATACACGCCTTGTCTTCCAAGCGTCGTGGGCGTCGAGAAAGGTTGAGGGAGGACTTGTCGTCTGAACGATTCGTAATGTCCGCTGTTGTGACCGCCCTTATGCGTGACCACCCCGAGTAGACGATACTGTTTCCTATCGAGAAGACCTCCCAGGGGTAAGCTTTCCGGGAAGGAGACTTTGGCCATGTTCTTCGAGCTCGTGGCAGAAGGGTCCCAGACTGATCGAGACAGGTGAACTGACAAGATCTTGGGAAATTCGGAAAGGCGTGTATGGCGGGCGATTTTTCGTTTCGGTGCTGTTGATACATCTGGTAATTTGACATCGCTGGGCGGCTTTTCTGGATCTTCATCCAAGGCTTGCTGCAGTTTCATGTTGTCGTCTTCAAGCTTGGCGCGGTCTTCAGGAGAGAGATCAGACCTCGCGAGGATTCTATCGTTGATCGATATTGCATGAGTGAGACGGCAGCATTCACACTTGAAGTCGTCGATATGTTCGACCTTGAACATGCCATCGAAGCATTCGCTGAGCGTCGTTGACGTCTGCTCATGCGGGACATTCAAGGTCAGCGTCAGGAAAGTCGATATGGATGGCTTCGGCTTGAAGTGGCAGTGCGAGCATTCGACTTGGGATTCCAGCTTGCCTTGGAGTGGGAATATGTTTTCGTCCTTGTCCGAGTCCGATTCTTCGGGTACTGTTTGCAGGACTGAATTAAATTGGTCGGTATTGACCTTCTCCATCTTGCTGTCCCTCGGTCTCAACGCTCCTGCCTCTCCTTCTTCAGTATTCGCGGCATCCTCTGCAGGTGGCTCAACGGTGATGTATGACTGCGCCTCAGTTTGCCGTATCCTCCTTCTCGCTCTCCTCCCAGCATAATACTCCTCTGCAATCCTCTCCACCACGACCTGTAAGAATTCTTGTGCATCTTGCTGGGACCTGCTGATTCTCGTCCTGAAGCTGGTCTCCACACATCGAATGAAGCCCTGCGCGCTGATGGTCTTCTTATAGATGGGCCTCTCATTCAGCGCATCCAGCACATCTTTCAACCCCGCCGTAACCAGTCCTTGCTGCAATCCCGCAAGCTGCCACTCCGGCGTCTTCTTCGCTCCCTCTCCCCTCTTCGCCTGCTCTTCGAACACTGCAGTCAGATCCTCGTACACAGCTGGTCCATCCAATGCCCTTCTGTGTACTTCCCGGATGAGAAAAGCTCGCAAATCAGGCAGTCCAGCCAATGCCTGCAGGACAGAATTGATAAAGCAGTCATTCGCCGGGTTGACCAGTCCGACTACACCTTTCTTTCGACTGCTCTTTGTGCTGCTCGCATCGTCGCTGTCGAGGAAGAAGGTCGGCCCGAAGACATAGACCAGCGTGATTGCAGCAAGAGAAGCACCAGCTGCATATGTTGCGATGGTAAGAGGCCTGTCGGGCATCCTTCGTCCTTCCAAGGCGCCTGTGCCGGCGAAGGCTATGAGGGTTTTCTCGCGTTGACTATAGTCCGAGGTTGGGTTTTTGCGAGAGGAGGGTGTTGGAGGTGTCGTCGTCGTGGTGGTGGTGAGAAGGAGCGGAGAAACTGCTCCTCCATAGCGGAATGGGCTGTCGATGAGGTCCACTGTCCAATTCTACTGGCTGATGTTGCTGAGGAGTTGGAGCGGTGGGGTGAAGTTGAATCATTGCTAGGTAGCATTGAGCTTTCGGGTGGAGGAGGAAGAGTTTACATCCGAAGCTGTCTTTCTTTGTTCCCTTCTTTGCCAGTACAGCACTCATATACACACACACATACACCGACATCATGACTTTACCACTGCGAACACGCTCCATCCCCCAATGTTTGGCCTGTCTTCGCAGCTATGCCTGGGTGGATGCTGTTCCCACGCAGACGACAGGCCTGCGACAGCAGATTAGGGGCAAGAAGAAGATGCCAAAGCCCACGGGAGACATACCAGCTCGTCTGCGCAAGGACTTGCCTGGATTTGGGAAAAAAGGTCAATTGATGTACACTTTGTTTGTATACCAGACAGAGCTGATGGAAGCGAACAGGATCCATAGTGCCAATGGCTCGTGGTATGATGAGAAACCACTATTTTCCATCACGAACCGCCGACTACGTAACGATGTCCGAACTACGCATCCTCCGAGCCCAGAATATTCCCATTAAACGCGACTACGCATTCGGCAGGCGCGACTCGGATACTTCCTCTACAGCAGCCAGCGATGCAGCATCTCTCTCCGGGCCAGAAGCCACAGAGGAGTACACGCGAAAGGCTCCGGAAGTGGAGCGCTTGACAGGCGCACGTAGCATTGAACTCCTGGAGATTTTCGTGCCGCATCGCATGGATTTTTACAGACAGCCAATCGTTGAAGAAGCACCAAAAAAGGAAGAATCAGAAGCTGCGCAGCCGAAGAAGGAAGAGAGGAGACAGCAGAGAACGGCATCAAGTGCTGCAGCAGATTTATTGGCTGCGCGTACACAAAAGCCGCAGACGAAGGCTCAACCGAAGATGACTGGTGCCATTTATGGTTCTGTCTCGCAGCATGATGTGCTAGTCGCTGTAAGAGCGAGCATTGCGACAAACGATGAGGCTGCAAGAGTCATTGTGAGTGAACAGGATGTGGTCTTTACAGATGAGAAGGCGCGGGCAGAGAACAAGATCAAGGAGCTGGGAGACTGGGAGGTGGAGATCAAGGTCAGAGGGGAGGAGAATGGTGTGAAGAGGATCGTGAGGGTTGTGCCGCAGGAGGCGTAGACGAGAAGATGAAGAGAGAAGATGAGCGGCCGATGCAGGCAGATTATGCTGTGCTATGGACATACGAGGTCGCTGCGTAACGCTCTCACTTGCGCGCGCGCGCGCGCGTACGCCACACCAAAGATGTGCTGCAGAACTTTGTGCTGCCGTCTGGACGAAAGCGTTGAAGATATGAGAGAGAGAGAGAGAGAACAAACAAGGATGAATCTTGTGCAGCAGCATACGGTATACCTGTATCAACAATGCAGACGACGCAGACTGATCTCAAAAGCCAAGATTCCTCCTTGGTATACACCATAATCCGACCGCATTAAATCATTACACCATGGTCCATGCATGAGCCCCGCGGGATCACCTCCGAGACCCTAAAACCTTGGCGGCACTCGCGGCACAGGAGGCTGTGCCTTGTGCTCACATGCACAGTTGCATAGTTGCATACCTGGTACCTATACAAGCCCGATCAAGACCATGTGGCACAGCCTTAGTCGTCGTGGCCGTGGCCGTCAACTGACCTTCTTGGGCTAACACGACATGTATTGTACAATGCTACATGCGGGGTTCGTATACATGTATAGATATAACTTCCTCATCCTCCTTTTCCTCTCTCCCTCTCCCTCCTTCTTGGACTTTTCACTGTTTTTTTTTCTTTGGTATATACCACACAGCTCCTTTCTTCACCTTATTATATCTCAGCTGTGTTTGTTTGTTCATCTGTACCACCACCACCACCACCACAACCACAACCACAACCAACAACTCCAAAAAAGGAAACCAACTCCAGTGGCAACACCAAACACACCAAACACCAAAACACACCAAACCCACAATGTGCATCCTCATCCTCCGCTCCTGGCCCACCTGCGGCCACTCCAACATCACTTCCACAGACCAATGCATGACCGCCATGACCACACCCGGCATGACACCCCATCAATGCCACTACGCCACAATCCATCGATTCACATTTTCCATTTCCGGTCCGAATCACAATACTACTACTGCTACTACTGCTACTACTGCTACTACTGCTGCTGCTGCTGAGGATGCAGAAGATTGGCCCTGTCCAGTCTGTATAGAAGAGAATCGGAGATTGAGTTTGGACTTGTTGAGATTTGAACATGAACATGAAGGTGATAGTCATGGTCATGGGAAGCGGGTGGGGAGGAGGGAGAGGATGGGGAGTAAAAGTAGTAGTGGGAGGAGTAGTGAGGGAAGTCTTGGGAGGGGGTAAAAAAATTTGTATGTGATTATTTCTTGATGATGGGGTTCTCCCCCCCCCCCCTCTTCCTCCCTAGGGAGGGGGTAGTGGCGAGGGGATGTTTTGATGATAGTTGGTTGTGGAAGTGCTGACATTTGGGTGATAGAAATGGTGGGAATTCGTGCGTGAGGGATGAATTGGGAAGAAGAAAATGAATGAGCGTTACTGAGATGGTAGCAGCAGCAGCAGCAGCAACGGGAAATTTCCTGCTGCTCTGTTAGCAAAAGCCGCTGCCCAACAGGGCAATCCGGACTCTCAAGTTCGAACGTACCGGTCTAAAGAGACATCCAAGAGACACCTTGACGAGAACGAGATGAAGCACGCCACAGGGCTTTCTTACTCTGGACAGCTACTTCAAATTTGATACCTATCATTAGATGAACAGACCATCCGGAGCGTCCAAGGGGAGTAGCGTCGAGAAGGTCCCTCTACTCTAAAAGACCGCAGCATGAAAGACCATTGAGCTTTCTTCCCCAAAGAAAGGAGGTCAACCATACAGGCGATTTGAGCATTGCGGACTTTTTTTATGTAGCTTTCATCCCCATTTTCTGAAGACGGACTCGCGTATTAGCGACTTGGAGTATGGAGGATATATGAACGGTAAAATTGACCTCGGGCAGATCAGGTCGTAAGTACCGAACATAAGCCTGTTTGTCGCTTTTTTTTTAAACAGGGAGCAAGCGAGCGGGTAGATCGAATGGAAATGAAAGATAACATAGAAGAAATCAATCAAACAGTATCGAATATCAGAGCTACTGTTATGAAAACCCAAGAAAGGTACAATATAACCAAAAATTCTCCTCTTTTCCACACCTCTTCAACTCGTCCCTCAACTTATCCTTTTGAATATATATAAACCACAATCGATAACTCGACTTCCGCACTATACTTTAAGTATATATATTTAATAAAGGGAGAGATGTAGGAAGAGGGATCGAGTATTTGAATTTTTGTAGAGAAGATCTTTCAGGATTGTATGTCCTAATGTCCAAGTATGTTACCTATACACATACGTACACAATCTTTGAAAAAAGAAGGGAGAGCTAAGGCGCTGATAAGGACGAGGAATGGAGGCAGACATCTTCAATAAACAAGAATTTGCAAATTCCCCTTACTTAGGTATGCATTATTCATCGTCGTCGTCATCACTATCATCAATAATGAATCCAGCTCGCATCTTCCTACGATTCACAAACGCTACAGGCTTCATCGCAGGTACGGCATCCTCCTCCTCATCATCACTTTCTACGATCCTCGTTTTCGACTGGTTGACAGAGACCTCCTTCAGGGGCGCGCCAGCATTGGTATCAGCGTCTTCTTCCATGTCCGAGGGCAGAGGCGAGGAATCGTCGTGATCTGACAACTCGATTGGCGAGGACTTTCGCGCTGTACGGCGTGTAGGTGGAGGTTCGTCGTCGTCGTCATTTGCGCTAGAGTCGACTTCAATAGGGGAAGACTTCCTTGAGTATTGCTTTGGCGCGGAGATTCCATCTTCTTCGTCATCTGCGCTGCTTTCTTCATCTCCGGCGTCGAGCATGATTTGGTCTTCGTTCCCATCGCTGCCTGCGTTATTCTTCTTCCTCTTTCTTGTCGTCTTCTTGGCTGGTGTCGCCGTTTTCTTCTTCTTCGCAGCGGTCTTGGTTGACGATGCTGGTTTCCCCTTCGTCTTCGTCTTCTTCTTCTTTGCCCCATTCCCATCACTATCATCCCCATCACTATCACCTCCATCGATCTGCTTCAACAACGCGTTACGAATGACACCCGCCGTCTTATTCCGTCTCTCCTCTTCCAATCTGAAGAACTCTGCATCAGCTTCAGCATCACTCTCATCATCCGACTCGGTGATGAAAAGCTTCGACTTGATCTTCGCATTCTTCTCCTTCTCCTTCTCGTCTCTTGCTCTTCTCCTCTCTTCGATTTCCTCCTCGCTCCTCTCGACTCCTGTGCTTTCTCTCTTCCTTCTCTTCCTGGAATTAGCTTCCCCATCTTTGCGTTTACGTTTTTCTCTGAGATTAGGCGGGAACATTCCCTCGTCAATGTCACCTCCACTACCACTGGCGTTGGTGTCAGAGTCGTTGTCATCAAAAGTAGCCCCTCGCCGTGCAGCAGCTTTGGAGCGAACGAGATCTGCTGCGGTTTTGTCGTTGTCGAAATTTGGGGGTTCAAATTCAGCTTTCTTGATCTGGTTCAGGGCGTCGGTCAGATGAGAGGCAGAAAGCTCAGAGGGAATGATCCAGTCCGCCTCGGCATCATCGGCAAGCCCAAGTCGCTGGAAGCCGATGGTGCTCAGCAGGAGTCGAAGATGTTTGTCCTTGAATAGCGCAGTCTTGCGCTCCTCATTCTCAGGAGACAGAAAGATGGTGGGCGCAGGAAGGGGTTCAGGGGCATCTGCTGCTGCTTCTGCTCGATCTTCTAAGCTGACCAGGCCCATGCGAGCTGCTTGGTCGTCTTCCCAAGACTGTCGTTCTTCCGCAGAGGTTTGCAGTTGCTTTTTGACCCAGTCCAGCTCACCAGCTTTCGCCTGCTCTATCAGGAGAGACACCGCCACAGCAATGCGCTGTTCCTGCGCGACAGATGGCTTGATTTCAAGCTCGGCAGGCGGACGTGGTGCCCGCTTCTCCACAACCTTGTCATAGCCATTTTGCAGATAGAACATCGTGTTGGGTATCTTGCTGAACAACATCTCCACGACACAAGCTTCCCGCCAGCCGTCGCCTGTGGTGTCTCTCTCCATCCACTTGATGCATCGACGGAAGACTTGCTGCACGAGCTGCTCCCAGTCCTTGTATCCATCCATTGCTGGATCGAGACCTTCCGGACCTTTGATCAGCTTGTGAAGAAGCGCCAGAATGTCAACACGGAAGAGCAGGACGGTCTGCTCGTGCTTGAACGCCAGCCGATAGAGGTAGCGATGTGCCCGTTTCAGCTGAACAGGAGTGAGATCACGATAATAGTGGATCAGCGAGATGAATGTGTTGACGCATGGCTGCGACAGAAACTTGGCTGAGAACTTTGCAAAGTCGAATTTTCTTTCCGTCACAGCTCGTGCGACCTCTCGAGCATCCTCTGCGGCGTTTTCAGCGTCTTCGCCACCATCACCGTCAGGCTGTTCTTGCTTCTTCTTCTTTCTCGCCCGCCGCTTGGATCGGATCTGCATGTCCACATTCTGCTTGCTGTACCGCTCCAGCATTCGTATAAACACATGCACACATTCCGTGACAGCGTCAAGATAGGCGAAGCCTTGATGAGAGTAACCCCGGAGTACTTGCACGATCCTGTCCTGTGTTGACTCCTCGTAAAAGATGCGGTTTTGGATGTTCTCGGCGATCTCTTGATCTTCCTCGTCTTTGCTCTCCGCCATGCTTTGTACAGTGAGCAAGATCTGGGTGAAGCAGAGCAGTGTGGCTTGCAGATCCTGCCATTCTTTGTCGTCAAATGCCGTCTGCATTCTCCTATTCACAAGCACAAACGTTTCTTGGTCGAGTACGGCGGCGATGTATGCGAAAGTATTATCTTGTGGATTGACCTGCGTAGGTCGATCTGCATGCCATGCTCCCTCTCTTCGCGACTGATCTCGACGTGCTGCTTCCGCGTTGAGGAACCAGGATATCAAATAAAAGTACTGCCTGTGATGAATTTTGAGCACTCGCTCCGCTTCTCGCCCAATCGCCTTTCGCAGCATTGAGAAGAGAGGGTTGAATGAGGAATCTAAAAAGTCTTCGACGAAGGCGCGCAGATGTCTGCGGGCATTGTCCGACAAGTCCACGCGCATGCCAAACTCCGAGTTCTCGTCAAACTCTTGGGCCAGTTTTCCCCGGTATAATGGTTTGTTCCACTTCTTGCTTGCGTCCATCTGTCTCAGGGTATCGGCCTCATTCTTCATGCTCTTCTGTCCCGTTACAGTCGACAACTTCTCATTATCTCTCTTCACCCAGATCATGGTGCCAAACCTATTGTGCCTGGTTGGAGCGTTCCTTTTATAGCTATCCAGCATCGCCTTTTCCTTTTGCAGCAAGTTCTTCAGCTCCGTAGATTCCTCGGTGTTGACCTGCTCCTTCTCCATGAATAGCTTCCTCCCGTCCACACCTTTCAGCAGATGGAACAGCACCTCCAACATGATGACATCCTGCTCTTGAAAGTCCTCTCCCATGCCCGAGCCTATTGTGAGCAGTACCTGGAAGATGCCCTGGTCGTGAAAAGTGTCGATGGTGGCAGAGCGGCTGATGTCGTTCTCGTCGCCTTGCGAAGGCAGATGTTGCGGTTGTGAGATCATCACAATGTTACGAAAGAAGTACATCATGATCTTGATGATGCCCTCGTCTCTCTTGCTCCTCTCACGCCTCCCGGTGGCCATTGCTGGGAGAGCGGTCTTCACGACGGTCCTCAGAATCTTGGCGCGCTCAAAGTGCAGCACGGCTCGTTTGTATGACACCTGCGCCAATTGCAGGTACGGCACATGTCGATGGTGGTTGACAGTCGCTTTCTCGCTGTCCAGCTCCAGAGGCCAGGTCAAGGGCACCAGCAGTTCCAGACAGGCCAGCGCCAACTTGGCCTTGTGCTTGCTCTCCTGCGCATCATCGTCGGCCCACAGCGACAAAATCTCCAGCAAGTCTCCCTGGACCAGGTTGGCTTCTGCGAGCACACGCTTCACATCGTGTCGGTCGGTCTTCTCGTCGTAGAGTCGGAGCCATCGCTGCAAGTCCTTGAGCACGGCAACGGCATCGTCTCCGACGCTGTAGCTGTCGTCGTAGTTGGACCGACCACCGACAGCATTGACGAGGGAAGTGACATAGGCGCGCACTTCAACGTCGACCGTCGTGCTCTTCTCGAAGGGGTCCATGGTGGCAGAGATGGACTTGCATACAGCTGCCTACCTGACCTTAGGTGCTGTAGCATGAACTTGGGGAAGCCATGAGGCGACGCGTCTCCATCTGGACGCGTTCGTGACGCGCTAAGTTAGCGAGAGGTTGTCTTGGCATCGGCTACTGATCCCTGTTCATTCGGCATTACGCTGTATTAAGCCGAGCTTGAACTCAAGACTGTGTACACTGGATTGGCCTACAACTACAGCCTGCCCATCACTCCTCGACTCTCTTTTCCTCTCCTCTCCCTTCCTCTCCCACGCCCCGCAAGCACCGCACATGATCATGATGCTCGCTCAACGCCTTCCTGTTGCTCCCCACGCCTGGCACCGCTTCATGGCGCCGACATGTTCCCGCGTGCGCTGCTTCTCGGGGACATCAGCCGCCCTGAGCACGGGTACGGGTAGTTCGACAGAGGCCGCCACAGTCAATCGACTGGGTGTCGTAGGCACGTTCATCTCATCGCTGCGCACGCCTCGTCGTCCCTGCTAACTCATCTGTTATCCCCCCAGGCGCGGGACAGATGGTATGCTCGTTACCTCCCTCGTCCTCCCCCCCTCCCTCCCCCCTCGGCCCTCGCCCGCCTATCACCGGCTTGCTAAAGCAGCTGACTGATGTGCAGTCGCGTCCCTAGGGCTTGGGCATTGCCCTCGTAGCTGCCCGCGCTGCTCAAGTGCCCGTCACTCTCGTTGACACCTCGCAAGCCTCCTTGGACAAGGGGCTCGCCTTTGCCGACAAGTTGCTCGCCAAAGATGTCTCCAAGCAGAAGATCTCGCGCGAGGATGCCGATGCGGTGCGCGGCCGCATCACTGCCACCACCAAAATGGACACGCTGAGCAACGTCGACATGGTCATTGAAGCGGTGCCTGAGGTGGTCCAGCTCAAGACGAGCATCTTTGCCGAGCTCGCTGCGACCTGTCCCGCCCATGCCATTCTGGCCACTAATACCTCTTCTATATCGATTACCAGAATTGCTGCCGCCACTACCAAGGTATGCCCCCCGTCAGTGCACCCACCCTTGCGTATGCAGTCGAGCTTTCGCCTACCTTATCAGATCAACCTGCATCCGCCGCTTTCCCTGCACACGCCGCACTACCTCCTACATCCTCCTGCTGCTGCACAGTCATACCAATTCGCTCGATTCTGACTCGTTCACACAGGACCCAACCGATCTCAGTGCCTCTTCTCGCGTCATCTCAACCCACTTCATGAACCCTGTCCCCGTCCAAAAGGGCGTCGAGATTATCTCCGGCCTCCAAACCTCTCCCTCCACCCTCGCTACTGCCTTGGAATTCTGCCGCCGTATGGGCAAAGTTCCCTCCACCTCTGCCGACTCCCCGGGCTTTCTCGCCAACCGTATTCTCATGCCCTACATCAATGAGGCCATTATCTGTCTAGAGACTGGCGTGGGCGATGAAGCCGGAATCGATAGTATCATGAAGAACGGGACCAATGTCCCTATGGGCCCGTTACAGTTGGCAGACTTCATTGGATTGGATACGTGCCTGAGTATCATGGAGGTTCTACACAAGGAGCTGGGTGACAGCAAGTATCGACCTGCAGTCAGACTGCGGCTGATGGTTGATGCAGGCTGGCTAGGGAAGAAGAGCGGCAAGGGCTTTTACACGTACTAGGCGAAGAAGCCGAGCGGTTTGGTGCAGTGCAGCCCGGCAGCAGAAGGGGCGGAGAGGGTGACGTAGATGATGAAAGAGAGCGTGAAACGTCGAGGGGCAGATCGTGTTGTGCTCCCTGACGGACGACGAGGGAGATGAAAATGGACGAATGAAAGAGCTTGGAAATCGTCTGACACAGCTTCTATACGTGCATCTCCGCACATGCAACATGCGCCTTAAACGCCTTTCCCACGACGTGCAGAAAGTGGGTGCGGTACTATCCGGGACCTATTCTTCCACAGCACCAACCCAGTCTCCCCCGTCTCATCCCACACTTGTCCACCACTCACACTGCAACGCGGATCCAGCTTGCTCTGCCACGGAATTCGTATCCATGACTTCAATCCAACATAGGTACTCTCACTCACCCTTCACATCATCATTCATGTGTGTACCCTGCACGCTATGGCCCGATGGCGTGAGCTTGGCCCTCTCGGATTCCTGTAATGGCTCCATCAGATGACATGGTACGCGTCAGCCGCCATATCACTCCCACATTAATCCTCTTGCCGAAGGAACACATCCTTCGAACACATCTTCGACCCCCCCAAAAAAAGCAAGTACAGTACCGAATTGTCAAGCAAGACCGCAAGCAGTAGCAGCAGCAGCAGCAGCAGAAATGTCATCTCTCTTCAGCTGTTGGGGTGCACTGAGCCACTGCATTCTTCCCCAAGACATGCACAATCACCATGATAGTATCAACGAGTCTTCTGCCCTTTTGTACAACCACCACCACTACAACAACAATAACAAGAAGAAGAGATCATCCTCCTCCTCCGTTCCCCTACCCCACTTCTCCTCGGACGAACCAGAAAAGAATCATCCTCCTTACCCTCTTCCCACCAGACCTACGCAAAAGAAAGAAGGTTGGTGGTGTATCGAAGTTCAGCAAAAGGAGAGAGGGGAGGAGGTATTGGAGAATGACGATGATGACGATGATGCTGATGGCGGCGAGAGAAGAAGAAGGAGAAGAGAGGAGAAGATGAAGACGAAGATTAAAATGAAAATCAAAGAGAAGGAGAAGAACAAGAACAAGAAGGTCAAGGTGAAAAAGGCGTGTGATGATTCTCCTTCACCGCTGCAGTTACTACATGTACCTTCTTCTTCTCCGGTGTTGTGGCCAGGAGGGAGAAGTTTGGAATTGGGTGAGATTTCGAGGTATGTAACTCTTTTTTTTTTCTTTTTTCTTTTGGACTTGAGAGATGAGATGAAATGAGATGAGCTAATGGGAAAATGTATTTATTATAGGGTGATGATGATGGGGAGTCGGTAGATTTTTTTTGACGGGGAGGTTTGTCTCAACTTTGAAATGGGGTTTTGGGGATTGATGATGATGACGATGATGATGACAATGATGACAATGATGACAATGATGATGATGAGAAGGATGATTTGGAAGTTCTGACAGGTGAATTCGAAAGTTCCTCGTTGTTTGGGTTACAGGTACATGTATCGGCAACCTGAGGTTTGTCATTTTTGATAAAGTAGTCGATGTGGCTGGCCCGTCTAGCATGGAAGTCAAGTACCTCCTAGGTATTGCGGAACAACAAGAATGGAAAGGAGAAAGAACAAGGCTGCTATAACATGAAAATAAATCGCTGGTCGTCTTCATCTGCCTTTCTTTTCTTTCTGCATAGAACAGCTCACATGATGTATGGAGGAAAAGAAGCAAAATACTTATTCCACACACACGTACGCACACACATAAACGCCTATAACGCCATCGCTTCGTTCATGTACTGACCTAGCCCCCCCTTTCCCCCGCAACACTCCTCTGGCAAACAGAAAAAAAAAGTCTGTAAACGACAACACCTGGGTCGTCACAGCATGGCAAACTCGGCTCCCTCGCACGGCCACGTCGCATCATCATGCGTAGCCACTGTAATAGTAGTAGTAGTCATCACCTCATTCCCATCTCCGTTCCCACCACCATAAAACCCCCCTCGAGGAATCTCCTCTTCGAAAAACTCCTCAAACCGCTCACTACTCTGCCCAACAGCCCCCATCCCTCCTCTACTCCTCCCCCTCCCCCTCTTCTTCTTCTTCTGCAGCAGCAGCATCTCCTCCTCCTCCTGCTTCGCAGCAACATCACAATCCCTCTGTCTCTGCGCCAACAATTTCATATAATACGTCCCATCGACAGCATGTTTGACAGGGCGCACAGCCGCAGATTTCCAATCGACATCAAAGCCTGTCAAGCTGGCTTCTTTGACGTAGATTTTTTGCATCATGTCGCCGAGCGTGTTGACGCCTTCGCACAGTTCGTCGTGGTCGTGCGCGTCTTCGAACCAGAACATTACGTCGCCTTTGCCTGTGCTGGGCGGTGGTTGGGTGAGGAGCATGCGTTGCCAGCTGGGGATGAAGGTCATGGTGTTGGTGTTAGTGTAGTTGTTGTTAGTGTTGTTGTTGGTGTTGTGGGGGTGGTCGTGGTTGTTGTTGTTGTTGTTGTTGTTGCTATTGCTATTGCTATTGCTATTGCTACCACTTCTCTTGGCGGGGTCGGCAAAGGCGACATTGCGCAGTTTCCATTCTCGGGTGGTGTCGAAGAGGAGGTCATTGAGAATGACAATATGTTCGAGGAATTGCTTGCTGCGGTGAGAAGTGGCGTCGAGGATGTTATATCGTTCCGATTTGGCAGCGTCGAGGAGGCCCAATTCGAGGATTTCGTCAAAGGTGTTGGTGGGGAGGAGGAAGAGCTTCTTTTGCAGCATTTTGCTGTGGCGGATAATGTAGTGCCATCTCCGGTCGACACGTTGCGAAAGCAGTAGCGTGCGCGTGTCGAGGTTGAGGAGGATGAGTTCGAGCAGTTCTCCCGTGTCCAGGGTTGCAGTGGCGGCTGCCATGGTTGGTTTTGGTTGGTTTATTATTTTGGGGGCGGGTGGCCCAGTCCCGGTCTGATCAGACACCGCCGACTTGTTTGGCCGTGAGCAGAATACTGCGCCGGGCGGAGCCTCAGCGCGGAGTGCCGGTTACTGTGATGACGCCCGTGCGGTGTAGAACATCCGTGCAGGTGGTGTAGCAGTCGAATATCGGAAAATCTCTTCTCGTCATGCCCCCGCTATCCTTGGCAAGGCATTCCACAACAGAACACAAACGAGAGGACAGCCAGGCACCAGAGGAGTAGGAGGATGAGGAGGAGAAGGCGAAGGAGAAGGAAGAGGAGCAGGTGGAAGAGGAGAGGTGGTCGGCGTGATTTGCGTGGGCGTGCATCACCGACTTACCTGAATTAGTACGAGGAGGTACTTCCGAAGAAAGTGCTTATAATTATATTAGCGACGACGCGCGATGGTGGGCTGTTTTTGCTGCGGTATAGTGGATTCAGCCTATGATAACCTCGGTATTGGCCATGACCACGCTACAGAGCATGCACACGAACATGGATGCAGGATGCCACCACGGCCAGGCCTGCAAGCCACGCTGACTGCTCTGTGGGCGTGGATGTGGTTGGTATGAAATGCACATGTGCAGCAGTAGTGTCAGGAGGATGATGTGGTTGTTGTCGTTTGGTGGCTAGATTGGCTGCGAGCTGACAGGCTGACGGCTTGCAAAAAAATAAAATAAAAAATAAAAACCCCCCTCCCACCACACCCCCACGACGAAAGGATCATGCTATGGCTCTAGCTTTGCGGACCGCCTCCACTCTCTGCAAGGAGGAGGGAGGGCTGATGGATGGAAAAAGGAGTCCGAGGTGGGCGACCCGCGTGAAGTGAATATGTCGTCTCCATTGCTGCAGTCAAGGGCAAATGAAGAATGCTTGCCACTACACCCAGGCCAATGCATGGATAAGGTGAGGGTCGTCGACGTGTCGTCGCCGCACCTCCATCTCGCGGTGGCTGGAGATCGAAGCACCATCGTACAAGTTCCAAGTGAAAAGCAGCAGGCTGTCTGTCCTCAGCTGACTCTCGGCTGCCAACAGACCAGGAATAAGTCCTCATCAACCTTCACCTTCTTCCACTTCCTCGCTCGCAGAGAGGATGCGATAGGCCTGTGAGTACGAGAGACTTGATTTGTCCCTGCTCTCGAGTCAATGATGATACGACCTAGTACTTGAATGCCTTGAACTTTACACGAGAGCACTGTATAGAATGTATAAACACAAGAGCGATCCTAAGTCGATACCTCTGGATAGTTGGAGGCACAGAGACCGGTAGGCCGTCTAGCTTATACAAGAACATGGACTTTGACCCTCGGAGAGTGTACGACCATGAACATGCACCAAATATCGATTGTCCAGCAATGAAGTGTACCTTAGGATCCAATGATCCATAGCTCGATGCCGAGATTCTCTCACCAAGCCAGGCTAGGGAGAAACATCGCGCTCGGGCCTCACCAGGACTTCAGTTGAGCACATATCAGACTAGAGCTACTAAAACAAGAATCCCAGATAATGTTCTGTCCTTATAAGGAGGAATGCAGAGAGAGAATGGAGTCGAGCATGGCCGAATTTTAGCATTGTTGGTATCGAAGCTGCCAACATAACCTTGTCGGAAGCAAAAACACATCTTCAAGTGCCCGGTCTTGCACTCTCACTCCGATGGCGTCCCCAATAAGTTTCTGGAACACTGCATCCCCCAAGAGCTGAGCGTAGAAATTCCGCCTCGCCACCTCTTCTTCTTCTTCTTCTTCTTCCTCTAGCCTCGGGGATGAAATACTCTTCAGCAGCAGCCCTCACCAAACCATCGCGATCCTCAAGCCGACGGGAACCCTTCAAAGTCACTTACAGCCAAGACGAAGTCCACTCCCAACCAAGACGAAGTCCACTCCCAATCAAGAAAGAATGCACACTCCCAATTCCTCTGATTCCCGCACCCTCCCGCTTCAAAAACCAAAAGCAAAAGCAAAACCACACAAAAAAAAAAAAAAAAAAAAAAAAAAAAAAAAAGTAGCAAGTAGCATTCTCGATCTCCATCCATCCTCCTTCCCCTCCCTCCCTCCCTCCTCATCGGGCATCAGCACAGAGTATACATGTATAAGGTAATCTGTACCTCTCTATTCCAAAAAATAAAAAGCCCACCTCATAATGCAATTCACACACACAGACACACAACCAAAAGAAAATTCAACGGAACATCTACCTAATCCAGCGACGAAACCCGACCGTGGCTGTGCCCATCATCGTCGTCGTCGTCGTCGTCTTCACTCGTTCAGTTTAAAAAACCACCACTACTGGACCGGACGAGCAGTAGTGTCAAGCAGTAGTCCCAAATACTATCCAACCGGACATTAAAACAATCCGTAGGTACGTACCAAGAAAATTCACCTGCCTTACACAGTACATACATACATTACTTCGCCATCTTATCAATCAGATTATCAGATACAAAAAGACCGGACCGGACGGAACGGAAAGCGGAAAGGAAAGCGGAAAGCAGAAAGGAAGGACGGACGGATCTAGCCCTTGGAGCGGCAATTCCGCCGAACTCCGCTTGTATACCTACCTTATGTAACGTAGGTACCTTATAGGTATATACATAAAAATGGACGGGTAAGGTAAGGTAGGTATAAGTATGTATTACCTCTTAGTAGTTAGGAGGTAGTAGTTAGGAGGTAGTAGTTAGTAGTTAGTAGTCACATATCCCTCCCCGTCCTTGTCAGGTATGTAGGGCCGCGTCAGTCACATCAGATCATTGCAATTAAGTACGGTATATAATCAGGTATGCACATGCATGTACCTTCTAGGTAGTAGGTACAGTAACCAAGCTTCTTCTCCAAGCTTTTTATTCTCCTAGAAGGCATCGTTTTTTTTCCTTTTCTCCCACTTCCCGTTCTTCTTCTTCTTCTTTCATGTTCCGAGGAGGGATGGTTAAGCGAAGATGCATGTTGTATATACGTACTGTACCTGATGCATATGTACGGATGCACATACCCGAACCGGATAATTTTTTTACGTACGTACTTACGTACTATACTCGTATTTGCAGTCTGCAGGAGGAATTTGGTGTGTAAGTGAATGTATGTGTGTGTGCGAGTGTGTGTAAGAGAGAGAAAGCGAGAAACCGAAAAAGTGCACAAGACATGTGTGTATCAGGTATGCACAAGTACATGTACCTAGATTGTAAATTCAATTTCCCAGTATTTCTTTCCTCCTGCCCCCTTGAACACAACACAAGACTAAAAGATAGGTAGATAGATGATATCCCACCCGCGCTTCAATTTAAAAAAAAAGAGGAAAAAAAGAATCCATCATCCCTCAATCACTCAACCACCTTCCCACCCAACACCAAACTCTCCATCTGCTTCTCATTCGCACTCGGCGAATACCCAAAAATATTCTCCACCATCTCCCCACCTCTTACCGCCAAAATTGACAGCAACGTATCCGACAATCCATGGGTATTCTCATTGCAACCCTGTAGCCAAATTCCCGCATCGGATTCCACCGCATCGGGTGCAAACTCCACTGCGTACTCGCGCTTCACATTCCAGTCGGTGGCTCCTGGGGGCATGAGATGTTGCACGCCGTGGAGCATATCTTTGTATGCGTCACGACGGTAGCCGCTGGCAACGATGAGGAGGTCGACAGGTAGAGTTTCGGTAGAGGAGGGTTTGTCACGGTGGTAGAGGCCTGCGTTGTTTTGGATTTGGAGTTCGAGGCCTGCGGGCTTGCCGTCGACGGTGATGTCTCGGATGCCGGTGACTTCGCGGTGGTTCATGATGCGCTGCGGCCATTGTTCTTCGGGAAGGTTTTGGATTTGGTAGGTGTATTGTTCCGCGTAGATTTCTTCGAGGAGTTCGATACGGACGACGCCATAGTTGGTGGCTTTGTCTTGGGCGATTCCTTTGGCACGGGTCTCCGGGTCTTGGCCGTAGACGTCGTCGACGCGCTCGGGGTTGAAGACTTCGTTGACGCTAGAAGACTGGTCAGTGGGCTATTCGCTTGTGTGGGGGACCGAGGGGATATACTCACAATGGCGAGTCATCACTGGGCTTGAGTGCAGCACCTCGGATTAGAAGTACTGATTGTGCACCTGGGAATCGGGTTGGAATGTCGTGCCAGCACTCAGCAGCGCTCTGGCCTCCGCCAATGACAGCCACTCGCTTGGGATGCGATCCTTCAGGGAACATCTTGTTGACATGCGTGGCATACTGAGAGGAATGGATGATTCTGGGATGGTGTTGTGGAAGAGTGTCTGGAATCCGGGGTCGTCCACCTGCGGCGATGACAACATTCTTGGCCTTGAGAGTCTGTCGCGCACCCGTTTCGCTGTTGTTGGAGTGGACGTTGAAGTACTCCACGGCACCAGTTTTGGGGTTCTTGGGCCCGGCAGTCACGCTCTCGACATTCTGACTGTAGTCGACCACGTTGTTGAAGTGCTCTGCACACCACCGCATATAGTCCTCATACTCGACGCGTTGTGGCAAGAATGTGTTCAGGTTGGTGAATGCAACCAATCTGTCCTTGGCGTGAAGGTAGTTCAAGAAGGTGAACTCACTGCGAGGATTTCGCAGCGTGGCCATATCCTTCAAGAATGTGATTTGCATCTTGGCTCCAGGAAGGAGCATACCGGCGTGCCATGCGAACTTGTGCTGCTTTTCCAGGAATCGAACTCTGGGTGCTCGAGTGGCAAGTCTGGTATTGTTCAATTCCAGGCTGTCGTGAAGAGCCACGGCAATGGCGAGCGAAGCAGGGCCGAATCCGCAGCAGACCAGGTCTTGGACCTCATCGTTGTCGAATCGCTGGAGATTGGATCTTCTGTCGCCACGAACAGGGCAGGCAATCTCGTCGGGCGAAGTGATTGCTGTCGAGGTGTAGGATAGTGTCGATGACGACATGTCCGACATAGCGTGAGGCGCCATCATGTAATTCTGATATGTGTCAGATGTTTCCCAAGGAGGAATGAATTGAACAGGAAGGAATATACCAGATGCTAGAAGTGCACAGTGCGGGCGTGTTCTCTTGTAGATGGACGTGGACAAACAAATCGGATGCCCAGGTCGTTTGCCAGGGAGGCGAATTCAGGGCCAAGGGGGTGGTGCAGAGTAGGTAGTCGAGTGTGCCCACGGGGAGGCAGATGGAGAGGGGAGATGACTGGAGGTGAAGTGGGAGGTCTGGTAACAGTGGGACTGGAAGTCGGTGGCGTAATCACGAATAGTGAAATAGTACGAAAGGGCGATGGACCACACGAACAGCAGTCAGGTACATGTAGTAGTTAGTAGTAGCACTAGTACCTCCTCAGTCGTCGTACTCGTCGTCGGCGGAGGAGGAGGAAATGGATAGGAATCTAATCAGATCAATCAGCCATCTCATCCTGCCCTTCCACTAGTGGTTGCAATTCATTTTGTCTTCCGCCACCACAAGGAAGGCTCATCATGGACAATTTTTCCCTCCCGCTGTGATGTGACGTTGCAGGCTTCTCTCTAGCGCGTCATGCACAGGAGAGGTACATGCACAAGGGAGCCACCCGCTGAGACCCTAGTCCCGAGCTCATCCTGGTCAAGTGCGGTCTGCTTTGACTCCTCGGCGCGTTATCTGATCCGAGATACCCTGACCGAGCCCAGATCCCCCACCCATGCATGAGTGCATGTGGTCCGCCGTCGATCTGACCTGCAAGCCCATCCCCACCGCCGAGCTGGTGTGCTCCGAAGTCATCTGCTAAACGCCCCCCCGGCCCGTGGCAGCGACTGGCCACGCTTACACGCACGGCTACGCGCACGTGCACCAAACAACACGATCCAATACACACGCACGGCCGCGTGCACGTATACGACAGTGCCACTGGAATTAACCCAGCAGATCGTAGACGTCAAGCTATACAACAGACTTGATCAGCGGGGGAGGAATGGCTGACATCTCCGTGGATCAGATATGATAAGATCAATATATCGCTTTTACCAGACCATATGCCCCCGAGCTACTCCCTACGTATGCACCGCCAAAAAGCCCCCAACGCCAGTGCTAAGCCCGCAATTCATGTTCCCGTAACGCGACACACCAGGCTCATACATCCTATCATCTCGCCAAACACTTGCCAATGTGATGGTGTACGCGGATGGATGCAGCTCACGTCAGAGATTGTGCCTTGGCCATCGTAGCGTACAGGCCGGCCTCTTGCATGAGCTCGGCATGAGTGCCCCGCGCAACGCATTTCCCTCCGTCAAACACGAAAATCTGGTCTGCGTGCTGAATCGATGCCAGGCGGTGTGCTACGATGATTGTCGTACGACCCTTGGCTGCTTCATTCAACGATTCTTGCACGTGCGCCTCGCTATGCGCATCCAGTGCCGAAGTCGGCTCGTCGAGAAGCAGCACTTCCGGGTTGCGTACTAGTGCGCGTGCAATGGCCAGTCGCTGCTTCTGCCCTCCACTCAACTTCGAAGCGCTGCTGGAGCCACACTCGGTGTTGTAACCTTCTGGTAGACTGGTAATGAAATCATGCAGACCACACTTTTTGCAAGCCGCTTGGACATCATCCTCCGTCACAGGCATGCCAGGCGGCGCGCCGAGCTTGACGTTGTACGATATGGACCCCGAGAAAAGATCGGGGTCCTGGCTGACGAGCCCCATGTGACTGCGAAGGAGCCTGACGTCCAATTCGCGTACGTCGCGGCCATCGTAGAATAAGGAACCTTCGGTAACATCGTAGAAACGCTCAATCAGAGCCATTGCGGATGACTTACCCGCTCCCGACGGCCCACAGAAGGCGACTGTCTGTCCAGGAGCGATGCTCAAGCTGATATTGCGCAGAGAAGCCTTCGAAGAGTTGGGGTATAGTAAGGTGACATCCTTGAATTCCACTTTCGGTTTGACCTCATCGAGATTGGATGATTTGCCGAGGTCACTGCTGACTAACGACGAAGTAGTAGAACCTGATTTCGTCTCTAGCGAGTCCGGTCGAATCTGAGACTGCATGATGGTGGGCTGGGCATCTAAGAGAGTGAAGATGCTTCGTGACGCCGTCTTGGCTCGTGCAATCTCAGGACTGAGACTGAAGAATTGTCCAGCCGACTGTGCGGAAAAGAGGAGCGCCGGCAAGACAATAAAGAAGTCGGTAGTGGTGTACATGCCATTGCGGACTTGCTTCGATCCCCACCAGTATGCCAATGCGTACACAAAGTATGTGATGGAGAAGCAGAATGCGAGCAAGGTATTGGCGTAATACACAAAGCGGCGAAGCTTCTGGAAAGGCGCACGCAGTGCTTTTTGGTAGTCATCAATCAGATGCTGTTCGAGGCATAGCGCAGTGACCGCGCGCCTATTTCGACACGCCTCTGCTGCCAACGCGGTGGCATTGGTGTAAGCTTCGCGATGCTGTGTTTCCGATTCTGTCAGCAGGCGCAATCGTGCCCATCCCGCGACTAACATGATGGGCACAGCTGCGAGCAGGACGACGGAGACTTTCCATGCCACGATCATGGACAGGATAATACCACCGATGACGGATGTAAAGATCGTGAAGATGGCACCAAGGGCTACACCGCCGAGTGCAGAAAGATCGCCGGGATCTTTGGTGAACTTGGACATCAGCTGTTGCACGGAGTGTCCGGATTCAGAGAACCACGCAACGTCCAGTTGCAGCAATGTGTGCAACAGCCTGGTCTGTACTCGGCCCGTGATCTTGCTCGATATCATACCGAAGACGGTGCCGCTGGTAAGGTACGAAGCCAATGCGACCAGAGCGAGAACGAAGAAGATGAGGCAGAAGAAATCCGCACGAGAATAGTAGTTGGGGTTCGAGGTGCCATCATTGAGCAGTGTGATCAAATGACCAAACACTAGGGCTTGGCCGAGTAAGATACCGCCACTGACAGTGCTCGCAAACAGTCCTACGACAGCAAGCAAGCCTTCAGATTTCGCGATGCTGCCAATCCTCTTTGCAATCGTCCAGAGTCCAAGCTGGGCGGGCGAATCTGCAGCATCTGGCTGTTTCCCATGTGTGCTGGGGCGTGGCGCCAGGCTCACGGTTGACGACTTGGTTGGTGAAGCCTCCAGGGCAAGCTTCTCTTCATCTGCCGTTCCGTTGACATCGTCGAATGTCGTGTTCTGCGCATTGAGGAGTCCACGGAAGACAGAGTCCTCCTTCATCGCAAGCGCTCTTGGTGTGCCGTGTTCAACGACTTCTCCATCGCTGACGACTGCGACGAGGTCCGAGTCGAGAGTTGTCGACAAGCGATGAGCAATCATCATGACTGTCACTCCAGTTGCTGCGATTTTCTTGACGGCTTCCACGACAGCCACCTCGGAGCGTGCATCCAAGGCCGACGTTGGCTCATCCAGGATGAGCACAGAGGGACGCTTAATGAGCGCCCGGGCAAGACACACTCTCTGCCTTTGGCCCCCAGACAGCGCTGTCTCATTACCTAGTCGGGTATGCACGCCATTCGGCAATTGATGAAGGAAGTCTACGTTGGCATCTTTCAGCGCCTGGTCAAAACGTGCCTGCTTCTCATCCTCGCTGACATCTTGACCAAGCAAGCCGTAGCAGACATTATCGAACACCGTTCCTGAAAATAGGATGGAATCTTGGTCCAAGACCGCAATCCTGGACCGTAGGTATGTCGAGTCGATGGCCTTCACGTCATTCCCTCCGATGTCAATGCGGCCAGAGTAGTCGTAGATGCCCAGCAGCAATGCAACCAGAGTCGACTTGCCACCACCACTCGTACCCACCACGGATGTAAAGGTGCCTGCTTTGAGGTGCAAATTGAGACCTTTCAGGGTCTTCACAGTTGGTCGTGCGGGATATTGAAACTCGACGCCTTTGAACTCGATATCACAGCGTGCAAAGTCCGGCCGCAGCTCTGTTCTCCGGTATGTACCAGCACTGTAGGCAGTGCTGCCTTCGTCGATTAGGTCCTGGATGGTGCTCTTCGCAGAGGCTGCGCGAGCAAAAATCTCGAGAAATGGTGCAAATTGGCCCACTACGAAAGAAGCATCGAGGATCAGGAAGACCACGGCGTATACGGTACCGGCATACCCTCCAGAGGCCTCGCGACTGCCCAGGTAGAAGGCTAATGCGTTCGCCGAGTAGGCAATGAAGTACACCATTGCGGCTTGCAGGGCAGAGAGAGCAGCCTTCTTGAGGTTTGCGCGGGTCGCTTCATCGACATTCTGGGTATGCCTGCGACAGAGCTCTTCCACCATGTCGAACGCCTGCACAATTCGCACAGCGCCCAGTGCGCTCTCCACCACCTCGTTGGCTCGTTCATTCTTCTTTGTAACCGTTTTGCTGCACTTGGACACAGCTGGTGAAAGTACAACAAAGCTGATGGTGACTGCAGGGACCACGGATGCAAGCAATATGCCAGCGAGGCGAGCGTCGAGAATGAAGCCGACGATGAATGCAGCAACAAAGTATGATATGGCCTGTATGAATATGCCAACCTTCTCCGAACAACCCGCCTGGACGGTGTCCATCTTCTCCGTCAGCAACCCGTTGACATCGATGTCATGCGTATCCAGATATGCTTGGTCCAAGTGGAGTAGACATCGCAGCAGTTGCTGTCGTAACTTGAGACTGACGTTTTCTGCCGTCAGTCCAAAGCCGATGGTGTAGATGGTGGTCGCGCCGAAATATGCAATGGCGACTCCAATGAGCTGTATCAGCCGCTGAGTTAAGGCGTCAGGTTCCGGGGGGAAATTGTTGATGATTTTGCCAAAAATGTATCCTATGATGGGCAGGGGGACGCCAGCGGCAATGGCAAAGATGGCACTGCCGATAGCGATCGCCTTGTGGGTTTTGCTCTCGAGCGGGTCATACAGGTCGAGGTAGCTGTTCTTGAAGGGATTGGTGCCCAGCAACTGTCCAAAGACCTTCTTGGAGAGAGCAGTGACGGGCGTCCGCCATGTTGATACACGAGCGGCATCTAACGCTGGCACCTGTGGTTCGGGAAGAGGCTCCGAGGTGAAGACGGAGGTCGTCCGTTCCACGTCTGCTTCGGCCTGGAGTTGAGAAGGGTGCAATTCCAGTGATTCTCGAAGGGAGTGCTGTCTGCTGCCGTGAAGGGAAGTCATGACGGCCGCGAATGGACAGCCTTGCGACAGCCACTCAGGTGCAGTGGAGGAGGGCGTAAGGGAGTCAGGGCAAACTGGAAGGCACCATGGCACAGAGGGAAGTTGAGGAAGGAAGGTCACCGGAGATCCGCTTATCAGATCAAGGGATCTGCCCGTACCTTAGTGAAGACTGAGGTGGAAGGTGCGTAAGGGACCGAGTCCCTCCTAGGAGGTACTGTACCTCCTAGGTGCACGCCAATTCCTCCCGCTGGTAGGCGGAGACGGGGGAGTACCACCTGGGTGGCCACTGACCCGCATCATCAGGACGACGACGGCACGGCACTAGTGCATTCGGGCAGTGGAGACACACGACAACATGTGCCCAGCACCGTGCCACGCTGTCACCAGCCTTGGAGGCAGTGGTAGGCTCACATCGCCAGTCTTGTGGAAGCCCCAGAGTAGCCACAGCCGATGCGCACAGAGGAGGTACGTCGATGCCATGCCGTTACCGGCGACTACATGTATGTGACCATGCCACTAGGGGATATGGCGCCCGAATTCAAGGCCACCACCTCCAATCTTCTCTCTGTCTGCACTCTGCACCACATGCTGGGCAGCAGTGACCGCGCCATCGTTGGGAGGTACGTACGGTACGAGGTAGGATCCATTGCGGATACGCTTCTTCGATGATCTCAGGGCTGTCGACACGGCCTGCTTGCGCGTCCGAGCGAGTGGAGCAGGAGAGTGCATGTCGTGCAGTGCGTTGCAGATGGGCAAGTGGCGTACCTCCTATGAATTGGTACAGCACTAGGACCAGTTGCCTCGAGGGAGAATGTCACTTTTTTCATTTTCTGCCGATCCCGGGCCCTCCCGCCCCGCTGCCACGGAGGACAGCGCTGGCGTGTGCAAAGGGAAAAAGGCCCTCCGCTGTCTCACGTCTGTCGCCGTGTGAGTCTGTGTGTGCGTGGGCGCAACCGACTCGGACAGGAAGGTGGATGTCACTAGATGACACATTTCGTCATGTCCCGCGGGTCCTGGAGGTGGATCTTCCTTCCACTTTCTTTTGCGCTTGCGCTTGGCCACTATTAGCTTCTGGATCCTCCCAATAAGGTACGGATACTGTAGCGGCCGTTGTCGTTGCCACGCCCTGAGAGGTTGAAGACTTTGTGAAAGTGCGGTCCTTGGCTCGGCCATGGCCCATGTAGGCGGAGGGCTGGAGACAGAAGGCACTAGGAGGTACATGTACCAGATAGGTAGCGAGTAGTCTACCTAACGTTAATCGAAATGGTTAACTGTAAACTGTTATCAGATCATGCACCCACCATACGGTACGACCGGGTACATGTGGTAGAACTACGACTGTGATTCTCTTAGGATGGACGTCTTCTCCCAACTCCGTCTGCTGCATGTGCTCGCACGGACATACGGGCATGCACTGACACCCATGGATGCACGGGCATGCATCGGTTGTTGATGCATGATGATGATCTCGCTTGGCCCATGTGTATGTATTGCGTAAAGGAGAAAGAACTGGGTAGGTAAGCGCCGCCCTGGCCCTATGGAAGCGACCTCGGCCTTCGGAGCTGGTGGGAGCTGAATATCACGGCGCTACTGTATTCCCGCTGCTGGGTGGGCGTGCGTGGAGATGATTTGCCCACCCACCACCACCAGTCACCACACTGCAGGCTTTGACATGGCTCGCGCTCTCGACGCCCGGTACCACCACCACCTGAGTCCACTTACACTTCTTCCTACACACAGACACGGACGGCATTTTCTTTTAGCCTTCCCTTCGTACAGGGCAGAGCAGGTCAGGCTACTGCGCTGAGACCAGGCCAGGGCTGCGCAACCGCGCTACCACCCTACTTAGTTCGACTCCATCGCTTCTTCAAGCAATCGAGTATTGTAATACCCAACTACCCTACCCTCCCTAGGTCGTCGAGTCCTGCACTGCGCCATACCATCTCCATCGCCGCCGGCTCTAGAACTACCTCCCAACGGACACATCATACGAGGCCGCGGACGTAGTTCTGAATGGGATGAAGCGTGGACTGGGGCGACCATCTCGTGACATGTCTGCAACATGTTGATTTGTCCCTGATACCATACCATACCTCCCTCATCCGTGCCGATCTGTTCTCATTCTGCTTCTTACGGCACGGCAGGGCTAGGTAATCGACCGACTATTGCACCACAGTGGCAAGTCCGCGATTGCAGTCGTTCCTTCCCTTCGAGACACACACACACACCACACACATACACACTCACCCAAGTCACTGTGTTGTAGTGCCCTACCTATCGTACCTCAGGCACATACCCCGTTACCACTTCGACCATGGCCACGACGACACTCTCCATCAGCAATCCGGCGCCAAGGAAACTTCCCGGACCCCAGCTTCTTCACCAGCTCGTGAGCACGAGCGGGAAGGGTGGAGCGGTAGCCATCGAACATACATTCGATAATGGCACCCGCACATCGCTCACCTATCATGACTTGCACACTCGGGCCGACGCCCTGGCCCGTCGCATCACATTAGCCATTTCACGCTCCGCGACGACGACGACGACGACGACGACGACAACATCTGCGCGAACTGTGGTCCCCCTGATCATACCACAATGCCCAGAGCTGTACATATCGCAGCTAGCCATTCTGAAGGCAGGTGCTGCTTTCTGTCCCATTGTACTGGATGCTCCCGAGGAACGACTGCGATTTATCATCCAGGATGTCAATGCCAGCATCTTACTCACGACCGCCAGTCTGCGATCCCAGCTGCCCGCACTGGACGGTGTGGAGATATTGGCAGTGGACGATGGCAATACCGTCGATCAATCCATCGAACTGCCTTCTTCCATCAACCCCCAGCACGCAGCCTATCTCATGTACACAAGCGGTAGCACTGGCCAACCAAAGGGCGTGATCCTTTCTCACTCCGCTGCCTGCCAGGCGCTTTTGGCTCATGACAGGCATGTTCCCACCTTTGAGCGCTTCTTACAATTCGCGAGCCCGACCTTCGATGTTTCGGTCTTCGAAATCTTCTTTCCTTTCTTCAGAGCCAGCACATTGGTGAGCTGCGACAGGAGGCGGCTCTTGAACGACCTGCCAGGCACCATCAACGAGTTGGAAATTGATGCTTGCGAACTGACTCCGTCCGTCGCCAGTAGCCTGCTGCGCGGGCGATCGAGCGTGCCTGGCCTCAAAGTACTATTAACAATTGGGGAAATGCTGAAGCCTTCAGTGGTGGAAAGCTTTGGTGGCGACGACACAGAGCCCGCAGTTTTACATGGCATGTACGGGCCTACAGAGGCAACAATTCATTGTACTATGCAACCAAACTTTTCCAAAGACATGTCGAGCAATTGCATTGGTGTCCCTCTGGACACTGTTTCCGCATTCGTGATCAAGGCAGTAGAAGGCCCCATCTCGAGCCCAGAGATTTTAGCCATTGGAGAGGAAGGCGAACTCGCAGTTGGTGGTCATCAACTTGCAGATGGCTACCTCAACCGCGACGAGCAGACGAGAACAGCATTTGTGCAGCATGCGAAGTACGGCACCTTGTATCGGACTGGAGATCGTGCTCGAATGCTCTCGACTGGGACCTTGGAGTGTCTCGGCCGAATATCGAGCGGGCAAGTGAAGCTTCGTGGACAGGTACGACAAGGGTGTAGCAACCACATGCGAAGTTTTCTACTGACATCTCCTAGCGCATCGAACTTGGTGAGATAGAGCATGCCGCATCGCGCACTCCAGGCTGCAGAGATGTGGTCGCCGAAGTGATTGCGAATACACTGGTCGCGTTTTGCGTGAGCGAATCTTCTCAGACGACCAAAAACGAAGTCATTGGCGTGTGTCGCAAATGGCTGCCCGCATTCATGGTACCAGGCGATGTCGTACTCCTGGATGATTTTCCATATCTGGCGTCCGGTAAGTGCGACCGCAAGGCGTTGCGCGCACAGTACGAGCAGCAGCAAGTGCCTGCACCAAACGACGGGTCCACGCAAAGTGAAAGTGAGAGCATGCGACAAGTGCTGGACTGCCTCCAGACCACCCTAGGTGCACAATTGACACCCAAGTCATCACTAGCTGCAGCTGGCCTGGACTCAATCTCGTCCATCCGGCTTGCCTCGGAGCTGCGAAAACGAGGGCTGGCGCAGACCGATGCAGGCCGTGTGCTCGCGGCAGAAACTCCTGCTGACATTGTAGCCATCATCGATGGCCCTGGAAACGACTTACTCACTGCAGACTGGCAGCGGAGAGCCAAGGACGCCTACCATGAGTCGCTGCATCAGTCGCTTGCGCAAGCGTTTCCACCCGAGCTGCGAGATCAAGTAGAAGCCTCGTTTCCCTGCACTCCTGTTCAAATTGCGATGCTCACTGAGACCGCGAAGAGTCCGAGAGTGTACTGCAACTGGATCAAGTTGGCAGTTCCTCAATATGCCGACCGTGGGCATATCAAAGACAGCCTCTCGGAGTTAGCAGCGCGGCATCCTTTGCTACGAAGTGGTTTCATTCCGACGCTTGGATTGCAGCAAAGCTATGCAGTTGTGGTATGGAAGTCTTTGACAGAGCAACAAGTCGTAGATGTGACTGAGTTTAGCTTTCCTTTTGAGCTGAAGAGTGAGAGAGACTTCTGGCGACCTCTGAAGTTCCAAGTACGGCAAGCGGAAGCTGGTACCGAGCTACTCATCCAAATACATCATGCGCTTTACGATCAGTGGTCGATGGACATGCTCAGAGCAGATCTCGCGTCAATTCTGCGGGTCAATGATCGTGAGCGGCCAACATCATTCGAAGCGGTGGCCGATTTCTATATCCATCATGAGCAGTCGGACACACAAGCGCTAGCAGACTTCTGGCAAGATTATTTGAGAGATTTCGCGGCATCGCCAATGCCTCTGCTCAGAGGCGTAGATGTAGTCCCTAACCTATTGCGCACGCCCTGGCAAACGACATCACTGCAGAGCGCCGATGTCAAGAATCTGTCCAAATCGATTGGGTGTAGTGCACCCGCTGTCTTTCAAACCGCCATGGCGATCATTCTTGGCGCGTACACTGGTGTATCTGACGTTACTTTTGGCTCGGTCTTCTCTGGTCGTACCATTCCAGTCGATGGCATTGAAACCATATTCGGCCCTTGCCTGGCCACGCTACCCCTGCGGATTGACAGCAAGGCAGCGAAGACTTCCAGAGAGTTGTTAGGCGCTGTGACGGCCTACAATCGACGCATTCAAAACAATCTCCTTACTTCTCCTACAGCGGTTCGTAATGCCGCAGGTATTGCTCCTGGAACGAAGTTGTTCGACAGTCTGTTTGTCTGGCAGGAGTCCACGTTGACATCAGGCACCGGAGCTGAAGATGTAAAGGAAGTAGATTCGGCTGATGAACTAGAATTCGACTTTGTCTTGGAAATTGAGCCCTCGCCGACAGCCATACAGATGCGAGCGACCTACCAGGAACGACTCTTGGATGCTCAGCAGGTCGAACTTTTCATCAAGCAAATTGAAAATCTAGTGTCCATCATGTTACAAGATCCAGATCAGCCAGTCGACGACTTGGGCAACAAAATGAACCCGGAGCTGCTGTCAATCGCCAATCCTGAACCGAAGAGCTACGCCACTTCGTATGAGCTTACTGCAGAAATAGGGGAGAACGCATCTCGAGACCCCGATGCCACAGCTATTATGTTTGCTACGAAGCTTGACGAGAAATCCTTCGAAAGCACCTCGATCACGTATCAGGACCTAGACAAGCGCGCCAACCGAATGGCTCACGCATTGATTGCAGCCGGCCTGCGTCCAGATGATCTCGTCTGCATATGTATGGAGAAGTGCATCGACATGTATGTACTCATGCTTGCGACCTTCAAGGCTGGAGCTGGATACCTGCCTCTTATTCCAGATACCCCGGAAGCCAGGATCAAATCCGTTCTAAGTCAAGCGAACATCAGACTATGTGTTGGCGATGCGAGCTCTGCACCGGAGCTGCGTTCACTTACAGACGCAAAGGTTCTGGATTGCTCCACGCTGGAGCTTGCGAATGCCTCTGACCAATCGCCGCAAGTGGACCAAAACGGCGCCAGAATAGCGTACGCGGTCTTCACCAGTGGCAGTACTGGAGAGCCCAAGGGCGTCGCAGTCACCATGGACAATCTGAAAGGAAACTTAGCAGTCCTCGCAGAGCTATACAAGGTTGCACCGGGAGATCGTTTACTGCAAGCCTGTTCTCAGGCTTTCGACGTCAGTGTCTTCGAGATCTTCTTCACGTTCTACACCGGCATGTGTCTGTGCTCAGCGACCAAAGATGTCATCTTTCGTGACTTTGAGCAGAGCATACGTGCCTTTGGCGTCACGCATTTATCACTGACCCCGACCGTGGCGGCTCTAGCTAAGCCTGAGAACGTCCCTACTGTCAGATTCTTGGTTACAGCAGGTGAAGCGGTCACTGAGAAGGTGCACCGTACGTGGGCTGACCATGGCCTTCATCAAGGCTATGGTCCCTCTGAGACCACAAATATCTGCTCTGTACGGATGAACGTCCCAGCGCACAATGTGCTTGGGAACATTGGTCCACCATTCAAAAACACTTCGGCTTTCGTGCTAGCTCCTGAGTGTGACTTTCAGGTCTTGCCTGCTGGTGCCTATGGCGAATTTGCATTTGGAGGGGAGCAGGTGTTTCGAGGATATATCGGCAGAGACGATCTGAACTCGACCAAGATTATTGATCATCCAAGCTACGGCAGAGTTTATAGAAGTGGTGACATGGGCCGCATCCTACCAGATGGCACGCTTCTCATCGCTGGGAGGCTCGATGATCAAGTCAAGATCAGAGGCAACCGAGTCGAGCTGGGGGAGATCAACAATATCCTCTCGGACCATGCTGACGTCTCCGACTGTGCTACGATTGTCATCGGTGACAAGAGCTCTGACCAGATGCTTGTCACGTTCTGGGTGCCCAAGTCGAGCAAGACGGAGACGTCGTCACTGAGCTCTGTGGCGGATTCAGGCATTGAGCTTGTGTCTGACCTGTACGCCCGTCTGGACGATGCTCTTCCCGCATACATGATTCCCAGCATACTCGTGCCCATGAATGTCCTGCCAATGACGGTTCAAGGTAAGCTGGACAAGCGATCCCTACGAACGACATACGAGGGACTCGATACCGAATTACGCAATCGTCTTTCCCGGTCCCAAGAATTATCTGCCCAAGACGGCCCTGCTACCCCAACCGAGGAAACTATGGCTCAAGCGATCAGCAGTCTGCTCGAGATTCCGTTGGCCAATATTTCCAGGAATGCCTCGTTCTTTGCATTCGGACTAAACTCCTTGAATGCTATACAGCTCGCTCGATCCTTCGAAAGAGCTCTGGGAATTGATGTCAGTGTCAGTTCAATACTGCGGCACCCAACCATATCTCGCCTGGCCCGAACATTATCCACCACCGACAGTTCAAGGTCTGAGAATGATCACGACGATGCTAGTCAGGCTCTGGGTATTGACTTCGTCGAAAAGACAAAGGCAGAATTCTTGGCACAAGATCATGTGGTCGAGGCTGTACTTCCTTGCACTCCCTTGCAAGACGCTATGCTGTCGGCTAGCAGAAGCGGCAATGCTGGTGCATACTGCAACACTACCAGGATCCATTTCCGGGGTGACATGGAGAAGATGAGACAGTGCTGGCAGAGAGCGTCAGAAAGGCACGCGATTCTACGCACATCCTTCGTCCAGACGCCGCTTGCTGCTCATCCATTTGCTCAAGTAGTATCACAAAAGCCACTTCCTACATGGGTTTCCGTGGGACGACCCATGTCCAATGGGATAACGAATGGACATCATGAAAATGGGCACGCCAAGAGCAATGGGCATATGAACGGAGCCCAGAACGGTGACAGCAATGACGCGCCACGACTCCCTGGCGTTACTCCCGACAGGCCTGTCCAAGTCATGCAGAATGGCCAGGATATCTATCTCCAAATGCATCACGCGATCTACGATGGTATCTCGGTGTCAAACCTGTTCTCCGAGTTGCAACAGCTGTACGAGGGGGAACAGCTGCCTCAGCCCGTGCCATTTGAGCCTTTCCTTGCAGAGGTAATGCAGCAAAACAATCAGAAAGCCGTCGATTTCTGGAAGCAACGCCTACACTCCTTCACTCCCCATCCTGTCCCAACCGCCGAAAACGTGACAGATACCAAGGAAGGATCCTGGGCGATGTCGATGGCAATCTCGCCTAGTGATATCGCAGCCTTCAGTGAAAGGTACTCATGCACCAGCCTTAGTATCTTCCAGGCAGCTTGGGCGAAGACTATTGCCTGCGCTCAGGACATCACGGATCTCTGCTTTGGCAACGTTGTCAGTGGTCGCTCAGTACCGGCTCGTGACGTGGACCGACTGATAGCGCCGTGTTTCAACACCATACCCGTCCGCGTCCAGTCTTCGAGCATGCGAACCAACATCGAACTCATTCAGGATCTTCAGAAAACCAATGTAGAGTGTATGTCTTACCAGTTGACGGCGCTGCGTCGCATTCAGGCATTGAGCCAGGACCCATCGAGGCATCTCTTTGACTCACTTCTGCTTGTACAACCACCACAAGATGAGGATGGTCTATGGGATGTCGAAGAAGAGGATGATATGAGCATGGGAGTACCGATAGTTATCGAAGTCGTGCCGCACCATCATGACTACGAGCTGCTGACGCATTTCATGCCGGAGCGTATCAACAAGTCGACGGCTATTATGCTAGCAAAAGCGTTTGAATCTAGCTTGCAAACATGCCTCCGCTACCCGTCTGGTAGTGTTTCTCAGCTTGGCTTGGTCAACCAGTCCGAGCTTGCCGGGCTTCTCGCGCCAACGCCAGATTCGAGTACAAAAGAGGGTGCTGGTGCAGATTCAGATGCCATGTGGTCCTCAGATGAGAACATGGTCCGGGAAGTCTTCGCCACTCTTGCCGGCATCGACGCCTCGCAGATCAGCAAGGAGACTTCACTCTATAGGATCGGATTGGACAGCCTCAATGCAGTGCAAGTAGCTTCGCAGCTTCGGAAGCGGAACTTGAATGTCGACGCTGCCGATATCATGCACTACCAGAGTCCGGCTGCATTGGCTGCATTCATCTCGTCGAAACAACATACCAAGCAGGAAGCACAAGCTGCTGGCATTGATCTCATTACGTTCGAAGAACAACATAAGCACTCCGCAGCAGAAAAGCTTGGTATCGACGTGACCCATATTGAGGCTGTACGACCTTGTACTTCCGCGCAGAGCGGCATGCTCTCTCAATTTATTCAATCCGATGGAGGCTACTACTTTAGCAGAAGTATCTATAAAGTGCCCGACGATATCCATTTGACGCACATTCAGACAGCTTGGGCTGCAGTGCAAAAGAAACATCAGGTGCTGAGGATGGGGTTCTTCGAGCTTGAAAATGCTGCTAACCCTTTTGCAATGCTGGTATACGGTCCAGATTCTATTCCCGGACAAGTCGTATCAGAGGACCACGAGACTGCGTTGGACGATCTTCACAAGAAATTGTCAGCCTCAGTCCTATCTGAGCTCCACCTGCCGACGTGGCGGGTTGTCCTCCAGCAGAATGGAACAGCCCGACACATGGTCGTTTCCCTGCATCATGCTCTTTATGATGCCGATGCACTCCACATACTCCTGTTAGACTTCGCAAAAGCCCTTCGCAATACCGACATTGGGCAGTCCCCAAGCATCGATACCGTTCTCAAGTTGCAGCTTGATGGAATGGCACAGCAGAACGTCAATAGTGAGCAATTCTGGAGAGAGTCTCTACAACCAGCGCATCTCATCAAATTTCCGAACTTGACTCCCACGATCATTCGGAAAAGCCAAGCCACTTCCACAGAGTTGCGTTCGCAAACTCACCTGTCAACACTAGATGAATACTGCAGGGAAAACGGCGTGACGATCCAAGCACTTGCACAAGGAACCTGGGCTCAGCTGCTGGCAGCATATCTCGGAGAACCGGCGGTGACGTTCGGTACTGTCTTCTCTGGGCTGTCTTCATCTTCTGCACAGGGCGTGGCGTTCCCCAGCATTTCTACCGTGCCGGTGTATTGCAACACGAAGAAATCAGGATTGGATGTCGCGAAAGACATGGTGACTTACAATTCGTCCGCACAAAGACATCGGTTTACGCCGCTGGTTGACATACAGCGCTTCGCTGGCACGCCCGGACAACCACTGTTTGATACCATATTTGTGTATCAGAAGAACGCCAGAAGTGACGATGACTCCTTCGACTGGGAAGTCGTCAGCGACAGCCTGGGCGTCGACTACTCGGTGTCCTTGGAGTTGCAGGCTGATGGTTCTGGTGGAATGAGTCTTCGCCTGACCTACGACGTGGCAATGGTTCCTGTCGATCATGCGATACTTATGCTCAGACAATTCGACATGCTTTTGCTGTCTATGATTGATCATCAGAGCAAGGACGCTACGCACACTGAACTTATGTCGATCGTGCCGCCCAAGGAGCCAGTGCTGCCCAGCAAGGTGACTCTGCTGCACCAGTTCTTGGAGCAGGGTGCATTAGACCACCCAGAGAAACCTGCATTCGAATTCGTATTCAGCCTCGAGGGAGGTGCAGAGAGCAGAAAGGTATGGTCTTACCAGGAGCTCAACGAACGCGGCAATCAAGTGGCCAATCTTATTCACCAGCACGGAGTCCAGCCAGGTGGCGTCGTAGCCCTCTGTATGAGCAAGTCGCCGGAGGCCACGTTTGCGTTCATTGGAATATTGAAGGCTGGGTGTGCCTTCCTGGCAATGGATCCTGACCTGCCTCTGGCACGGCGGAAATTTATTGTAGAGGATTCGAAATCCCAGCTACTGTTTGTCAATGCCGGTGGTATTGACCCTGAGATGAAGGATACTGTGCGTCATGTCGAGCTGACAGAGGACTTGTTGATCAACTTCCCTTCGTCTGCACCACAAATCGAAAGCGTGGATCCGAGCGCTACAAGCTACTGCCTGTACACAAGTGGCACGACTGGGACACCTAAAGGGTGCGAATTGACGCACGAGAATGCCGTGCAGGCGATGTTGGCCTTTCAACGACTGTTTGCTGAACACTGGAGTGAGAACTCTCGTTGGTTGCAATTTGCTAGTTACTGGTTCGACGTATCGGTTCTGGAGCATTTCTGGAGCTGGAGTGTTGGAATCACGATGGTGGGAGCACCACGTGATGTCGTCCTCGGAGATCTATCAGGTTTTATCACTGCGGCCAACATTACACATATCGATTTGACCCCATCCCTTGCCAGACTGTTGAAGCCAGAGGAAGTTCCAAGTTTGCACAATCACGTCTTCATCACTGGCGGAGAAGCTCTCAAGCAGGAAATCATCGATGCCTGGGGACCACTTAACACCATCTACAACGGCTATGGACCAACAGAAGCTACTATTGGTGTCACTATGAATCCTCACATTGGCCGGGATGCCAAACCTTCCAACATTGGACCACCTTTTGACAACGTTGGAGCCTTCGTAATGGCCCCTGAATCAGAGACCCCCGTTCTGCGTGGTGCAGTTGGTGAACTTTGTGTCTCTGGTAAACTTGTGGGTAAGGGCTACCTCAACCGACCTGAGTTGACGGAAAAGGCATTCCCATATCTGGAACGCTTTGGCGAACGCGTCTACAGAACGGGCGACCTTGTTAGATTGCTTGCGGACGGCTCAATCTCCTTCATCGGGCGCAACGACTCTCAAGCAAAGCTACGCGGCCAGCGACTGGAGATTGACGAGATCGACGCCGTCATCAAGGCTTCACACAAAGGAATTTCAGATGTTGCGTCTCTGGTCACGAAGTCTTCAGAAGGAGATAGAGAAATGCTTGTCTCATTTGTTGTCGATAACGAGGCCCGTGATCGCGAGCTACATACTGCACAGTCCAAGCAGAGCGTCGAAGTTGTGGCTGCCGCAGATCAAGCATGTCGCGATCGCTTACCGGGCTATATGGTGCCAACACACATTGTTCCGCTCTCGCGTTTGCCATTGACTGTCAACAACAAGGTCGATGCCAAACGTCTGGTCGCTCTGTTCACTTCTCTGACCACGCAAGGCCTGCAGCAACTCAAGGGCGGGTCGGCGACTAAACGACCTCTACGCGGCAAAGAGCGCAAGGTCGGCAAAGTTGTCAGCAAACTGTTATCCATTGAGCTCGATGATATAAGTGCGACTTCAAACGTGTTCTCTCTCGGACTCTCGTCGGTATCAGCAATCACACTGGCGACGTCGCTCAAGCGAAGCGGGTTTGAGACTGCCAGTGTTAGGACGATCATGACCAATCCCACTTTGGATCGGCTCGCACAAGCCCTCTCGGGCACCAGTGAAGACGGCAAAAACGAGCGAAGTGCGATCATGCAATCACAGTTGACAATCTCGGCATTTGCACAACGATATCGAGGTCTTGCAGCCCAGACACTATCCGTCAATGTGTCCAACATCGAGTCCATCGCCCCGTGTACTCCTTTGCAAGAAGGCCTCCTGGCAGATTCGATCAAAGATTCCGAGAGACCATATTTCAATGTCTTCCGTTATCAGCTTCGTGGCACAAATCACGATCGAGTGGGAGAAGCGATCCTCGAACTATATCGACAGCTTCCAATACTCAGGACTTCGTTCGTCCGAACGGAAGAGGGCTTTGCACAAGTTGTCTTGCGCAATACTGATTGGACTGTTCAATCGGAAGATGTTGATGATGATGCCGGCATTGAGTCGAAGCTAGCTGGGCTCAGATCAGAGTGGCAAGGCCGCGCAAAGAATGAAGTCACCAGACCGTTCGAAGCGATCTTGGTTCACTCTCCCACGAAGAGCATCATGGTTCTCCAGTCGCATCATGCTCTATACGACGGCATTTCCTGGGATCTGATGATGAGTAAGCTGGGTGAGCTATGTGCCTCCAGTTCAGCGTCGATCGACTGTGGGCCAAGTTTCATGGAAGCACTACCGTACGGACCCCTTTGCTACAGGAAAGACGCGGAGCAGTTTTGGCAGAGACAGATGAAGGGTTTCCACTACAGCCCATTGCCCCTGGTGCCAGATGAGCCATCGCGCGAGACTTTGACAGTGTCGAAACTTCTAAGATGTTCGCACGGTGTAGAATCACTCAGGAAGAAGTTGGGAGTTTCTCACCAAGCAGTTTTCCAGGCAGCTTTCACTGTCGCATTGCATCAATATGCGCCACAAACGCAAACCTATGGTGTTGTGGTCTCCGGAAGGTCCATTGCTTTCGACGACGCCGATGCCATCATTGGTCCCATGTTCAATACTGTACCCTACACAATCAATATGGAGCCCACAGGTGACTGGAAACGACATCTACAGCGTTGCCATGAGGCTAATGTTGAGCTTATCCCATATCAACATACGTCGCTGCGAGCAATCCGTAAGAACTGTCGCCGTAATCCCACGGATCCATTGTTCGATGTCTTGTTCGTGTTCCAGAGTCCCGACGAGAGGCTGGGACCACACCACGACGACGAATTCTTCGAATTGATGCCTTCAGTTATACCAGCTGAGTATCCACTAGCCATTGAGGTGGAGCTCGGCTCCTCTGGCGCAGCTCAAGTCACCGCGGCAGCACAACCTGGCCGAGCCACAGAACAGTCATTGACCGAGTTTCTGGACGCCTTTGACGAAGCCTTGCAATGCATGATAGAAAGCGCAGAAGGCAAGATATCTGATAGTTTTACGATCTCTCGGAGCAGCAGTACCACAACACCACAGCAACTTCATGATGTATCTGCTGAGGTAAATGGCATCTCTGACTTCAAGTGGACTACTGAAGCGGAAGAGCTGAGAAAGATCATCGCCGAGGTTGCTGGCAGTGATCCGAGTGCAGTCACGGAGCATGTCGCCATATTCACACTTGGCCTGGACAGTATCGATGCCGTCAAGCTAGCAGCACGAATGAAGAAGGCTGGAATGTCAATACCTGTCAGTAAGATCTTGACAGCCCAGACAATACCGCGAATGCTGGATGCAGTTGAATCTAGTACAGCGCAGAGCGAGACGCCCGAGTCCGCGAACAAGTTCTCGGTTCTCGCACGACAACTTCAGCATCTGTCCAGTCTGGTCGACCCTCGGATAGCGAAAGACGTCGAGCGTATCATACCAGCCGCACCAGGGCAAGAAGCTCTCATCGCAGAGATGATCCGCTCTGAGTTCCACGAATACTTCAACTCTGTTGTTCTACGCCTGCGGGCAGGCGTGGACATTGCCCGACTCAAGAATGCTTGGCAAGATGTTGTGCACGCTTCACCGATTCTCCGTACAGCATTCGTGGAGGTATCAGATCCCGAGGTAGAGGCGACGTTCGCACAGATTATTTTCAAGGAAGGTCCACTGGAGTTTGATGAAGTACAGGCGACCAGCCTCGATGGCCTCACTGACTACCTCGATTCTGTCAAGGCCGACGTCCGCCAGTCGTTCTCAGTGAAGTCGCCAATGCGTCTGGCGATTGCAACAGTCGAGAATGCGCATTACCTCGTGCTATCGCTCTCCCATGCGCAGTACGATGGACACAGCATTGGCTTGCTGCATTCTGACATCGCTGCCGCGTATGCTGGCAGGCTTGAGAGGCGCCCACCTTACGAGGAGGTGATCAATGAGGCCTTGAGTGCAACCGATCAGAGCGCACTCACCTTCTGGCGCGAAACGCTGGCTGGAGCCAAGGTATCGCGCTTCAGGACTCTCGAGGGTGGCTCGGACGTGAAGACGTACCGCACTGAGCGTACAGCCGCTCTCTCAGGAAAGGACGCTAAAGCATTCTGCCAAAAGCTAGGCGTGTCTCTGCAAGCACTAGCACAAGCGTCGTGGGCACTCGTTCTCGCACACCATCTGCAAGCCCTCGACGTCCTCTTTGGCGTGGTTCTCGCTTGTCGTGACAGCGAGGAGGCCGAGCAGACCCTGTTCCCAACCATGAACACCGTGCCCGTGAGAGTATCGTTGCATGGATCTGTATCTGGGATGCTCCATGACGTGCAGGACAATATCAATCACATGCGACAGCATCAGAAAACCCCTCTGCGCAACATACAAGCCGCATGTGCGGACTTGCTGCGGTCGAGCAAGGACAAGTCCAGACAGGGGCTATTCGACACTCTTTTCATCTACCAAAACCGAGGGGATGCTATCGAAGACCAAGGCGAGCCGCTATACGAGTCTGTTGCTGCCGATGCAAACGTCGAATATCCTGTTGCCGTAGAAGTGGAAGCCGTTGAAGATGAGCTGGTTATTCGTGCAGCATGCAAGTCTTTTGCTCTTGACGAGCCCGGAGCAGAACTACTACTGGAGCGTTTCGATGGGGTGCTCAGCTTCTTGACTGCAGACCTCGATCGGGATGCTATCGATCTCTCTAACGATGATGTGGTCATATGTGGCTTGCCTGCTTTCGTGCTCCAATCCAACCCTCTGTCAAGACAAACCACTCGAGAACAATATGGCGACGAGGACTCCGACCTAGACTCGATAGACGACTCTGCGGTTGTGGATGCGATACGCTCTGCGCTTGCACAGGTATCAAGAACGCCAATCGACGAGATCGAACCGCATGCCACAATCGAGTCGATGGGCATCGATTCCATTTCAGCGATCAAGGTGGCGTCGCTTCTGCGCAAAGACTCCATCAAGCTCTCTGTCAGCGATCTCCTAAAGGCACAGACACCGAGACGCATGGCACAGCTTGTTGGCGATGTCGCGCAGCCGGCAGGCGAGAGCGGCGTCTCCGGCAAAGATATCATCGCAACGGCGATCAAGGATGTCGATCTCTCTATTCTACAACGAGAGTATTCCATCCCCGCCGATCACATCGAGGTGGTACTCCCTGCTACTGCTGGTCAGATGTATATGGTCTCACTGTGGCACAAGACGAGAGGAGAGTTGTTCTACCCGACATTCACTTACGACCTCCGAACCGACAAGTCGATGGATGCTATTCGCCAGGCCTGGCAACAGCTTGTCGCAGGCACCGCTATGCTCCGGACTCGACTATGTGCCAGTGGCCATGCTACGATTCCGCTGCTTCAAGTTGTGATGAAAGAGTCTGGCCAGCCCTTCTATGCCGAAGACGAGAGGTCCATTGCTCCCACTCAGCCATTTGCACGCCTCCACGTCGGCAAGGCTCGCGACGGTTACACAGTGAAGCTCGCGATCCACCACGCTCTCTATGATGCTGTCTCCCTTCCTCTCTTGATGGAGGATTTCCGGTCTTTATTACAAGGCGAATCACTACCCAAGCCGAGCATCGCGTTCGAAGACTACATTACTCTCGTTGCTCGTGAGCCTGCTGTGAAGACACGGCAACAATTCTGGAGTGGATATTTGCAGAATGTAGAGCATGCGGCGCTGGGCCAGCCTCGGGGCGATGCTGCGCGGAAGGTACAGATATTCAAGCCGTCTGCCTTGTCAGAGTCGTGCGATGAGCTGGAGCGCAAAGCTCGAAAATCAGGTATCTCCACGCAGGCTCTCCTGTTCGCTGTATACGCCAAAGTGTACGCCAAACACGCACAAGGAAGCAAAGAAGCTGCACAGGACGTGGTACTCGGGATTTACATTGCGAACCGGTCGCACCTGCCGGATCTCGACCATCTCTCGGCGCCCACGCTCAACCTGGTGCCACTCCTGGTGCGAGCACCTACGAGGACGAGTATCATGGACAGCGCCAAGTCCATCAGCAAGGACTTGCGCAGCATCACGACGGCAGAAAACTCATCTGCCAGTCTGCGCGAGATCTGCGAGTGGACGGGAGTCACCGTCGACACGTTTGTCAACTTTCTCAAACTCCCAGATTCCGATGATGGTCCGGATGAAGGGACGGGTGGCAGTGAAATCACGATGGCGGAAAGCAACGACGAGTGGATGCAGGAAGTCCACCGGGTGCATGAGCCGGAGAAGGCACAACAACAGCAACAACAACAAGAGGTGCAGTTCCACGTACCCCACGAGTTGGCAGGATTTGAGGTACATGAGGCGTATCAGCACGCAGTGGATGTGGAGCTGGCAATCACCAAGGATGGGAAACTCAGCATGGGAATGTTTTGTGTAGAGGAAATGATGGGACTGGATGAGGCTGATGTGATGGTGCAAGAGGTTGTCGCAGAGTTGCATGATTTTGTTCATGGATGATGTAATGTGAGACGGCTGTTTGTGTTTTTTTTTCTTCGGGTTCTTTTTGAGCATATGGATAGAATACATGGGAATGGGTTATAGAAATGGGGGGGAAATGAGAATCGAATAGAATAGATGGGAAGCTTGATGATACCTTATCATATCTTGTAGTGAATGAAATATAAAAGAAGAAGAAAAAGAAGGCGAAAGTGACTAAGACGTCTGTAGGTTGATACTCTCACCCTCTTCTCCATCTTTTCTCTCTCTTTTCCACTGTATACCTTATACCTTATACATCAAACATACGAGTGAGTTGAGTGTAGTATAGGTATAGGTATAGCTGTGGGGTATATTATAGTATAGTATAGTATACCTCCCACACTCCGTACAGGTAGTACATCTAAATGAAATCCCCCTATCCCTGAAGCCGATCAGACCATGCACGAATCGTAACAGATTTGCCGCGTGGCGATCACATGTGTGGCGCCCGTTGGGATTTGATCGGAGGTTGGAGGGAAATTTCAACGTGTGTCCTGTGCGGGTTTCTCGTGGGTTTCTTAAACGCGGTTTTGGGAGGAGAGTAGGATTGGGAGAGGAGGATGGGATGGTATTGCTAGCAGTAGGGAATAGCGGAGGTGTAGGTGTAGATATAGGTGAGATGAGAAATAGGAGAAGAAGAAAACTAGAAACGGCTTCAACCGGCGGCATATTTCTCCCTTCCCGAGAAGATCTAGTACTAGGTAGGTACTTTCCCGAGTCCACCACCGGTCCCCCACCCCCTTGTCTCCCGAACCCGCCCCAGCCCAAAAAAGGCCAAGCGCGTCCTCTAATTGTCAACGCTGTTGCACCCCTTTCCTTGACTGCCGACCGCGTTTCCTCTTTTCCCATTTTCCTTTTTCTTCCTTCTTCTTGTTTTGCGGGAATCATTTCATCCAATTTGCATCACGCTCACGCTCACGCCCTCTCTCACGGTCTCACCTACCCCCTTCTTCTTCTTCGGGACACCCTCGCCTCGCCTCTCGCGCCTCGCAACACACACACGGACAGGATCATGTCTTCCAAAAACGACATCCGCATGTCCACTGGCAGCAGTGGCGACGAGGATCGGAAACTCGAAGGCGGCGAGTCTACTGTTAATGGCTCGGCCCCTTCTGCTGGTGCTGCTGTGCGCTCTGAACCGAGCACGACGACTTCCAAGGCGGATTTGCATCCTGCGTTTTATATTGCGTATGGTAACGACCGTTTCATTATTGAGGGGGGGTTTTGGCTGGGGTTGGGGAAAATGGATTTTTTGGGGTTTTTTGTTTTTTGCTGATTGGGTGATTTGTGTAGGCTTTGGATTTGTCTTTCGGGAGGTGTGATTCTTTTTAATAAATGGGTTTTGCATACGGCGAAGTTTGGTATGTTTCTTTTTGTCTTTCCTTTTGTCTTCCGGGAAGAGGGAGGATGTGCTCTTGCTGATGCTTTTAAAAAAACAGAATTCCCACTCTTCTTGACGACATGGCACATGTTCTTCGCCACGGTCGTGACCCAATGTCTGGCCAAGTTTACGACCATTCTCGATTCCCGACACAAGGTGCCTATGAACCGCGAAACCTACACTCGAGCCATCCTTCCCATCGGCCTGTTCTTCAGCTTCAGTTTGATCTGTGGAAATGTCGCCTATCTGTATTTGAGTGTGTCGTTTATTCAGATGTTGAAGGTATGAAAAAATCCAGCTTTCGTTTGGGGTATTGGAAAGCGGGAATGCTGACTTTTTTCTTTTTTCCAAAAAAGGCATCTAATGTGATTGCCACTCTCCTCGCTACATGGGCCTTCATGATCACTCCGCCAGATATGAAGAAGCTCGCCAATGTCTCTGCCATTATGGTGGGAATCATCATTGCCTCGTACGGCGAGATCCAATTCGTCATGACTGGCTTCATCAGTGCGTTTCGCCCCCGTTCCATCATTTTCCTCATTTTCCCGCATACTCACATGATCTCTCAGTTCAAATGGCTGGTATTGTCTTCGAGGCGGTCCGACTCGTCATGGTGCAGCGTATTCTCTCTGCGCCCGAGTTCAAGATGGACCCATTGGTCTCTCTCTACTACTACGCACCTGCCTGTGCTGCGATCAACGGAGTCATCACTCTGTTCGTGGAAGTGCCCAAGATGGGTATGGGCGATATCTACAATGTGGGCATCTTCACTCTGCTCCTCAATGCAGCAGTCGCCTTTGGATTGAACGTTTCTGTTGTCTTTTTGGTAAGCCACGTTCTTTACTCACAAATCATGTCGTCTGTGTATGTGCTAATTGCTACAGATTGGCAAAACTTCCGCCGTTGTGCTCACTCTCTCGGGTGTGCTCAAGGATATTCTCCTGGTCGTCGCATCCATGGTCATTTTCCAGGACCCTGTGGCACCTCTGCAATTCTTCGGGTATTCCATCGCTCTCGGCGGACTGGTCTGGTACAAGCTCGGCGCCGACGGAGTTAAGAACGGCCTGCGCGATTCCCAACTGGCGTTTGCCCAAATGCGTCAAAACAATCCTGCGCGAGCCAAAGGACTAGTTCTGGCCGCCGTCTTGATCGGCGCTTTCCTGGTCATGTATTCGTTCTTCCCGTCGCTCATGGGCATTGCACCAAAGACACCTTTCACAGGTTGAACAATAGTGCCAAAAACAAGTACAGATCGCCCGGAGTGGGACAGTTGCACCATCTGCACAGCGCAACTCATCCCCCTGGTGCGTGTTTTATATATATTGACAACGAGCTCGAAACCGAGGCTTGTGTCGGAAGGAGACAGCGGTGATGACTGGTAGCGTCTCGGAGAAGACGAAGAGAGGAAGAGAGCTCTCTCCCGGATGGAAGATGCTGCACCACACAACATTCGCGCGCAAATTCCCCCCAACAACAACACCGAGCACTGGAAGTTTTTTGAACGTGCAAAACCGCCGCGCAAATGATTTTTCAGTTTTCCCCTTTCGAAAGCAGTGGCAGGACCCACCCAACCCCCTTATAGAGATTTTAGAGCAGACACCAAGTGTGCGAAACCCCTTTTTTTTTCTCTTCAGCTAGCAGCAACATTATGGGCAGATTGAGGTCGGAACAAAGTAGAAATTGAGAGTGAGAATGGAATATTTAATGTTATAAAAACAATTACCCTGATTCGTGTTTGAGTATTAAGGTTACCGGTATACTGGTACCAGGTCATATAAAATATTAAAATAGGACCAGGTCTGCTTTGCAACATCCCTGAAGTGCCAAGGAGACAATAATGTTGGTTTTCCCACATCACTCCTCACGGCACCAGCACAGCATGTACAGGGCACGTGTCGATATCGATGTTCAGTCCAGCTTCTGCACGTTTTGATGGATTTTCGTCGTGTCGCGTGGTCGCAGCGAACTCTCGTGATCGTCCTCGCCATTCAAGCCGTTTTTCTGCTGCTACTACTCTGGTCGCGAAACCCATTTCACCTGAAACAACAACAACAACAACAATACCGTACGACCAACAGCTTAACCACCGAACAATGTCTGAATCACTTCCCAGACTTGTACTACGAAATCGACCGCGCCGTCCACCTCTGGAAAGCCAAAAACCACACCATCTCCGAAGCAGACGTCGACATCTCCTGGCAAGCCACCGGACCCTTTGACGGCGGAGCCCTCAAAATCCTCATCCACGAAAACCAACTCCGCGTCCTCGAAAGTATCAACGCCATGGCCGACTCCGCCTATCAAGAACGCGGCCTAGGAATTCTGCAACTCCTCCTCCGCGCCCTCGAAAGTGCGACTGCCGTGGGAGAAATTCTCCCCACCATCGAAGCTGCGATTGTGCTGCAAGATATTTCTTACCCCCCAACGGAAGATGGGACGCATTCGTTTTGGACGTGGGCCCGGCCGCTAAGGGATGTACATTTTAATCGGACGAATGTGTGGCAAGGGCAGGAATTGCATTATGAACGGTTTTGGAAAGATGAGACTTTTCGACGGGTGTGGTTGGTTCCGAATTTCGATTTGTGGGCTACGGGGTCGATTGGCGAGTTTGAGGAATCTCGTCGATTGGCGAGGGAGTTTGATATGCCTTCCATTGCGGATAAAATTCCGAAGGTTGTTTGGAGAGGGACTGAGTGGGTGAATCCGGAAATTCGAGATAAGCTCGTGAATGTTTCTCGCGGGAAAAGTTGGGCGGATGTGAAGTATAGTAATTTCACACCCACTACCATCAATAACAACAAGGACGAAGAAGAACAAATTCTCAACAACCACCTCCCCATCTCCCACCTCTGCACCTACGCCCTCACAATCCACACCGAAGGATTCAGCTACTCCGGCCGACTCTCGCACCTTCTGAATTGCAATTCTCTCCCCCTAATTCACAATCTCACATATACAACCCACTACTACCACCTCCTGCAACCCTCTGGCCCTCAACAAAATTACATTTCCGTCCGAAACGATTTCTCCGATTTGGAAGATACAGTGCAGTATTTTTTGTCGCATCCTGAAGAAGCTGATGTTATTGTGCGGAATTCTGTGAATACTTTTCGAGACAAGTATCTTACTCCGCAGGCGGGAGATTGTTATTTGAGGTTGTTGGTGAGGGGGTATAAGGATGTGGCTTTTGAGCCGAGAGTTTGGAGGGCGGGGATGGGGAGGGTGAAGAAGGGGGCTGGTTGGGGGATTGGGAGGGGGGAGGGAGGCGGGAGGCTAAGGGGAGATGATGATGGGGGAAAGAAGAAGGGAGCTGTGAGAGGGAAAAAATTGTTGTGGAGAGGGAGAAGTATTAAAGAATTTTTGGAGCATCCGGAGGATTTTAAAGAGGGGGAGGCGTAATAATAAGTCTTATAGAATGTACCTTTAGGGCATACAGCTAGGTAGCGTCTATTTATTGGGTAAAACTCTGCCTTCTTTGTCTCTAAGACTCGAGACGATGCTGACTAAGGTAGGTTAATTGCGTAGTTGAAAAGGTAGATTAGTAGAGAAAGAAAGAAAAGAAAAGAAAAGAAAAGGAAAAGAAAAAGAGAAGAGAAGAGAAGGAAGATAGATAGATTGCTCTATTTTGTTTGTCTTGGGACTCGAGATGATGATGACTAGGTTGATTGCGTAGTTGAAGCTGTCTTAGCGGAGAAAGAAGGAAAAGGAAAAGAAAAAGGAAAAAGGATATAGAAACTCTTAGGCAGGCTCTCTATCTCTCTCTCTCTGTCTTATGTTACGGAAGACTAAGGCATCCGTTATCCGCTCGCTGAACATAACACTATTAACCATAAACAAAGGGAATTCCGCCGCCTACTCAAACTGCTTCACAACCTTCTTCCAATCGCCCTCTTCTGGACAATACGTCACCACGTCGTCGTCGCCGCCTCCGCCGCCGCCGCCCTCTCGTTCCCCACCTGCAGTGGTGTTGTCGCCCCTTTTTCCCCGCTTGCCCATGAAGCTCAAATCGAGCTTATACCCCAGACGATAGGAATCATCAGGTTTCTGGACGCACAGCTCGTCCATGGCATGTGCCACATTCTGCCACGTCTGCTTGAACCGGGCATAATTGAGATGCAACGTGCGCGTAAACCAGGCGAGGAGAAAGTGGCGGTAGGTGGGAGGGAGAGTGGTCCAGACATCGTCGTTGGGGGTGTTTCCGGCGACTCCTCCGATGTAGTGCTGGAGAGCATTGGACGCGAATTTGATGAGGAGGCCCAGGGTGACTTCGCCGGAGACGATCATGGGTTGGTAGTCGGTGGTGAGTTGCTTCAACAGCATGTCTTGGATGTGTTCGGTTTCCGGGTAATTGACGAAATTGATCTCGTGCGGCATGGTCGTCAGGGGAAGGTGGAAGGAGTTTCGAGCGTCCAGCAGCGCTTGTCGGAAGTCTCTGCATGAGACGGGGAAGTTCTCGTTGGTGTCGCGGGGCTGGTTGTGGATGCCGAGCTGGAAATCCGCTTTTAACTGTTCCCATGTTGTCTCGTCCCGCTTCTTTTGCTCCCGAACTCGACGGTCGTGGACGATGGCCAGACGAATAAAGTCCTCGTCGGAGTTGAGGATGGTTTGGTTGCATTGGGGGCACTTCGTATCGCGACACTCTTCCTCAGTCATGACGGTCATCAGATATGTGTCATTGCACATGAACTGGTGACCACAAGGCAGCTCGTACAAGTCCTGTTCACTGTCGAGTTCAAACGTGTGCAGCTTACGCATGCGCAACTTGAGAACATTGTTGGCGGACTGGAAAGGCTCCGTGTCCCACAAAGGCGCAAGGATCTGCATATCGCACTCCGCCATCCTCACGTCGTGCTGCTTCATCCGCTCATGTACTTGAAGGAACGAGAAGTCCGTGGCACGATTCATATGAGTGTCCAGAAGCTTCACCCACAGCTCACGCGAACCACGCTCCCGTATCAAATTCCACTCGTATTCGGACGCCTCGAAGTTCTGCATCTCGTGTGAAAACAACGCTTGTGCTTGTGCGGTAACCCAATTCGTCTGGAGCTGGAACCGATGAACCACTTGGCCAGCGACTTGAAAAGAGATGATCTTGAGGGTACTGAAGCCCGGTGCAAGCGATAAGCGCGCGATCATGTCTTCGAGTCGGTATTTCCTCTCAAATACTGGAACGTGAGAGTGTGACACGTCCGCGCGCGTTTCGAGGCGGACCATGGCATCCGGATGGTTGTGCTCGAAGAAGCCGTTGTCCTGGGGTCGTTCGCGATGTTTGATGTTCACTGGTTGCTCGAGCACCAGGCGACCACCGGATGGAAGCAGATCAAAGCAGGGGAATTCGACCACCAGCTGATGATGTCTGCTGTTCGAGCCCATGTTGCGGCGGAGTGGTGGGCTGCTGGCGTTAATCCGGTATGCTGTGAAGGTGATCGCGAGGTCGTCTACGCTCACTACCCGAACGGCTTGCGACAAGTCCACTAAATTTTCCATCTCGTCGGCTGACTGCTGTACGCACGTAGTGCTCGATCGTGTGAGGCAAGAGGAACAAGGAGGTGTGGTAGTTCGAGCCTGGACAGATGTAGGTTGGTCGTCAACTTTACTCGCGTGATGTTTTTCGGAGGAGGCGCGATTCCAGATGTCAGCGCGCAGTCGTGTCCCTTCGTTCCCACTGACTGTCGCGAGGCCAAAATCACCGCGCTGCACTTTGTCCTTTGCGTAGAAGATGTGTTGGGCGAACCGCGAGGCAATGGGATCGAGTTTGGAAGAGCAGATGCAGTGTGGAGTTGAGTCCAAGATCAAGTCGAAAATAGAGTATGCGTACAACACCATGCGCTGGTGAAGTTCTTGGCGGAATCCACACTTACTTCCCTCCTCGTGAGCGAGTGACTAGTGCCGTCTCGTGTTGTCGCCGCTGCTAGCAAGACACGCATAGCACGAGTGTCTCTCTGTTCATCGTCCAGATAGTCAGCTCGGCGGTACACAGTGGCGTTCCTTGTGATGTAGATGCGTCGCAGTAAGGGCCAGTCCGAGAATTCACTTCTCACCCAAGAGCTGTGCTTGAAATGCCGTGCACGCCTGGTCACCACCTGGTATACTGCAGAAGGCAAATATACTGCAGAAGGCAAATATACTGCAGAAGGCAAATCGACCGAGACCAAGCTCTTTGGCATCAATGTAGGCGCATGGACAGCGCTCCGTGGAGGTTTCTCGGATGGCGAGTGGCCCCGGTGATCTGGTCTACGACATCGTTTCATCGACGAGCGAGCATGCTTCCTTTCACGTCCACGAGCGGCTGCAAGCTTTCAATATTGATCTTGTGCTCGACCAGGTCGGAATATAGGCGCAATCTTGGGGCATGCCAGACATATATATATACTGCCAAGCTATTTCTCTAGTATCGCATGAACCGAGCCACAGTCAGGTTCAATGAACAGTGCTGGCGGAGTCTGGAGATGAAGATGGAAGCATAACGCTCTATTGAGGCCCTCTAGCAAGTTGCATTTCGCTTCAGGAGCATCCAGAATCAGTCGCGCCAACCAGCGTAAGCTTCTTTTCTTGCGGTACCATTGCGAGGCATATCCGATATTTTCATCAACATTCCCTTGCAAGTGCGGGAATAGAAGCCATCATGATATTGATCGAGTGTTGTCCACGACGTTGGATGGTGTGAGAGCAAGCAAGGGAATGGGTGAATAGCGTACCTGAGGGAAGAGGAATCAAGAGGTGAAGTATGAAGTCCAAGAGAAGATGGACAGCCAATAATCGGTAGTGGGCTGGCTTTCTTGGTTGCTCTTCCTTGTCACGAACCTTTGTCTCCCTCTCCCTCTCACTCGCACACACCACCATCACCGGTCCCTCCATCACTACAAAACATTCCACGTCCCACCCCCACCAGTCTCTGCACGAATAGTCCACCGCTGCAGGAAACGACAGCGAGACATCTCACGTGTCTGCCACTACCGCCAGCCGATTATACCAGACGCCCGCCGTTCGAGTCCTTATACGCCCTCTCGAGTACCGCTGCACCAAGCAGCGAGTCCAGCTCTCACACGGCCAAAATATTAGTCGTAATGTTATAGACCGCCTCAATTTATCCCGCAGCCACATGTAGACTCGGAGCAAGAGCTGGTTGGCGACGGCGGGCAGGGAGAAGGTAGGACGCGTGGTAAGGACACCACATGCAAGCAGGACAAAAGCGTCTGCTACGGAAGAGTACGAGGCGCAGACTATCTAGATCTCCGGTCGCAATTAGTTCAGTATATCGGTACGCTTCGGAGTGGGAACAGTAAGTTCTGCCAGTGTTCTGGTCTGGCCAACGATTTCACATGAGCTACACGGTATACGATTGGAACCGCCAAGACCGCTTATCGTAAACGAAAGCCACGTTGAAGAAGCATTGAACCAATCTCCTACCACGAGGTCCAGAAGGAATGCCACGTGCTTTTCCAGCTTATGGTAACGGATGCGAAGTAGGAACGAAGCGAGTACTTCTCGCGCTGGGAGGTTTGCGTGAGAAGAGGCAGAGTCACACGGTAGGTCAACGAATAGCAGACTCCATTTAATTAGTAGAACTATAGCAACAACTGTCGGCTCGGAGATACCACCACGCTCTCATCATCATATCTCCATCTCCGCGGTGCAGAAATTTATAAGAAAAGTCTTCCTTATCTGCGACGATTCTGTTGAGACGATAAGCTGGACTCTTGGTATCCTTGGCTCCGAGTCTTGGGAGATAAGTATACCACAACACCTCTTGTCAGACTATTGGTAACAGTCCTTCCTCCAGGTCTGGGCAGGCCCTCCCAAGAGCTCTTGAGTCGTGTCCGTGACAGCGTTTATACAAACGACGGAGATGTATGTTCGTCGAGGCGTAAAGCTACACCGTGCAATGCTGGGAGAGACTCAGCAGCCACGAAGATAGCCATATGCCATAAAGCAGCACCATGACACTGTCGTTGTCGAACCGAGTTCTAGTTTCCAGTATCCACTCTCCCATCATTCGACAACTTCTCCATATCCCCACTAGGTTGTCAATATGGTCACCCTCACGAGTCTGTGGAGTGCTCCCACAATCAACCCCATCAATAAAAAGGCGAGAACCATTCCAGTACTGAACCCATTCAACCAATATGGCCGAGTGTTTTTCTTCTCGTGGTTTGGCTTCTTCATTGCCTTTTGGAGTTGGTGAGTCCTTTTCTTCCCCCCACCCAAATCTCGCCCTCTTTTTCCAGCTGCAGCAAGCTAACAGCAGCACAAAACAAACAGGTATGCTTTTACACCATTACTCAGTTTGACGATCCGTCAAAACTTGAACCTCACACAAACGCAAATCGCAAATTCCAATATTGCTGCTCTGACGGGAACCCTCCTCGTGCGCTTCGTGGCTGGCCCTCTATGCGACCGATTTGGCCCGAGATGGACATATATCATCATCTTGCTGTCTGGCTCCATACCCACAGCAATGGCAGGACTTGTGAACAATTGGCAAGGCCTCATCGCTCTGAGGTTCTTTGTTGGGATTCTCGGTGGCACTTTTGTGCCATGCCAAGTGTGGTCCATGGGATTCTTCGATAAGAACGTGGTGGGCTCGTCCAATGCTCTGATTGGGGGTTGGGGTAATGCTGGAGGCGGTATCACGTACTTTTTGATGCCGCAGATTTACGACAGTGAGTGAGATTTTGCCATTTTCCTTCCATGACTGCTGCGGTTCGAACGCTGACAGCAGTTTGATTATAGGTCTCCGCCTCGACCAAGGCCTCAGCTCGGATCAGGCATGGCGAGTAGCGTTCATCGTGCCTTTCATCTTGATCGTCTCCACGGCAGCCGGCATGTGGCTCTTCTGCGACGACACGCCCACCGGAAAATGGAGTGAACGACACATTGCCGCCGAACAGCTTCGGCAGCAAATCGTGCAAATTCCCGGCACCGTCCCCAGCGACTCCAGTCTCCCCGGCAGCGACAACAGCAAACACGACGTCAAAGGCGAAAAACTCGACATGGAAGCGCACGTGACAGCTCCTGACGTCCAAACCGGCCAAACCCTCGACGCCGCCAAAGAAGAAGTCATCCTCGCTCCCACCCTCCAAAACACCCTCCGCATCCTCCGCTCTCCACAAACTCTCTTCCACTGCGCCACCTACGCCTGCTCCTTTGGCGGCGAACTCGCCATCAACTCCTACCTGGGAGCCTACTACCAACGCAACTTCCCTTCCTTGGGCCAAACCAATGCCGGCCGCTGGGCAGCCATGTTCGGCCTCTTAAACGTCGTCACGCGACCCCTCGGCGGCATCGTCGCAGACATTCTCTACAAATACACACACTCCCTCTGGATCAAAAAACTCTGGATCGTCTTCGTCGGAGTCGTTTCAGGAGCATTTCTCATCGCCATCGGATTAACAGACCCCGGATCACAAGGAATGATGTTTGGTTTAATTGCAGGTATGGCAGTTTTTTTGGAAGCTGGGAATGGAGCGAATTTCGCCTTGGTGCCGCATGTGCATCCCCATGCGAGTGGAGTGCTTTCGGGGACGATTGGCGCTGTGGGCAATTTGGGTGGAGTGGTGTATGCGATTGTGTTTCGGTATCATGGGACGGATTATGCGGAGAGTTTTTGGATTATTGGGATTATGGTTATTGGGTTGAATTTGATTTTGTGTTGGGTGCATCCTGTGCCGAGGAGTCAGAGGGTTGCGGGGAGGTAGGCCGTGATGATGATGATGATGATGATTGCTTATGATGTTAAAGAAGGAGGGAGGGAGAAGAGAGAGAGACCGTGAGATACCATATACCTTACCTTACCTAGACTTGCTATTGAAAAAGAAAATCAGGACTTACCTAGTTTACATTGTCATTACCTTATTTCTCGTCTGTCCGTTTCAAGCATCTATGCCATATTGTTTCTGGATGGCACTCGCCTTGAAGAAGTCGTTAAGAAAAACCGTGTAATTGGTGATTGATGCACCGACAAGGAACGTGGATGGTTGTCAGGCCACAAGCCTTGCAGCGAACATCCATTAGCGGCCGGACTTCATATAGCGAATTAGAAACCGCATTTTGTTTTTAATATCTCCCTTTGAACAAGTGCCTAAGGTACACCTACCTATGCGGATACCACTCGACAACGCATTTTTCCATCATCACATGATTTTCACATCTGCAAGACGACGGAAAGAGTGCAGGTGGGTCTAGAACCGTTATCATTCACATGCTGAAATTCATCATCCGCTCCCTCCCTCCCCTCCTAGGTAACAAGGACGGACCTCCTGCCCTACCTTACCCTACCCTACCCGTCCATTTATCCATCCATCCCCGGTACCGTATTCATATTATTCTAGGAATCTGCAAATCCTCCTCCTCCTCCTCCGGTCCCTCTTCTTCCTACTAGGCAAAACACCAGCATCACCAGCATGTCGCTGACTTTTTTTTTCCTCCTTTTTTGGATGTCTTCATCCTTTTTTGATGATGATGAAATCGATCCGTATTTGATTGAAAATAGGACAGAAAGGAAAAATAGAACATGGTATCCGCGCACGACCGATTCACCGAAGCGAAGATGACACGGTATGCATGCAAAAGTTGTAATTGGGAAAACAAAAAAGAAAAAAATTGCGATGTGCATGTGCATGTGCGTGCCAAGGTCGTTGATTTTGGGTGAAATGACGGTGATGGTGATGACGAATTGGTTGCTTCTATCATCTACCTTACCTACCTACCCTACCTTACATGCACCAGTAGAGTGGCAGAGTGCAGAGTGCAGAGTGGCAGAGGTAGGGTAAGGTGAGGTGAGGTAGGGTAAGGTATTGGGGTGGAAAACCACAGCCGGGCGGCGGAAAGATCTAGGCTCGGGTGTGGGCTTTGTTCGTGTTTCAATGGGAGGGAATGTGTCAAAAAACGACAACCACGACGGCTTCGGTTTCTCCGCATCCGTGGGACGGAGAGGAGATTAGATTGGGCTAGACTAGACTGGAGCTACGGGCTTGGGGGGCCAGTAAGTCTGTAGTTTGCAGTAGTGAAGGGATGGAGAGAGGGATGGAGTGAGCGGCGGGGCTATAGGCAGCCCTTGGATTCGTCTAATCGCAGCCCTAGACATAATGCTACGTCACGCACCCCTATATCTCGTTATTAACGTAATACAGTATTACAGCGAAATATGTATCCAAAGTATTTCGTACTAAAGTATATTACACTAAAGCATATCGCACCAAAGTATATCGCACCAAAGTATATCGCACCAAAGCATATTATATCTGTCTTCTCGTTTGTACCGAATATATAGGAAATTCTCTAAAGCAAGTACTAGAACTTTTCTCCCCTCTCCCCCTCTCCCCCTCTCCCCCTCTCCCCTCTCCTCTCTCCCCT